TGATCTATCACAATGCTTTTAGGAATTAAATTGATTATTTACTCTATTATTTGGTGTATTAAATCAACAGAACATTCAAACCAACAAAGTCTTGAGATGATTCTATTCAATCAGGTATTCTTATACATATCCTCTTGATAATTTATTTACTATTTTATAAAATAATAATAAACTAAGAAAGTTATGTATTTAATACTTTTAAAATATAAAAAATGTATATAGACATAAAAAATAAAAACCATAATTATTCAGAAAAATAATTCTTCTTGCAGAAGGAAGTGAAGTATGCATGGGTGTAAACTCAAAAAAGTTGACAATTCCAATATTTCAAGATCATCACAGGGACACGATGAGAGGCAGATATAAAACGCAAAGTAGTTGGAGAAAACACGCAACAATTGACCATCAACATAGAATTCATCTCATCTACTTGTATTGCCTTGACAGGCCAAGATGCGAAAGGGGTGACTTTTAGACAGTGTATCATGAATAAATGTTCAAAAGTTAATTATAGTATCATCATAATATACATTTTTTAATTATTTTACTCATTAAATGATAAGATATTGATTTTTTTTATGATTAATATCAAACACATTTATTTATAATTTAATACATTCTTTTTAAAGTATTAGAAAAAAAACTGCAGGAAGATACAATTATTATAATAGCATTCTGGATCTTTTTAAACTTATGCAATATGATATTTAATTATATTAATGCATTGAATTGCATTAAATTTTATATGTACAAATTAGAGAAAGTGTGATATTATTCTTCAAGGTTGTGAATGGTGTGTGGAGCTTCCATGTGTTGAAATAAAGAAAGAATAAAGGGGTTAAATGAGCGGGGCGAAGGTCGAGGATAGCTACTTGACCAATCTCTTTTATTGTGAAAAGGCAAAGGCAGGAGTGGCATTCCCACTCTAGCAGTATAAATTCCCAAATTTCCTTGGAATGTGTTGAGTCCAAAACAATCACGCAAACGAAGTAAAAAAACTAAGTAAAGGATTGACGATAAATAGGTGGCGAATAGATGCTATACATAAATGCAGGTATATTTTGGGCACTCACTCACAAGAAGAGGGGATCATAATCCAACAGTCATGGCCAAATGCTCATTTTCTTTAGCTAAACTCTTTAATGTGTGTGCTGTTCATTCCGTGAAGGTTACTTTGGATATTTTATGAGGGGAGATAAAATTTTGTTATAACTTTAATTTAATTTTAAATTAATTAAATGTTAAAATATTCAACTATTTTATAGTATTTATATTATAATTAATTATTGTTATTGAATTGCTAGCATTACTCTTAATAAAAAACAAAATTTGAGAAAGAACAAGTACTTCTTTGATGAATTTAGACAATTTCTTATTAAATTTTTTAATATATTTTTTAATCTGTACAATATCGTAGATTATAAATATTTACAAGTAATAAATTTTTACTAAAAAATTTCAAGATTTAATAATATTATTTTTAATATTTATTTAAGGATGTGCATTAAAATTTTAATAAATAAATATTAATTACAAATTATAATATTTAATGTTATAATGCATTAAATTTATTGGTTTAATAAAAAATTATTATATATAATTTTGTATAGTGTGTTATTAGACATGTATTAAAAAATTAAATTATTTTAAAAATTTATTACGCATTTTCACTACAATAATGAGAGATAATTATGTTCATTTAAAGTAAATTACTAGTTTCTACGTAATTTTGTAATAAAATCATTTATATTTTCTTCATTCAAATGCATTAACGTCTGCTAATTTAAGTGAACAAATTTTTTTAAAAAATCATTTATTGAGTTTAAGTTTTATAAGTACAAAAAATAAATTCTTAAATGTGTTAATAAATGCTAGCTTGCCTCTCTCGTGTAAAAATGAATATGTTATAAATTTAAAAATTCAATAACATATAACGTTATTATGTGTCTATAGACTAAAAAATTATAAAACAACAATTAAAAACTATATATCATCTTAAAATAATAAAAATCATAATAATTATAATATTAAATAAATATCTGTATAAATAAATAGATGTCCACAGAACAAGTATTATAATATTCGTGTCTATTCTTTAAACTCTATCATTATCATTTGTGCTGCAAGGGATAATTCATATATATATATAATCGGAAAGAGAGTTTGAAATATTTTTAAAATACTCAATTTTAAAATAAAAAATACTTAAAATTATTTACCATTTTACAAAAATTTATTTAAAGACAAGATTTTTATTTTTATTTTGTAAAATTTATTGGGCTGATTTACAATAAACTTTGATAAGAAATTTTTTATTTAATAAATCAGATTGAAATTTTGAGACACATAAAATAATTATTAAAACTTTTTTTTTTACAGTTGAATAATTATACTATGCAGAATTTCAGTGTTTAGATATAGATTCAATGATATGCTCATGAGAATCAACTCTCTATTTGAGAACATTGCTATAATATGTATCTGAAGCATCTATTTCAACAAGATGGATGATTTTTCTTAATTCTATCATGCAAAGACTTAATAATATTATTGAGGTGAGGAATAAATTCACCTATATAATTGGGACATCCTAAATACCCTTGTAGTTGAGTTTTATCTATGATTATATTTGAAAATTTATTTGCAAATTCAATAGATCTGTTAATTGGAATAATAATTCTTTGGTGAATATTGTGACTAAAAAATCTAATGTTTGTTTGAAAGAGATTGATTTTTTATTTGGACACAGTAACACCATTTTGTTTGACAATATTAACAAAAATATTTCTATTCTTGAAATGATGATCAATATATTGAGAAAAAAATCAAAACATCATCGATATAGACAATGACAAATTTGAAATAAGAATTAAAAATATCATTAATGATCTTATGAAATTTAGAAGAGATATTTTTAAGACCAAATGACATTACGTTTCATTCATATTACTCAAATAGAACAATCAAGATAGTATTTTACTTATCAGTTTCACTAATTTGGACTTGTCAGAATCCAGACTTCATGTCAAACTTAGAAAATATCTTAGTAAAGTTCAGTCTTTTAAGAAGATATTTCTTGTTTGGAATTGGGTACCTAATCCACTAAAAAACTTGATTAAGAGGTTTGTAATTGATAACTAACCTGAAAATTTTTCCTTCTAATTTTGTCTGTTTATTAACATAAAATGTAGAACACAAGCAATGATTTTTACTTTTTCTAATCCGATTTTTGTCTAAGAGATCCTTTATCTCTTTTTGACAATATTGAAGGAGTTCCTCGTTCATCTGAATGGGTCTAACCTTGGTAGGAATTTGACTTTTCTTTAAAACCTTTCTCATAAGGAAGGCTTACTATATGCTTATTTCTATTCCATAATGCACGAGGAAGATCAGAACATATACAATATTGAATAGATTTTAAAAAAGATTGAATTTTTTTCTAAATGATAGACTCTTCAGTTGAGCATCAATGTTAGCAAAATAATCTTCTTCTTTTAAAAAATTAATTTGATTAATCTTATTTTGAATAAAAATATTTTTGGTAAAAAGTTTGCTTGAAAATCTAAAAGTAATTTGTTTGCCTAAATGACAAATCGAAATACCTTCTTTTAAGATTTGAAGTGGAAAAAGAGTTTTTATAAAAGGTGTTCTTAAAATAACTTAATTTTTCAAATTTTTTACAAGGAGAAAATTTGTTTCCACCTTAAAACTTTGATTTTCAATAATAGCTTTGGATAATTTGTAATTAATCTTAAGTTTTGAACCACTTGCAGCGCTGAATTTTTCAAATGTTTTTTTAAAATATTTAATAAGAATTAATCATTCTAAAATACAATTTGAATCAGCACCAGTATCAAGGAATATCAAAGTATCGAGAACAAAGTAGTCAATAATATTTTTGATATTAATATAAAATTTTTGAATTTTGACCTTATTGATCAAACCCATTAAAAATTTCTCTCCGAGATTTTCAAAATCATCTTTTTTGAAAAATTGTTGTTTCACAACTTTAGATTCATCATCATCTTCAAATTTTGAAAAAATTACTTGATAAATTTGTTGTTGTTTTTTGATCTCTCAGATTTCCTTTTTAAGATTATTAATTTCAATTTGAAGATCTTGAATAGTGGTTAATTTTATAGAACTATTTTCTAATTTTTTAAAAATGCTATTTACATCAAACTTATTTATTGTAATAAGCTCTTTTGATTTTTTTTTTCTAAAATATCTTTGAGTTTATTGAGAAAATTTTTTTTTCTTGAAGATCAGAAATATAATTAATTATTTCAAAAAGAAAATCTTATTCTTTTGTTAAAATGTTAACTTTTAGAGTTTCATCACTGTAAGAAGAAGGAAATTTGATCATTTTATTAAATTTGATTAATATCTTCCATAAATTTTTTTGACAAATTTATCATCTGAAGTTTCTATGAATAAGTTATTAGATTTGGTCTTTTATAGAAGGATATATATATATATATATATATATATATTATTAATATTAAAAAATATTTAAATATATGTTTGATAATGAATTTTGAAAAGAAAAGAGGGGAAAATATCTTTTTGGCTTTAAAAAAATCTATAATAATTATAAAAATAAATAAAATATTAATACATTAAAATTACATTAAATTATTATTTTATAATTTTAAAAAACATAAAATTAGAAACTATTAATTAAAAGTTAAAAACTTATCATTCTCTCTCATATTTCAAAATTTAACTTTAAAATACTTCCATAAAAAACAAATACATGGAGTTACTGAATATTCAACAAAACAAATGTTAATAACAAATTCTCAAACGCACTATTTCAAATCTTTTTATTAATTATTTTTTTTGTTAAAAACTATATTTTTTTTAAAATTTTACTATTTTTTAATAAATATTAATTGATAAATAAAATATAATAAAAATATGTATATTGAAAAAAAATGCATTCTTAACGTTCCTGTGTTGAATAATTAATAACCATTGTTATTAAACCTAGAAAACTTGAACCCGAGAAATGAAGAGAAAGACAAGAACAAATTTATTTTCCCTTTAAGTATAATACTATATGTAAGGAGGAGAAGGAGAAAAATATCTTTACGTTGTGTGGCCTTAGCTAAACTCGATATCCCCTCGCAGCTGTGTTTGTTATCGCTCGCTCTTCTTTCACCTCTTTCCTTCTTTCATTCATTCATTCATCAACACAACCACTATCACTCTCACAATTCCGATTCCCTTTTCCTCCAAAACTCAATGACCCTACCATTCCATCGCTGCTTCCAATTCGGATTCAAGATTCAATGAGATTGCTCTCTTCCAATAAAACATGGCATCTTCACCCTCCATGTCAGGTACGTTTACTAATAAACCTTCGTTAAAACCTGAACCCCCAAAATACCTACGTGCACGTGTCTTTGTTGCCAAAAAATGCACAACCAACACTCAACTAATTTGCCTAATGCCTAAGTTCAACTCTATTCACAAGCTTAAGATTCTTTCTCCATCTACGAATTCGCGCGCGACCAATCGTGGCGCGTGAATTTTTCTACTATCTTACTGAACTTTTTTTTTTCTCGTTTGGTTCATTCATTTTGTTGTTGTTTGTTTTAAGTTAAAAGTTTGCGAGTGTGGTTTTTGAGTGAGGGTGTGATGCTGCAGTTTCTTTAGAATGCGTGAACGCGTGCAAGCTGTGGAGAGCGGATGGAAACGGAAAATTCGACTGTAGTCTTCTATCGTGCGCGTGGAAAGCTCCGAGGGTCCTCACTGGATTTCTTGCGAGCACGACACACCCTCATCAGTGTTCATCCTTGTCGAACGGGCGTAACGGAAGAAGGAACCGGTATAATTTTGTAAGTTTTTGCAGTTTCCCTTGGTGTTTTGGCGTTTTCAATCGTGTGAGTGAGTTCGATTTTGAATTATATTTGGGATGCTGATACTTGGGATGGGAAGGGAGTGATTGTGATTAATTGATCGTTTTCCTTCTCTTTTGACCTGAATTGCGGTCTGTCCTTAATCATTATGGTTACAATGGATGTTTTAATTTCTAATTAGGTCACCTTTTAATCTTACGAAATTGACAGGGATGCGAAGCCTTTAGTGTAGTAGGTTCATATCCTGATGAAGCACTTGATATCGTACTTCTTGCAAGATTCTCTAGATCTATCTTGTCTCGAGTTGGAAATGGAAGACGGAAATTATGTTGTTCTTCAGCCTTCTCTTTGGATACTGCCACTGAGTTTTCTGCAGAAAGTTTGTGGGAGGTACAGTCCTGAAGTTTACTGAATCATGTGTATTGTTGATTATAATTCTGCAAACAGGGACACCCTCTTTGCTAGTGTCTGAGCTTTACTATTTATCATCTGATTGCCTCAGGATCTTAAACCTGCGATCTTGTACCTGTCTCCTAAAGAACTGAAGTTAGTCCACAATGCTTTTATGGTAAGTTGTCTACATGGAAAAGCAAACTAAACATGCTCTTTCTGGCAAAATCATCTCTTAAACGTAGTAGGATTTATCTTTTTGTTTTGTTTCATTCTGGTTGTTACAGTTGGCATTTGAAGCTCATGATGGTCAGAAAAGACGCAGTGGTGAACCCTTCATCATTCATCCAGTTGAGGTTGCACGTATTCTGGGAGAACTTGTGAGTCATGATGAGATGCTTCCTCTTTTGGAAAATTGTACATAATTAGCTTGCATAACAAGTCAATATTTATGATGGATTCAATCATTTGTCTAGGAACTTGACTGGGAGTCGATTGTTGCTGGATTACTTCATGATACAGTTGAGGACACAAATTTTGTTACTTTTGAGAGGATAGAGGAGGAATTTGGTGCTACCGTGCGCCACATTGTGGAAGGGGAGACCAAGGTACTTATTATTCGTGAATCTTGATTGAAATGCATTAATGAAATATCTAAATCCTCAATAGATTTGGTTCTGTATTCATAAATTTGCCAAATCAATTGGATGTACCTTACATTCTAAATCCTAACTAGGTGTCAAAACTGGGAAAGTTAAAGTACAAGAATAAAAATGATTCCGTTCAAGATGTCAAGGCAGAGGATCTTCGGCAAATGTTTCTGGCTATGACAGAGGAGGTCACTTCTTTTTCATTATAGATGCTTGTCTATTCTTGGTGTATTATGTTGGAAGCAATTTGACAACCAATAAATGTGTCATTTCAGGTCCGTGTTATAATTGTCAAATTAGCAGACAGGTTGCATAACATGCGCACTCTATCACATATGCCTCCACATAAACAGGTTAGTGCCACTGGTTTGACTATGCAACTGGTGACTATTTTCTGTTCTGCCAAGATGAAGAGAACTATTATGTGGCCTTGCAGTTCTTTTACTTTGAGATAATGCAGAGAGGGAATGGATCTTCTCATGTAATTTTGTCTATCTCTTCAAAACATTGAATAGGTGGGTCCCTATCAAATTTGTGAATGTCTATAAAGATAGACATGGACATAATTTTCAGATGACCTTGCCATGTGAAAATCTAACATGAAAAGATCTATTCCCTTACAAAAATTACCTTGCAATCAAATAGAATTAGGGATTTTGATAGAAATATTGCATATTAGCTACATTTGTTCTCCCTGACTTTGAAACTGGGGTTCATACTTCATAAATCCATTTACGTCAATTCTTGTTAATCTTCAATGACTTGAAACTAAAAAGTGAATTTCATTGATTTTGAAGAACTATCTTTTTCTGAGTGGCCTTTACTACTTTCTTCTATTGTCATTGATTTTTTAAAAAGGGTTACATAGTGATAGTACTGAATACACCGTAGGCATTTATGTCTTTGACGTTATAGCAATATTACTATATTTTTTTTTTGGGACCACATAGCCTCATAGGCAGCTATTAAGACTAACACTTGGGCCTGGGATGGTGGTTAGGTAAAGCCCTCCCTATAGTGATATGTTGATGACTGCAGGACTTGAACCCCTAATATAGCAGTTAGACTTTGCCTGGGGTCATGGTCCACTTTTACTGAAAGCTACCATTATTGTGTATAGCAATATTACTGTTTTATCTTGTTATTTGTAGTTTTGTACATCAAAGGGGTGAGTGTATGAGAAGCCTAGCTCCTAAGTTGTTTCCCTAACATTAACATACTGTGTGTACAGACTAGCATTGCGATGGAGACATTGCAGGTGTTTGCTCCTTTGGCAAAGTTGCTTGGGATGTATCAAATTAAGGTATCCCATAGTTACAAAATCACTAAGGACTGTTTGTGTATCAAATTCTTTGAAGTTTTTTATAATATACCTATATTTCATTACTAGAGGGAAATTTTGCTATATCATGATTCATAGTTATGCATTTGTTATGATTCAGTCAGAACTAGAAAATCTATCATTTATTTACACAAATGCGGAAGACTATGCCAAGGTGAAAAGAAGAGTGTCAGAGCTATACAAAGAACACGAGAAAGAACTTGTGGAGGTAATAATGGTCTATCAGTGTCTTTCTTGAATATAACTGCTTGCCATCTTTCTATTTTTTTTTTGTCCATTATTGAACCTTTTTTTCCAGATGATTGTGTGTTTGATTTAGTCCATTGTTTTAAGTTTCTTTGTTCTCTCTTTCTTGATAGGCGAACAAAATATTGATGAAGAAAATCCAAGATGATCAATTCTTAGACCTTCTAACTGTCAAAACAGAAGTTCGTGCTGTGTGTAAAGAGCCTTACAGGTTAAGTCGCAAATCTCAGTTTCAATGCTACCGTTTTTGTTTATCCAACTGATCTTGTTGGTTGATGAGTTTGACATCATGTACATTTTAATCTCTGTTATATTATTCCATATATCACCTAATACTTATATGCATGCTTTGTTTTGTAATTTGATGTACTTTTCTGGCTATTCATTTAGAAATATTGCTGTTCATTTGCAGTGTCTATAAAGCTGTTCTCAAATCAAGAAGTTCAATCAGTGAGATTAACCAAGTTGCACAGGTTTGCTTCGAAATATACCTTGAAATGCTTAATGTTTTGTAAAGATTTTGGAGAAATTTTAGATTTTTTTGTTGAAGATCAACTGTTTGTTGTAACCAGCTTCGCATTATTATTAAACCAAAGCCATGCGTTGGGGTTGGGCCTTTATGCAATTCACAGCAGGTAACTACTTACTCATGGTGGCAACAGCTGTGACTATTTTCCACTCCACTCTATCTTGATATATTAGAAGGAATTTCTCTTATTTTCATGTTTTCTGTAGATTTGCTATCATGTTCTGGGATTGATCCATGGAATCTGGACCCCCATTCCAAGATCTGTACGTTTAATACATTTATATGTTTTTCTATTTGAGAAAAGAAAGCGTTAATTTTAAGAGAAACGAATATTACTGGTGAGAAATTTTATTTTTTTTTTGGTTATAGGTGAAGGATTATATTGCAACCCCTAAACCAAATGGCTATCAGAGTCTTCATACCACTGTGATTCCTTTTTTGTATGAGAGCATGTTTAGGCTAGAAGTCCAGGTATTTTTTTCATTTTTAAATTTTACTTTTGCATGTTTCATTTCCAAATGAAGTTCATCAGAAATTTTTCTTATGAGTGTGTCCTATTTTATTTACTTTTGCAGATTAGAACAGAAGAAATGGATTTGATAGCTGAGAGGGGCATTGCTGCTCATTATAGTGGGAGAGAATTTGTCACAGGCTTGGTTGGAAGTGCGATGCCCAGTAGCAAAAGCACAAGAGGGAAGACAGTTTGTCTTAACAATGCCAATATTGCACTCAGAGTATGCTATCAGTCCCTGATATAATATTATAGAAATAAATTTTTAAGGAGAGGTTTTGGTATAGTCAACACTCAATTTTGATGCCATTAAGCGAAAATCTTGGCTTAGCACAAAACATCTTGATGCTGATTTCTCAAACAAATTATTTCCTTTCCCACAGATTGGCTGGCTAAATGCAATTAGAGAGTGGCAAGAAGAGTTTGTTGGCAACATGAGTTCCAGGGAATTTGTAGACACTATTACAAGAGATCTGCTTGGCAGCCGTGTCTTTGTTTTCACACCAAGAGGAGAGGTAAGGGTGGACTATGTTATATGCTATATGACTACTTTCTCCCCTTTCATTTATTGAAGAAAATGATTAAGAAACTTTTATCTGAATGCTGTCTGCATTCTTGATAATTTTTTGTCATATTATATTCAGATTAAGAATCTTCCTCAGGGTGCTACTGTCATCGACTATGCTTACATGATACACACTGAAATAGGCAACAAGATGGTAGCTGCCAAGGTATCACTCCTCATTTGCATGCTAATGGAATCTTAGTGTCAGTCAGGAAAAGACACATGAAATAAGATGTTTGTGTTATTGAAATATTAGGGACTCATTTGGTGTAAATGCAGGTCAATGGCAATCTTGTTTCTCCTGCTCGAGTACTTGCAAATGCAGAAGTTGTGGAGATAATAACATATAATGTTAGTATTGTTCAACTCATCTTATGTGTTTACTTTTTCATTTGATATATTTAATGTAATTGGAAAGTCATTATGTTTTTAATATGTCCAAATATAAATTGCTTGCAAAAAACTAGGAAGATATTGTGTTATGTAAATGTTTATTGAATTATATACTTCACTATCTGCATTTCTCAAGTTTCAGATTTATGATCTAAGTGTTTGGTATTAACTTGTACATGCTTACACAAATTTGGTTTGTTAGAACATTTCAGAATATCTTGAGAGCATTTTAGAATAACTTAGCATATTATCAATATTATCTTACAATGTCTTTAGAATACATTATGGAACCAAGTATTGATCTCATTGAGGAAGCATTCTTAGAAGTTGTTAAAATATTCATTACGTTTCCTCATTTAATTCATTATTTAATTAGAGTTAGTTGTCTCTCATTGTATTAGAGGGCTTAGGCTTATACTCGTGATATTATGCAATTATTTGACATAATTATCAATATAAATGTAATTTTTGGGTTACATATCATTTCACCCCATATTGATATAATCTTCCTGTATTGAGCATTCCTTTTCTCACTCGTCCTCTCTCATTATATAAATCCTATAATTTAACATTATTTGCACTTCATAATGATTTGCATGTTTCTGCCATGACAGTGATAAATTCTTTACACCCTTATTTAGACTAAGTTGTTTAAGGAAATTGTTTTGCTTATATACATGCACACACATAAATGGTTAGTCACAATTACCATGTCTTCGTTGGAGCTCATAATATTAACTTTGTTTCCAGGCACTTTCTAGCAAATCAGCTTTTCAGAGGCACAAGCAGTGGTTGCAACATGCTAAAACACGTAGTGCGAGACACAAAATAATGAAGGTAGGTTTTCAATGAAGGCCTAACCCTGAACTTTTATGTTTTATAATAAAGTTGTGCTTTAAATAAACATTTTATATTTTGTTTAGTTTCTAAGGGAGCAAGCTGCACGTTCTGCTGCTGATATCACTACAGAAGCAGTCAATGACTTTGTCACTGATTCTGAAGGGGATAGTGAATCTGAACAGCTGTCAAATGGTTCTAAACATACATGGGGGAAAATGTTTGTGAATGGAGTGGAAATATCAACTCCAGGAAGAAGTGAGACTGTCCTCCAAAGTACGAATGGAAGTGTTTGGACACCCAAGATCAATGGAAAACATAACAAGCATGTACAGCATGAAAATTTCAAGGCCAAAGGGGAGTTGTTGCTGCAGGGAAACCTTGTTGCGAAAATGATTCAAGTTAACATTCCAAGATATAAGGAAGTCCTGCCAGGTTTAGAAAGTTGGCAAGCCCAGAAAATTGCCTCTTGGCACAATATAGAAGGACACTCCATCCAGTGGTTATCTGTAGTATGTATAGACCGAAGAGGTAAGCTTCCTCTAATTGATAATATTGATTAAACCTGCTTTTCCAGGATGTGAAAAATGTAAGTTAACATTGTTGATAGAGGATATGCTATGCAGGAGTCAGTAATCTAACAATACATTCGTCAATGTATGATGCGTGTTAATCTAGAATCTTTTTCTGATTATCCCTGGCAGTAAACTGGATGTTTTATGCCTTTCGGCTCTAATAATGTAAGAGTAGACTGATATCATGGAGGTGAAACCCATTTAGTCAAAACATGGCCTAGAAATGGGATGGTCCAATGGTGAAATGAGTATTTAGTAGTGTTTCATTACCTGCATTTTTTATTCCGTCTAGTAAGAAATCTTCCATGTGTCTGCTCTGGTTGATCATAGATCTCTCTGACACGATAAATAAATGGTATATCTTTGATTGTAACCTGGCAAACAATTATTTCAGGCATGATGGCTGACGTCACTACAGCATTGGCCACTGCAGGCATAACCATATGTTCTTGTGTGGTAAGTGGTTAAACCAAATCCATGCAATTGTACAGTTCTTAAATAAGCGTCTTCATTATAAATGAATGGTTCTTTTGGCATATCGATAACACTTGATTTATCAAATGAGCAGGCTGAGATGGATGGAGGAAGGGGAATGGCTGTTATGCTATTTCACGTAGAAGGAAATTTAGAAAATTTGGTACTCTATCATGTCTGAAAACACTAATTATGATTGATACTTAATCTATGGTATTTATTTCATCAAACTGTTCTTGGTCAACTTACGTAAATTATTCGTTTATCAGGTCAGTGCTTGCTCTAAAGTAGATCTAATACTGGGCGTTTTGGGATGGTCTACCGGTTGCAGCTGGCCAAGCTTGATGGAAGACTCTGGCATTCTCGAATGCTAGTTAATTTAAGTGGCACTTCGTGTCCAAGACGCCAACTACAGTTTGCCCAACGATTACAGACCAGACAAGGGAATTAAGTTTTGTCCACAGCAGCGCAGACATTTATGTGTCTAAATTTTGATTTATAGTTCTCATATATATATATATATTTGTTCCAACTTACTAACCCAATAAACCGGCAGCTGCCTATTGAGCCGAAGACTCGAAACTCAAGGCATTGTATATAGAAAAGAGTGATAGGATAAAGGATTATACACTGTAAAGTACTTGTGCAGAAATTAAGCGCTTACCCAAGGAAATTGCTAGGGATCTCTTGCTATATCACTTCCTGACCAGCTTACGTCTCCCATTTCTACCTAATATGTGAAAAATGCTAATTATAATGGTATTCGTACTAGGCAGGATCAGCAAACGCATTCTGATTGTTCTTTTGTTAAAAAAAAGATTCCATTTTCTATGATGTAAATGATTTGAACTTTACTTTTTTAATTGATTGAAATTTGGGTTCTCAAAATAGATTTGTTTCTATTAATAGTATTGGGTCTAATTTACATAAACTTTTTAATACATAATTATAAGAGAAGAAAATCAGAAAAAAAAATTAAATTAAGTGTCTCAAAAGTTAATTAATTTATGGACATTATTTTTTCAGAAAGTTATTTTTATTTATCTTCTCCAAAAGTTAATATGTATAAATTAATTTTAATTTATGAAAAAAATTGATTGATCTCATCACTTTATTCTTTTTCTTTTTTAATGAGTGTCGGTTGAGAATGTTTATTTAAATTGAACTTTAATTAGAATATTTTATTATTAATTATTAATAAAAAATAGTTGAACTCATGAAATTATCATTAAGATATTGAATTTAAAAATACAAAATTTTAATTGATAATAGAAATATGTTATAGACATTAAGTGCTTGTTTGGTCTACGAAATTAAGTATGAAATTAGATGTTAGAATTATAATTGTGCTTTATAATTTTAATTATCATGTTTGGATGTTCATTTAAAATTAGGATTATAATTTCATGAAATTCTATAATAATTAAATTTGGCTCATTTCAATTCCTTACCTAAATCATAAGAATTTGAATTTCTACTGTCATAATTCACAAATATACTCTTAAATATTATATCTCTTCTTTATCTTTCGTGATTCTTGTTTTTTTCTACATACTTTTTTCCTAAATACTTTATTTCTCTTTCTTTCTTTATTCTCTCTTTTACTTATACATCTTTCTTCCTCTTCTTGTATTCTTTGTATTATCTTCTTCTTTTAACTCCACTTTTATGTTAATTATTAATATTATTTCTGTTTTTGTGTTATCTCTTTTCTTTCTATTCTCTTCTTCTTGGTTTTACATTAATTATTAATAAAAGTGATTTTTCTTTATTCCTTTTTTTCTATTTTCTCTCTTTTGCGTCTTCTTTCTTTCTCTTTTTTCTTTTTTCTTTTTTACATTTGTTACATATTTAATATGTTTACGTTAGTATGTTGTATTGCTATTCTGCACTCATTGCAAACTATATTATATTACTATTCTACACTTTTTACACTTATCGTAAACTATATTATTTATATTATTGTATAATAAATTGTTTAATATTTTTCTTCAATTGTTACATGTTAGAGTAAATATTATAAATTAATTCAAGAATTAGTGAGAGTACAAAAGAAAAAAAAATAGAAAATTAGTGCTAGATGTACAGAATGATAAAGACATAGTAAAAAGTTTATTTTTAAAACGATTATATCATGGGACTAATAAAAATTATTACAATCAATTACGTCTTACTTATCATATAAGCATAGAAGAATCTGTTAGAACATTTTACTTATTTTAGCTCATAGTCTAAAAATGAGAATTCTTAAAAGCACTTATATTTAATTTATATTTTTAATTTTAAAAATTAAATTATATTTGTAAGCATTTGAATACTTTAATCTAATTTATGAGAAAGATAATTTATAATATAATATTAAATTTTAATGATAAATTAAATATAAAAAATAAATTTACGTTATCATCTTTAATAATTTAATTAATAATTATTTTATATTTTTTATTAACACATTATTTTTAATAAATTATTAAATAAAATTTTAATATAAAAGAATTCTAATTCTATAATCTAATTCTTTGAGTATGCAAAATATAGAATTATAATTTTTATCCAATTCCAATTTTATCAAAATTAAAATTATAATTGTAATTCTACATGTCAATTCTAATTACATCCACAAAACCAGCAATAAAAGGTATCTTAATATCATTTTTCTAATCTCCACAGCTATCATAATCCACAATGTATATGGTTCTGGAAACGTATGAAAGCAATGTCCATTACCAAACTCATTTGGCGAAAAAATAAAAACATAATTAAAAATCTCACATATTGATCTTGAATTCGCATCACGGGACTAATACTGAATTACTATCATCAAGAACATAAAATGATTCTTGTGGGCGTCGAGTCAGTAGAACTAAGAGCAACACCAGCGCCAGCAACAGCAAGGGAAAAACCCAGCTTCTTATTATTGAAGCCTCACTATTCGCCACCATAGAAAACTTCACTTTTTCGTTCAAACTTGCTTCCTTTCCCACTATCACAGCCTCATCATCACCACCATAGTCAGTGTCATCTTCATCAGAGTCATTGCAAACTTGACTATCACAGTATTCTCCCTTGAATTTTCGATCCGCATGCCAAACTTGTTCCTTGTTGTAATTCAGGGACAGGGACGTGGTTGCTATTTCTTTTGAGCTATCTTCTTCGCCAATCTCTGAAACATTATCGGACATCATGTCGTCGTCGTCATCATCAACGTCTTCCTCATTATCATCATCCTCCGTTTCTGAGGATGTTAGCCCATCTCGAGCTTCATCTTTTTCCACCTCTTGTGCTTGGCCACTGGAGTTGTGTAACAATGGCATCAAGCATTCTTCCGCAACCCCACTTTGGTTGGACGACACCGCATTTTCTGGGTGCGAATTGTCAGAAAACACCGTTTGCTGATCCTTAAAGTGGGTTGGGCTCTCCTCTACGCTACTGGGTTTAAGCTCGATTTTCTCCTCCTGAACCATATTCAACATCCAAGTCGTTTATAAAATGTTAAAAAGGCCATACACAAACTCAAACAACTGTATTGAAAAAAATGGAGGGATCAATATTAATTAGCAGAATCAAAGGTTGAGCAGACAGCGAGGAACTAACTTGGTCGATGCTTTTATTGGATGTCCAACAGCTGCAGCAACTGACAAAAGTTAAAGAAGCGTTGAAATTGAACAAAAGCCTATATGAACATGAAGAGGCTCCTAATTAAGTTAACTAAATAAAGGTTATGTGTGTGTGTGTGTGTATATATATATATATATATATATATATATATATATATATATATATATATAGCATACCATGTGGCATCCTCATGATGGATTGTTGAATGCTGAAGAAGAGAGGTCAGAGTTTGGGTGATTTCATGATCTTCTTCACTCTTACACCCGTTTTGGTCCAACAATATATGTTGCTGTTTAGGTTTAGGTTGGTGATCATGGGTGCCCTTCCCCTTGCGTTTTTTGCTTGCAAAAGAAGCAACTGCCATGAAACCTGCAATGGCCAATGCTCCACCAAACACAAGAAGCCCCACAATCCCACCTTCGCCGCCTATGCTTAGGCTGCTTAGTGGGTGGATCTTCTTCTTTCCACGCTTGTTTGTGATTGTGATCCTTTTATCCTCCATCGATAATATCTTCGTTACTTTGCTTTCTCCTGTTTTGTTCCTTTGTTTCTTGAAAGTGCGACACAACACGAAGGCAAGGGGTGAAGTTTACCTTATAAATAGTGAGACTGAGAGAAACAAGCGAATTGAGATAGAAGCGGGTTTTGTTCGTTGCTTGACATTGGCATCTTCTTTGGCCTCTCACACGTCAAGAAGAATCTGTTAGTTCATCCTCGCGAGACACGTGCTTGCTTATCATCCATAATTTATTATAGTTAAGCCTCCGCAATTCTTGCTAGTTCTACCATAACACTTTCGGATCAATGGCACCCCAACCCCATCGACTAAAACTTGTTCAGTATTCGAGTTAAGCTACTTAGAGATAGAGAGGGTCATACACGATCCGTGATTACCGCTTTCGCGCCTCATCTTGCCCTTTCAGGATTTTCTAACTTGCACACGTTTTTCCTTTTTCTTTTTTTGTGAATAAACTTACAATTTGGAGTGAATGATTATATAATCTAGGGTAATGATTTTTGACATAGGGATAAGGGAAAAAACAGAAAGAAATAAAAAATGCGATAGAAGAAAAAAAGATAAAAAGAAAAGGTGAATGGAAATAAAATGTAAGAGAAAGAATGTCGAGACATTAAAAAATAAATAACTGAGTGAAAACTGGAAATATTTTAAAAACAAAAAAAAAAGATTAAAGAATAAAATAGAAACTTATTTTATCGTAGGAAGACAAAAATAATAATTTTGACAACAAAATATATGTCTATGAAAGAAAATGTGCGTAACCCAGCCTGTCATTGGCTTACTAAAACTTTTGTATAGGTAAGATTCAATCATGTTTGGAAATTATGTACAAGCAGCTGGCTCAGCTCCAAAGAAACTTTTAAATTTGTAATGCCCAAAAAATGAAAAATATTTCAAATTAATTGACAAAATAAATAATAATTCAACCAATCTTTTATCATATAGTGACGTGTTAAATTGTAATCCTATTAAAATTTGGGTTTTACGTAATTATCTCCACTTTACACAATTTGAATGAAAATTTATCAAATGACAAAATATCAACATGATATGTAATTAGTAAAATAAGGGAATAAAGTGCAACATATCTCCATTTAAAGGTTCTCTTATTTTTTTGGTGAAGGGAAAATTGTCTCCTTTGTGTACTTGTAGCATGGTGATTTTTGGGCTTATGCATTTTCTTGCCTTTTAGTATTTACTATTTAGACTTGTGCGCCTTAGGGCCATTAATTCACCTTTTGACCCATAAGATATCGAGTTTGCTTTTTTTTTTTCTTTTTTTTTTTTTCTATTTCTAACTTATCTTCTATTTTTTATCGTCATACTTTTATTGATATTAGAGTTAAATCTTTTTAAGCTAATCTATAATTAATTAATAATTTAACTGATACAGCTGGTTATTATAACAATGTCATAACATGTCTTTTACACACAAATTTATCATTTTGTCACTTTATTTAAAAAAATTTAATATATTTTTTTAACATATTTTGTCATTCAAATTTATATTTTATATTTTGAATTGGTTACATTTTTCTTATTTTTAGTATAATAAGTGATGAAAGAGTTAGAATATGAAGGAAAGTGAAAGAGTAACTTAAATTCTTAATAAAAATATTTTTAAAAAATTATAAAAAAATATTATAAAGGTGCAAATGAAAAATACCAAATACAAAAAGCAAAGCCTTCAAAATATGTATGTTTTCTTGGACCCACAAAGAAAACGGTATTTATGATTTAAAAAAAAAATTAGAAAACATAAATTGTTGGGCTCCTTTACCGTATTAATGGATTCATTAGAATCCATGGACAAAAACAATATTATGTTTTGACCCTATCAAAATTGAAAATGTTATTTTATACGAAATTTATTATAAAACCATATATCTATTCACCTATGAAAACCATGTGAACTCTGAAAAGGGATATTTATAATATTTAGATTATTATTGTGACAAAAAACTGAGAGATAATATGCCAAACTTGAATTTAAACTTTAACCTCACACTTAGGGTGAAATTTTATTCTAAAACATATAGCGTGCAGATGTGAGAAGTGCAGTATTAAAATAAAGCATTGCAAACTAATTTGCATTGCATGTAAATAATGCTCCAACTACATGCAGAAAGCTCACTATATTAATTAATATGTATCAGCAGCCTTTGTTGTTCAAAGTCACAGTCACGATTGGTTGATGGATTGTTTAATTTCCTTGAATCTATAGGTGATCATGCCCACCAGTTGGGTAAACGATGTGCCGGGTGGTTTATATATTTTAAGTTTTTTATGCTTTAAAATTATACAATAAAAAAATAAACCATGTATTTTTTAAATCACAATATCTAACATTATTTACATTAAATTATGTGTTTTTATTAAAAAAAAATTATTAATAACTTAATCATTACGATTGAGTCGATTGACCTTTTTTACTTTAATAATTTTTCATTTGGACCATTTGTTAATCCTTCTCAATACAAGATTATCTCAATTGCTTGATTGCTGATTGCAAAAGCGTTATAAGAAATAAGAATTAATGGATGAACTCAGCATTCTCAATTTAATTGTACTAAATCATATAGTATTAATCACGTACAGAGATAATATTAACGTTTTATTGGTTTTATTCATAACACACTATTAACATATAGATTTCTAATTTTTGCATTTGCACATAAACATAGCAAATATATACGAAAATCTTTAAAAGCACAGCGGAATTGGAACTTGGAAGAACAATACCAAGAACTAGCACTTAAGGATAAATCACGTTGTTTGACTTCCAATGATGAGCCCAACTCGTGTATGTGTGTTGATATTTTTAGAGTTTGATGCATCTTTATTATGTTCAAGTTTGATGAAAAAAAACTTCTACATTCTAAAATTTTCACAATTAAGAGATTTTTCTTTTATTCTTAAAAAAAAAAACGTTTTATTTAGAAAAAAAGCTCCCTTCCCGGATCATAGGGTCTACTCTATAATATAGAATAATAGAGGGGTACTAGGCAACCAGTAAAAGCAAAATTTGATTTTTGAGGATCAAGATCAAGCGAGGGCAACTTGTGATTTGAAAGGAGATATATTTATTTTTATTATTTTTTTCCTTTTTTCTTATTTTTGTCTTTCGACCTGCTTTTAACACCCACGACGTAGTGTCAAAGTTTCACTATTATAGTTACTGTGATTGCCATCAGAATTTTCAAAGAATGTGCCACGTCATCTCAATTTTCAGCTACAAAAGCCCTCTCACTCTCCATTTTTTTTTCACGTCCTCCGAGTCTCATTCATTTCATTTTCGTTATTATAGCAAACAAAAACACAAACCCTCCCTTAAAGCATGTGTGGCGGTGCAATCATCGCTGAGTTCATCCCTCGCCATCGTTCTCGCCACCTCACAGCCTCCGAGCTCTGGCCCAACACATTCGAAGCACGGCAACAACAACCCCCTCTCAAACCAGGTCTCTCTCTCTCTCTGCTTTACTCATTTCGTTTTATCATTATATTAACAAATTTACTTAACAGTTAGGGATGGGCCAGCCCCCCCAAAGAAGCAGAGAAAAAACCTGTACAGAGGGATAAGGCAGAGACCATGGGGCAAATGGGCTGCAGAGATTCGTGATCCAAGAAAAGGGGTTCGTGTCTGGCTTGGCACCTTCAACACTGCCGAAGAAGCTGCTAGAGCCTACGACAGAGAAGCCCGAATAATCCGTGGCAAAAAAGCCAAAGTCAATTTCCCCAATGAAGATCAATATTCCATTAAAGCTCCAGTTATTCCACCACCCCATCAAAATCCTCCCTTCTATCAACAACAAGAATACGTTAGCAAAAGTCTCAACTTGGAGTTCGGTTATGATCTGAACCAAGCTGGGCCAGATTTTGCTTCTGTTGATGAGAGATGTGGGTATGGATCTGCGTCGGGGTCTGAAGGTACTTACTCCACGTCGGAGTTACTGGGTGAGGAAACAGAAGTGAAAGTGTTGGGGGTTGCAAGTGAAGAGGAAAAGAACAAGGTGGATAAGCTTTCGGAGGAGTTGATGGCGTACGAGAACTACATGAGGTTTTATCAGATTCCGTATTATGATGCCCAGTTGGCTGCGCCTAATAATACCGTTCAGGAAAACGTCGTTGGGGATCTTTGGAACTTTGATGCTGATGCTGAGGCTGTTACTTCTTCTTCAGCTCTCTGATTTGGTGTCGCACTGTAAATTGTTTATCAAACTGTGTGCTGTTGTGTGTTTGGAATTTTCTCTTCATTTTGTACTACGTAGTGTTCAATTCTGTTCTCGAAATCACTTGTGTTTTGCTTTTCATTACAATTTTAATGTACTGAACGTAGTTTCCTTTTCTTTTGTCTCCTTCAACTTTCCTTCCCTAATTCTTCATGAAAATTTCTTAATTTGGTTTACGTAAATAAGAAATCACGGTGCAGAATTTGTGTCCCGGTTCTTCATGGAGGAATTGCGATGACTCTGACAGCAGTTAATTTTTTCAAAGGTTTTTTCTAAGCTATCAAATCTACAACTAAATGCCGTTACGTTAAAAAAAGAAGAAAAGATATATAACAACTACTATCTTATTTTAACGATGAATCTGTGCTATACTACCAAGTAACATTTTATCTTCATGTTTTTAGCTGTACTTTTTGCAAAGTAAGAATGTTATGTCCCTTGTTTTGTTATATTTTAATATTTTGTCAATCTTTTAATACTTAAACAATAAAAAGTGAATATAAAATTTAAAAAAAATATATAAGTTAGATGGCAAAGTAACTTTCAATATTTTGAACTCAGTTTAAGTGAATTTTTAAAGGAGTTCGAGAAATAAATTAGTGTAAAAAATAAAATAATGAATTAGAAATAACTTATATTTTATATAAAAAGTTTAGCTAAATTAAATTATAATTACCTTTTATTATAAAAAGAAAATTAATAAAACATAAAAATATTTACTTGTTGAACTAAAAATATTTTTTAAACAAATTTCCACGTTTATAAGTTCACTTTTCTCATGAACAACTTTACAAATCTCAAAACAAAACACACCCTACTTTTAAATAGAATCGGGTCACATCGTATAAGTGAAGTTGCTGTCAATAGAATTGTTTTATAGATTAGTGAATGCTTTATTAGCATTTTTGTTAAGTAAAAATAATGTTAAGTGTGAAGTGTACGAAATTAAAAAAAATTATATTTATTTTGAAAATAACTTGGTTTCATAAGATTGGTTGTTTTAAAATATTATTTTTAACCATAGTCCAATCTTTTATATGAAAAACATTAAAATATAAATAAATGAATCGTCAGTGGAAGTAGAAACTGAAAAGTGATGTAAATCGAGGGACGCCGCTGAATTTGGCATTAAATTAACAGACGGGGCGCTCGGTGGGCGCCTACGGGTTTCGGCTGAAAAAGCAGCGTAGCAACCACTCATTTCTAAGTAGCAACGTGATTTTTGACCACCCAAAGCAAAGTAGCAGTGTGATTTCATCGTTCAAAAATTTAAAATAATTATAATTCCTATTTTAGAAATTCAGTAAGTTTATTTTTAACAAAATATAAACAATATTACTATTCAAGTTTTTAAAAACACACTCCTAAGAAAAACCGCCTCGGCACCCGAAGATCGAGAATTAACCTCACATACAAAGGATATGAACATATTCAGTGAGAACATCACAATAGTTTAATTATGATGAAAGTTAATAATGTTGATGATAAAGTATGAATTTGATTTAGTTAATATTTGGCCAAAATAAAACATTTTCACAATTTTTTCTGTTGGTCGATTTCCAATTTTAAAAAGTATCTAATTGATTTTAAATGCGTTTGAAATATTTTTTTTTATTTTCACATTTTATATATACGTTGGTTTCTCCAAAACACGTACGAGGAGATCGAGATAACCACAACCACACCCAGACCATAGTGATAGGTGAGAAATAGAGGTAATTCAACCAAGTGCTTGTAGGTTAGCGAAAATAATGCTAAAAGTATAATGAAATTATCTTGTTTTCTTTGCATTTGAAAAAAGGTGATTTTTCCTAATTGAATACAAACCAAGCATTGTGTGTAATGTAAGAATACTTTCACTTTATTATTGTGAGAAATAGAAATAGTGAATGCTAATTATTAAAAAAATTGAACAATTAAGATTAATATATATTTATATATGCATAATTAATTTTAAAATTTAATTATTTATGTGTAATTATATTATTAAATTTTTTATTCTTCTATTTTTCATATGACAACTATTTTCATGATAAATGTCCTGTATGTAATTTTAACTTCAATTCACTTAAACGGGTTTTGGACACAATGTCGACAGCATCCCTAACTCGTGTAATTTAGAGGCAACTACTTACTAATTTACCTAGCAAGTAATATTATTTGTTTTAAATTTTGATAATAATTATTTTATTTGCAATACTTAATATTTTTATTTCATAACAAATGAATATAAAATAACTTATAACATTTAAAACAAATTAAGTTTAACTGTTATATATATTTTTTATACTTAAATTATTATTATTTTTAAACTAAATTAAATAATAAAATAAATAGAAATATACTCGTGCAAATTTTTGCAAGGTATGTTTACTAGTTCTATTCTGTTTTTTCTCTCCTCTAATATTAAAAGATTTAAGGAAAACTAAAGAAGGATAACATTTTAAAAATTTTAGATTATACCAATTAAAATGTTTCAGATCTTGTTTTACTTCTCACTCCTCCTCGTGAATTATACCAAACACGAACACTATTTCTTTTCTCTACTTTCCTAAACTTTTTTTTTCAGTATTTATTAAACCAACTGCATTATTAATGCATAAGTCCAATGCTTATATAGACTATCATACTTTGCAAGATTGTTAAAAGCAATTTTGTTTACCCAAACTTGGTCCAGTTCAATTAAAAACAAATTCTATAAAATTGGGAGATGCATTTTATTATAGTGCATAGTTGATTCTTAAAATTTATCATTCCTATAGTTAAAAAAATGTCCTTTGCAATGATCTTTTCCTCAATTCGGTATATTTCATTTAGTGTTTATAACTTTTTTTTCTAAATAAACTTTTTAAATTTTGCCAACAAATAATTTTCTTTGTTTCAATCGGCTTTGGGGCACACGAGTTTTTGGGAGTTGTGGTAAAATTATAAAATGCGGAGGTGAAGTTGGGCTCAGAAATAAAAATGCAAAACGGCTGTGTGTCTATATAGTTTTTGAATTGGGCCACCAAGTTTTGAAAAAAATGTATTGGGCCACTAAGAAAATAACAGAAAAACCCAACAAGAAACATTATTATATGGTTGTGGATTCCAAACCCTAGGTTATATAGTGGTTCCCTTCCGCAAAGCGCGATAGCCTTAGCTTCCACCAGAGTCACAGCAAAAGATGGTATCGCTCAAACTTCAGAAGCGGCTGGCCGCAAGCGTTCTCAAGTGCGGAAGAGGAAAGGTTTGGCTTGACCCCAATGAAGTCAATGAAATCTCCATGGCCAATTCCCGTATGCACTTTCTCTCCCTTGTCGTTTGTTAAACGTTTTTCTTTTTCACTATTCGATTTTAAAAAAAATAAAGAATAATATCTCTGCTAGTTTTCACAAGATCTGAACATTTTTTGCTGTTTTGAGCTTTAGCGATAGTATGCGCGTAGATTGCAAACATGATATTACTACACTTTATATGTTATCATAAACTCTTATCGGTTTTTCCAATGATTGTATAGTTTTAATGGAGGCAAATCTATTTACAATCTTTGAGATTCTATATAATTTTGCTTTTAAACACAAGGATTTTCCTTTTGAGAAATGATACTTGTGAAACAAATTTGTACAAATTAGAGAGAGATAGAAGGTGGTGATAAGATAGGTGACGTGATAGAAAGAGACAGAAATTTGTTGTAGAAATTGTTGTGTGAATAATAAAACTTCTGTCATTTTCAGGCCAAAACATAAGGAAGCTGGTTAAGGATGGGTTTATCATCAGGAAACCTACCAAGATTCACTCACGCTCACGGGCCCGTCGAATGAAGGAAGCAAAGAGGAAGGGACGCCACTCTGGATATGGTATTTTCATTCCCAACCTTAATTATCTTCATGTCAAACTGAAACTGATTCTAACTCATGATTTGGGGATCTAATCGTTGTTAGTTTGTGATTTAAGCTTGCACTCATTTATAAATTATCGTCATAGACTCATTATTTATTCATTAGGAAGTTATCAAAACACTTTGAAGATTATACCAAGTTGCTCGCCATTTGTATCAATCAGTGTATATGAAACATTCATATGTGGGCATAGAAAGAAAGATTTTTACTACCTATAATGTCTTGCTGAATAATACCAGGTAAGCGTAAGGGTACAAGGGAGGCTAGGCTTCCAACTAAAATCCTTTGGATGAGGAGGATGCGTGTCCTCAGACGCTTGCTTCGCAAGTACAGAGAATCTAAGAAGATTGACAAGCACATGTACCATGACATGTACATGAAGGTTAAAGGTAATGTTTTCAAGAACAAGAGGGTTTTGATGGAGAGCATACACAAGTCCAAAGCTGAGAAGGCAAGAGAGAAGACCCTGTCTGACCAGTTTGAGGCCAAACGTGCCAAGAACAAGGCCAGCAGAGAAAGGAAGATTGCTCGGAGGGAGGAGCGCTTGGCTCAAGTGAGTTCCATACTGTCTTGAAAATCTATTTCTAAGATCATACAGTTGATTTATATTTTCTTGGCTGTTGCTTTTGGGGTTTTACTGTATTAACAAATATTGTCATTGAAATTGGTAATGAAAAATTGATAAATTTCTCCCTGTAAAATGTTTAGGGCCCTGGAGAAAAGCCATCAGCTGTACCCAGTGCTTCACCTGCTACAGCATCACAGCCAGCCCAGTGAGTAGTACAATTTATGTTTGCCCTATATTTTTTTTACCTTATTGCCATGCTTCATGTGTTTTCTAAATACATATCTTTTATACAGAGCACCAAAGAAATCCAAGAAGTGATTCACATTTTGAGGTTGGCTGGTAGAATCCTTCGGGGTGGCTTCCTGAGTTACTGTTCTAAAGTAGTTTTGACGAGTTTCTTTGTTGGTTTAGACCTTGTTTAGTTTTGTTTTAAGTATATGAAATTATAATATTCGGTTATTTTTTGCTGGTGTTTCGCTGTTTTTGGTATGGATAATGATCATTGTTGCGGAAATATTGATGTTATTATCCTTTTATAGTTACTGCTCTTCTGATCTCAATTCTCGTAGCCCCACTTTAAATCATTTTACGGCGGAAACAAATCTTCAAAATTATGAGATTATTGCAATTATGGTATATTTAAAGCCCTCGATTATCATTAAAGCAAAGATCCGATGAAGCTGAGGTACTAAACTGTAACAAAATCGAAAACTAAGGTTAAGCATTTAGGTTTTTATCGTTAGCCTATTTCATTTTGATTTGGTAGTTTGATCGTGAAACTTATTTGTTTCTGTATTTCCGGAATGTGTAATTCTGGGGCAAAATTCAAGTACTAAGTGTAAAATAAGGCATTGTTTCGTATGGATGATGAACAAGGTTTATTTTATTGTAAAGTTTTATTTTGATATTTATAATTAAAAGAGAATTATAAGTTCACAATCACCAAGAATAAATTCTTGTATGACGAATTATATTTAGTAAGTATTATAACTGTATAGTACAGATTCAATTTTTTAAAATAAAAAATCTGAAGATTAAATAGTTACTGTTCAGCATAATTGATTATTTGGAAGATACGGGATCTCTCCCAACAGGAATGAATTAGACGTCTAATTTCCCCCCTCTCCGTCTTCTTTAATCTCTTTTCATATTCAACTCCTCTCATCTTCCAAATTCCTTTTCACCTACTCCGTAAATAACTCTTCTTTCTTTTTTCATTTTCATCTCCACCTATAGCTATCTTTAATTCTTTTTCTCGTAATTTAAAATTCGCTTAAAGTTAATTTAATTTATTTAAGCAAATTTTATATAATTTTTTGTTTTATTTTTGCTTAAGTAAAAATAAAATTAAAATTTAGTTCCCGCTAAGAATCTGGATATTCATTTCAACCGTGACAACAAAAAAATGAAACTTAAAAGAATAATTATTTTTTGGTCAATATTAATTTGTAATTGATCAAGAGGTATTTGAAAATGACTATTTTGTCCGTAATAAAATTGTTTATATGTTCATCAAAAATCTTATTTTAGTTGGATAAGAAGTTGAGTTAAATTTTTTTACTTGTAAATTGATAATTTGTCAATGAAAAGCATTTGCACAATTGAGATGACGTTGAAAGAGACGAATATTAACGTTGAAATATCTCACTTAAAAGGAAGTAAAGAAGAGTTTCATTGGTTTGACATTATCGCTTCTAAATATTTCTTTCCGAAAAGCAAAAAATAAACCGTGTTTGTTCAACTAAGCTTTTAACCATATTGGAATTCGTGCAATTGAGTTTTAAACCGTATGCAGAAAGACCTGTAGTACAGATTTGTAAAAGCAATCCACGTCTAAGTAAAAAATTACATTTGATTTAGGAAATATAAGTTGGTGTTCATGGGACCAAATATTTATGAAATAGGGTTCATCTCATGGAATTTTTTCCTTTTTGCGTTTAACGTATTTGCTGAACAATCAAATGTATATTCCAACACATTTAAGTTTTTGTTTTAATGCATCTGCTAAATTATCTCTCAAAAAACATATCTATGGTTCAAAACAAAAGAAAAAATGTCTTGATACCTGCACGACTACGCATTTTGTTTATTTATTTAGGCTCCTAATTACCGTATCACTATACATTATGAGGTACTATAGTTTCTTTCACCAAATAATTTATATTTTTCAAAAAATGATAGGCACCAAACAAAACTAACTTTTGCGTACTGAATATCAGAAATAGTACTCTAAATCAATTATGGATCATCCCTCAACTTCGTTTTTTTGTATTATATGCTAGTTAATAATATGACAGGACTTACGGGTAAGACCTGTTTGTTAGAAACATACCTGACGCAGTAGCCTAATCTATAGCTGCAAACTGAAAATTATACAATTTGCAATATGCAAAATGAAAATAAGTTTACTATATTTGGTCGACTGTGATCAAATGGTATGCAATTTAGGTTCTATGGATTTTAGAAACTTCTTTGGTTGCGTCGATTGGAAAAACCTGCGTCATCATCTTCTTTGACAAAGGGTTTAAATCTAGCGAGGCCTCCACTTCCACTATATGCTTGGCCTCTGTTTGCAGCTTGATGATCTGATGAGTCTGGATTGCTGCAAATCCCAAGTTTGACGATGAATGTAGCTGTGCTTCCTTTGTCAGGGCCCTCACTCTCAATCCATATGTGACCACCCATGAGATTTACAAATCTGAACCAATTTTGTCAAGAGTCAATATACGATAAATAATATTTAAGCTATAGTATTAACATTCATTAAGAATAGACGTAATAACGCTATCTAACTAGGTAATCAGCATCAAACTCAGCATTTTTGGATGTACCTTTTACAAATGGCAAGCCCAAGACCTGCACCACTGCTAGGTCGTGCTGGTCCACTCCGAGACTGAGCAAACTTGGTAAAGAGATGTGGAATATCTTGCGGGAGAATTCCACATCCAGAATCTTTGACCTGAACAAACAAGGATGCTAGGGTCAATAAACAAGCAATATCAAAATTAATTCCTCGGATTAACTACAAAACAAACAAACGGTGGATGTCTTTGGGTTAATTCCTTGGCATCTAGGCGTGCATGTTCCAGATGATTCAATTATTTAGGTCATCGAAGAATTCAATTACATAACTATCCGGATATAAACATTAGGAATTTTTCTAGAACCTATACGTCAAAAATTAATTTAATTTAAGGCTAGGATAGTTGATGCCCCAGTCATAACCTGGACTCGTATGTAGAAATGGCCATCACTTGATGCTGGATAAAATTCAGGAGGGCGCCAATCCTGTAAAGATTCTGGTTTTGCAACAGATGCTCTTATAGAAACATAGCCCTCCTTGGTGAATTTGACAGCATTACCCACAACATTTAAGAGAGTTTGCATAAGCCGCTTTTCATCACCAATGGCATAAGAAGGCAGATCGGGAGCCAGAATTAAAGTAATAGGTAATTTTTTCACAGATGCTATAGGCTTTATCAGTTCAACGACCTGCATTTAAGATAGAAAAAGATGAAAACAATTTCATAGTAAAGATTAATAATGTACCGCTATGAGAACCCAATGAAGAAGAAAATCTTACAGCAATTACCTCTCCCAAAACACCATGAAGGTTGAATTTTCCCATTTCTAATTCAAGGCTACCATCTTCAAGGCGAGAAAGATCTAAAACATCATTGATAAGTGTTGCCAAAACATTACTACTCTTCAATACTGTCTCTATCATAACCCTCTGCTCTGGAGTCAGTTCAGTCTCCAAGAGAAGTGATGATAATGCTATAATTGCATGCATTGGTGTCCTCATTTCATGATTCATGACAGCAAGGAAATCATTGCGAGCATGAATCGCCATCTCTGCCTCTCGCCGAGCTAAGTCTAAAGCAACATTCTGCTCCATGAGTTGATCACGGGCTCGCATAGACTCCTCCAAAATAGCAGCATGTGAAAGGGCAACTGCTACCTGTTTGGAAACTACAAATGAGTTCAATATGTAGAAGAATAGTCTCCTGAAGTGAATACTTTGAAATGTATATATATTAACCAGCCATAACCCAACATTTTGATTTGAGGTCATATAAAGAAGCAAATGCTAAAACATCAGCAGGCATCAGCAAAATTTTGAAATGGCAACTCTGGCATTATATCAAATGTCACAAATGCAAATTTAAAACATAGTTAATATGGTCATTTAAGTCTAGTAAGAAAATTCCTAGAAAGCATAATGGGGTTTGTTAACATCCCATATCAGCGGTCAAAGTACAACTTGTTGATACATTTACATGGGTGGGGTCACTCAGTGGTTAAACTGTCCAAGTATAACTTATATTGACTTGGGCAAGTCTAATCCCTTGTGCTGGCTTTTAGGGTTGAGGTAGGCCGATCTATTCTCAACTCTAACATAATATCAAAGCCTATCCCAAACTATTGGTGGATTAGTTGCTTGTGCATGGAGGAGGCGAGAGGTGTTTAAGATACACATCAGCTGAGTGTTGAACTGTTGATAAGATTTTCCTTTTAGCTATTGCAGCACAATTTCCAAGTCATGATACAACAACCAAGCCTTATCTCACTAAGTGAGATCAGCTACATGAATCACATGACACCATTGAACTTGGTCAAAAATCAAATTTTTAAAAATTTGATTAATTAAAATGTATCTTTTAATAACTTTGTCTAAAAGAGAAGTTCTTTTGGGTCTCTCTTGACCCCCTATTTAAATAGCTGAATTTTTTTTCTGAAATGAATTACTAGGTGCATGGGATTAAAATTGATTTTGAACATTTAACAAATGGAGCCAAAGGATATCACTCTAACCACAAAAGCTAGAAAAAAACAAGAGATATATGATGGAAACCATGTGTTGACTACAAGTAAATACATGATTTGGCATCCTCCCTAAACTAGCTTTTGGATCGCACGTACCTACCAAGTATCGTTTGTCGCCTTCTTCCTTCCTTAGTGGTTGAAAAATACCCATAAACCCCAAACCGTTATCATTTAAGTCAAGCATGGCCTGGCCAAATGACCAATGGTTGAAAGCCATTTCCTAATTCTATTAATATTCTACACCCCAAAACAAATTCGCTATGACAGTTAGAACATAACTTCCAACAACCGATGACAACAAGTATAATGGTTTAAGCAATTAACAAGGAGTAAAGGAATACAGAATAATGAAAATAAGGAACAGACATTATACAATATAAAAACAAGAATGGCATAAGGAAAACAACAACCAATATGATAAAGGAAATCACAAATGAACTCAATACCTGATCAGCAACAACATCAACAAGTTCCAACTCATGGTCTCGCCATTTTCTAGCACTATCAGTAGGGAGGATGAGAACCATGATTGCGTAGCTTTTTGCTGAAAGATCAGGCCAATCATTAATTTGGAAATTTGACAGATGCAAAAGTGGCACCCGAACAGCAACAACTTCAGGTGGCACATATCTTCCCACGAGAGGTCTGATCCTGGCCAGTGGACAGGTGTGCGGTATCCTCATAGCTCGAGGGCTATTGAAGACTTCATTGACAATAGGAAGGTTTGTTGGCACAGTAGACCCAACTTGCACTTGGTGGTAGGTTAAAGTATGGGAGAGTTGCAGATTCAGGCCACTTCTTGACGGCATCCATAATGCACATTCCTCCAAGCCTAAAGTCCTACCCAGCTCCACAAGAGTAGTCTTCAGAATGGTATGCCTGTCAAGTGTGCTCCTGATTTCATGAGTCAACATTCTAACATGCCTTCCGGTTTCTTCTTGAGTAAGAATAAGTCCCATCTCCCTGTCAAGTTCTTCAGCCTTGTTCTTAAGGAATAATTCACGCGTCTTGACGCTCAACAGATCAGGAATAATGTGAACAAGCATCAGAGCAGTCGCACAAGACACAATAGCACACGACACTTTGGCAATTGTCATTACAACAGCAACAGCTTTAGAGTGTGGAGAGAACGTCCACAAGTTTATGAAGTGAGTTGCTCCACAGAGCACAATAAAAGCGCCAAACTGCATAAGCACCCATCTATATGGAAAGAAAGCAGACTTCTGAACAAAATAGATAAGTTCCACAGGAATTGAGAAATAGGCAAGGGCAATCAGAACATCCGAAATATACTGATACTTGACAAGAAGTTCATCTGGAGGATATTGTGTGTCTATACAATCACAGGATTCCATAATCTAACACCCGTGCAAACGGATCTGTCATCACCAAAGCAGAGGTTGTTATCACAGGTTTCCAAACAGTTAAAAGGGACCCCTCCCCTTCATTCCCCCAAAACAAAAGTAATTTTGTATGTATTCTATTCTTTCCCAGCTTTGTATTCAAACTTCAGAAACAACATCAACAAGTAACTTAGATATAAATAAACCCAAATTGAACTCTTAATCCACGCTTGTGAAAGAGGGTTGAAATCAAAGGCACCAAAAACATGAGTTCAGAGACAAGACCGGATACTCTTCGAGACGATTCATATATATAAATTACTTATTTCCAACAATCGCTCAAATCCATTAATCAGGAGATAAAATCCGCTAGAAATAAAATAACACCTTTAATCTATAAGGTCAAAACAAATCTGCACAAGCAAACATGCTCAATTAAAAAAAAAAAAAAAAAAAAAAAAAGCTAATTGTATTTCCAAAACAGCAGAGAAAAAACCCCATGAGCATTCACCAATGGATCCAAAGTGCACCCAAAAAAAAAAGAAAAAAGAGTGAGAAAAAGAAGTAATTACCAAAAGCAGAAGAAACGGAGAAGTAGATCAAGCGGTGGAGTGATGGGAAGAGTCCATTTGGTTAGAAGAAGAAGAGAGAGTGGGAGTGAGAAAGAAGAGTTAAAAGCATGAACCCTTCCCTTCTCTCACGGACAAACATGGCAGGCTCCTACTCCTACTCCACCGTGCCCTTTTCCCATGCTTCTCTCATATAACTTTTCACTTTACACACGTGCCACATCCTTTTCGTATTGGCTGGCATCTCATTATATATCTATTTTTTTTATTTGTATTTACGTAAGTTAAATAAACATTTATTTGCTTTCTGTTTTGAGGCTAAGTTTTTCTTTATTATGAAGAAAATAAAATTCATTGGTTCCTCTGGATTTGCTAGGTATCAATTTATGGATGGTGCTGGGCCTACCCTCCTTCCTTTTTCTGGTTAATTGCTAGTAAATTACTAAATTTCAAGTTTTGATTCACTGTTTAGAAAAAATATCAAGCCCCAGTACAGATTCAGATGTTCTCAATTCTTTGTTAGTAACTTTTCTTGCCGTGCTATTATTAACTATGTTTGAATTTGGGCTATTATAGAATTGTTTTAACTTTTTCTTTGGAGCGTTGACAATTGAGACACATATATTCTTAAAAAAAGTATTTTATTGTTTTTATAAATTTTGCACTTGTAAATATTTTTAAGTAAAATATTATTATTTAGATAATCCTTAAAATCATTTATATATTGTGAAGAACAAATCTTTGGAAATTACAAAAAATAAAATAAAAATGTAAAGGACAATGTATGATTACTTTTGTATTTGTCAAACTGAAGCGACGAGTAGTGGAAAGGAAGATACATTGCCTCATTTGCCATATCGGAATGTTGGTCCATATACAATGTATTTCAGTGACCGTCACCGTCGCCCAATGCACCACAAATCACATCATCGTCTCATTTACACTTTCTTCTTGATTATGATAGAAATTAACATAAGACAAATAGTTTAGAAAAATAAACATATTTTTTCATGTATCTTTTATTGTTTATAATTTTAATAAATAGGTGAAAAAGAAAACAAAGGATAAGTGAGATCCACGTGAAATCTATTTTCTTCACAACAGCCAACAAAACAAGAGAGAAATTTTAACGCCAGACACCCCTTTGTACAAAAACTTTATTTTTCCCTTTTTCTTAGTTAAATAACTTAAAAGCTCACTTTATTTGTACGTCCTGATAGTTCATGTCATTGTTTTATCCTTGTTTGAAAATTTTATTTTTTTGTATTTTTGGTTAAAGGTGACTTTTTAACAATAAATTTGCCTTTATAAAGAAATATTTTATTCTATTTTATTAGTTAAATAACTTAAAAACTCACCATTGTTGTTTTATTTTTTCTTATGTACGTTTTCTAAAAATACATCTTGTTTATAAAAAAAACAAAAAAACACTTTTAAGTGTCTCTTTTGGTAGTTTAAAATATATTTTCTATCATTTATATATTTATAGTTTTGTTATATTATTCCACAATTTCTCTTAATAATTTTTATACCATTATATAAAGTAATCATTATTAACTAGAAAATATGTCTGTGTATTGCATGGTTTATTTTTTTATTAAATTAATTTATTTTATAATATAAAAATATAATTTAAATACAAAAAGTATATAAATATAATAAAAAAATTACTGGTTAAAATAAATTATTATTAAAAATATGTATAATTTAATATTTTTTTAGTATAAAACAAAATAGCATACAAATATCTTATTTCTAAAATGTAAAAGTAAAATTTATATTGTTTTATGAAATCATAAATCATTTATTATTATAAAATTTTAAATAAATAATTATAACAATAAATTTTTTAATATAAATTATAAATTATAAATAAAAAGCTTTATAATTTTTTATATATTTATTTATATTTTTTGAATTAAATTTATATAATAAACTATTTATTTAAAATTATTAATAAAATTTATTATATATTTATTAAAATATGATATCATATTTTTTTTAAAATAACTTATCAAACTAATATATACAAAAATAAAGTATTTATTTAACTAATGTATGAAATTTTAAAAATTTACTTTAAATTTCAATATATACAAAATTATATATTAATATTTAAAAATAAAAATATATTAAATATTTTACATATAAATAAAATCACCATTTAAAATTATTGAAAATAAAAATTTATAATAATATAAATATACTGAATTTAAGAGTTTACTTTTTTATTAAAAAAATATAGAATTGAGTTTTTTAAATGATTAAATTATTTTATATTTTTAAATAACATAATTCAATATTGATGGACATTATAAATAAATTAATTTTATTTAATAACTAATTAAGTATAATAAAATTATGTTATTTGGGTCATAAAATTAAAATAATAAATTTATTAATTTTTCTTATATAATTGTTTTTTATTTTTTTAAAAAATTAATATAGTTTATTTATTATTTTAATTAATAATTAATAAAAATAAATGTATTTATAAACTAACTTAATCATGACATAATATTTTAAATATTTTATTAAAAAAATAAATATTAATTTAAATAAAATTTAAAATGCTATATAAAATTAAACATTGAACTAAAAAAAATTTAATATATATATATATTATTAGGTCTCTAATTATTTTAAAGATATATAAATATAATTTTAATATAAATATATTAAAATATTATATCGCTATTGAAAAAATAAATGTATTCTAACTATTTTATCGCAAATATAGTGAATTAGAGATTTACTTCTTGTTTTTGGATATATTTTTTGTTTGTCTCTTTTATACGTTACTTAGTTCTACAAAAAGATGTCAACATCCAGTAAATCTAATTTAATTTGTTTTAATTAAAAAATATATAATTTTAAGAATATAATATAATAAATAATTATATTAATAAAAAATTTGTATTGATTTCATATTTTTATGTATAATATCTTTATTTTGATTTATATCTTCGGAACTAATTATTTATTATATTATATTCTTAAAATTTATATTTTTTAATTATAAGTTCATAAAATAACTAAATTTTTTTATTATGAAGCACTCTTCTTTACGTTTGTAATTAAATGCTAACATAAAAAATTTTAAAAACATTAGAATTTATATTCTAATCTAAAAATTTTAAATAATCATATAGTTAAAATATGAAATTATAATAAAATAAATATAATTTGATATGTTAATATAATTTTTTTTTTTATCATTTTAAACACTAACTTTTATCTTTCTCAGATTTAAAATCTTTCAATAGTTGTAAATATTTAGACTTCATATAGATAAAATTTTAAAATAAATGATATATATAGAAATTAAATATAACAGTGTCAAAATATTATATTTTCTTTATTTATTTATTATAATATAAAATTATTAAATATAAAAATAGAATAGTTAAATCATATTTATTTTAATTGTTATGATATTTAATAATTTTTAATTTATTTTAATTATTATAATTAATTAATTTTAACTGGAGAATTTTGAATTTATCATCATCATTATTGTATTTTATAAAAAAAATATTGCAACAAAATCATTAAATATAAATATTGTTAATTTTTTAATTTAAAAAAATTAAATTTGTCATCATAATTATTATAATATAAAATATAAATAAAATATTATTTATATTAATAAGTTATACATAATTATAATATATCAGTTCCTATTAAAATATTTTTAATAAAAATAAAAATTTATTTTTGAATTTGAATGCATAGAGTACTAAGTGAGTGTACATTAGAGTAACTTTATAAGTTCTGAATTTTAATGCATAAATTAATAAGTAAATAGAGTTACATAAATATAAATGACTTTATACGTTTCAAAATTTAATGTATGTGTAATAAATAGGTGTAGTCAATTTTACATATATGTTCTGAATTTTAATGCATAAAGTAATAAGTAAATAGAGTTAGATATATAAAAATAACTTTATACGTTTCAAAATTTAATGCATATATAATAAATAAGTGTAATCAATTTTACATATAGATATATATATAGATATAGATACATAGATATATATGTATATTAAATAATACATAATAAGAAATCAATAAATGATATTTTTATTTAAAATTATAGTATTTAATGTTATAAATGCATTAAACTATACAATTTCTAATAAAATATAACTATAAATAAGTTCTAATTATGTACCATTAAAACATACATTTAAAAATATCTAAAATAAATATTGAATAATATATATATCATCTTAAAAATTTAAAAAAATATTTTAAATTTATTATATTAAAAAATTAATAAACATAAAAAGGAAATAAAATTTATAACCATACATGTATTTACATGCATATTTACTCATACTTCTATTTTAAAGTAATTTATAGTTTATTTTACACACATAGGTATGGGTATAATTGGATAAGGTCAAATTTAAAGTAAAAAAAATAAATTATTGTTTTGTTTAGATTGAGTTGAGTTTTGTCAATATTTTTAAAGTATTCCTAAAAAAAATCCAGTAAATTAAGATAAAAGTAATCGTTTCAAATAATATACATAATTTTTTTAAAAGCAAGGTTTGAGATGTATGTACTAAAAAAATCACATTAGATCTCAAATAAAATTGTTTTACTGTAAAGGATATCTAAACCAAACAATTAAAATTAGTTTGGGTTGACGTATTTTGATTTTAAAATAAAAATTATTTGAAAAAATGAAAAGAAAAACTATTTAAAAACATGGATATTGTCATGCACCTAGGTCAGGATAAGATTGATCGATTTCAAAATGTTTAAAGATATGACCCGAGTTGACACAAATTAGTAGGTTTGACATTTACAAATAAAACAATGATTTAATGAGTTGACCTAAACTATTTGTTCCCTTCAACAAAAAAAATTATTATATTTTGATATTAACTTTATTTATCTATTTTCTATTTTTTATCACATTATTTGTCGATTTTTTTAAACTTTTAAAATTTTCTCACCATTCATTACTCAACTATTTAATAGTCGTCAATGAATTATTATATTAAAAATAAATTAGACAAACGAGATTTGTAAGTTAACTTAGACATCCTAAAAACCTTCTTTATCATACTTACAAATGTAAAAAGATGTGCACATTAATTTGACGAAACGAGCGTTATCTCAAATAATAATGTTCGATGGGTTACATATTAAACAAAACAAAACAAAATTACGTACGGTACAGTTACAAGATACAAATAATCCCACACCATAACAAAATAAATAGTCATACAAATAAGATTACATGAATGACCCAAGTCAAGGGTAAGCTTTTGCGGTCGGTGAGAGAGTTTAGCCCATTACAAAAAATGAAACTTGCTTATTTTTTCAATTTTTTTTTATTGTTTCGTTTCTGACCTAGGTGAAATTCACATGTCTATGTGGGCAAATTTAGTAAATTACACTAAATTGATACTTTTGTTTTGCACATGTGAGTTGTGTCATTAGCGCTGACGATGAAATGTTCTCTAGTCCACTGAAAATGTGAGATGGGCCTTCAACATTTTCAGATTTTTTGGGCTGGTTCGGCTCAGTGATAATAAAACCCAATTAAGCTTCTATGTGGGTTCAATGGGAAATTCCAAGTTATTCCTAACCAGTAAGCTTGTATTGGCCTCCGAGCAATTGAATGTGAATAGGAACGTTTAGAGAAGCGTGCCGGTTGGTTAACGACCATGCTACCCACTTCTTCCAATGCTAATGGAACTTCTCTGTCAAGCTTTCCTTAATTTGGATGGTAATCATTATGCTCATCTTTTAGCCAAGCTGCTAATGGCATATACCTTCCGTTCTTCTCTCCTGCCAGACAAATCAGATCAGTGGCCACCTTCCTTTGTTGTTAGGTTTCTTTTATTTGTTCCTTTACCACATAAAATATGAACCAGATTCTTATTTAGCTAAGCCTTGTCGATTTCTTATTTTTATACTGAAATTAATATCAAATTTAATATTTTAACATGAAATCGTGGAAGTTGTTTATAAGGCCAATGTAAGGGTTGAAAGCATTTCTTCTGGGCTATTAATACTTGCAATAGTTTAAGATTATGAGGATGCGAGAGAAAAAATAAATAAATAACAACAGAGGCTTAGCAATTATAAACTCAAAATATTGTATTGGCATTGGGTTCACAGTTAATTTGTTCGCACAAGTAGCTGTGGTAGAGTGGGAAAAGTTTATAGCTTATTTTGTGTAAACGTGATATTGGAATATTATTTGTGAAAAAGCAATTCTAGATATGTTAGGGCAAAACCGTGTTGAATCACGTCTATGATGTTTTTCCTAATTATAGGTATTCATTGGCATGGTATAATAGTTTAAGGTATTCACAAACCAATTCAGTTTAACGTAAACGGTAAAAATTAAATTTTAAAAAAATTGAAAACTAAAATAAATAAAAATATTTTTAAAAAATTGAATCAAGTTATCAATTTAATTAAAAAAATTGTCCAATTAAATATGAACTGTAATTATACACGCATACATAACTTTGGTTTTAATTTAGTAATTTGATATTTTAATTTAAGTTTTAATTTGATTCTTTAATTTTATTGTATATCATCAAATTTATCTTTTTACTATGACGATGTAAATTCCCTGTTAGTTTGCCAGTATTTGAGCTTTCTTATCGAAATCTTGATTCTTCCATTAGAAACTGAAAAACTTGGAATCCTCCATCATCTTCTTTCTCTGCCACCATTATGTAATCATTACTCACAAAAAAATTCCTCTGCATTGTAAACCATGAAGTCAAAGAATCCACCAAACAAAACTTCCTTCTTCTTCCTCTTGAAAAAAAACTCTTGCACCATCATATGTCCACTCATCAAAGAACCCACCATGATAGCACCGAAATAATGGGACCCTATCTCCAGCATTTACCCCTCATTCATCCACTATTTTTCCATGACCCTTTTTCATCCTTTGCCTAACTCGTCGTATTTGTTTTTCAGCACCCTCCATCCTTTGCCATTAGTGTTCATGTTCATTGCACCCACTCCTTCTTCAATCAAACTAGCAGCTTTGGTGGAAGGTTGTTTGTCTCCCCCAACCTTGTTTGAAGACATGTTAAATGCATACTCCTCAGCCATTGTCATAGTCTTATTCATTATTTATTAAATGGCAAAGTTTCTCAATGCAAAAAAATCCATCCCAACCCTACACCGTGTTCCCTTCCATCCTTTTGAAACCTTTGATATAGAATTTGATAATGATTGTTAGAATCCACGATATTCGAAAGTGAAGGAGAAGTTGAGAGATTTTATGAGAAAGAAGGTTTTCAGTTTTCACCATAATTATCATGTCACAATAAAAAAAAATATTTATTAATTTTTTCAACTTATACCCTTACAACAGTTGCAGGATTCTTACATTTTTCATTTGGGCTAAACCCACAAGTTAATCACCGATTAAGCATTCACCAAAATATCACCTATTCAATATATTTAGGTGATATTTTGTTGCTAGAAAAAATTGCACATATATATGGAGCAGTTTGGTTAATATTTAACAGAAATTGTGTCTTGCTAAATAATCAAATATATCCCGGTTATTTATCTATCATGATATATGGGTGTGTCCTTAATTTAGTACTAGAAAAACAGCTGAATTGGAGCGTGGAGCAATCGAGTACATGTATGCATTGTGCAAAGAACCCTCGGATTCTATTTCTTTCTCTGCTGAAGCTGAAGGATGGGACCCTGACATTGCTGCAAAGTCTTCACCAAAAGAAGTAGTCTCTGCCCATAACAAAATTGTCACCTTTTTAAAGAGAATATAGGAGCGCACGACGTCAGTGTCAGTGTTACGCGTTACTGCATGTGTTATTAGTTGTTCAAATGGCAGAAATTCAATCTCTAGGATCCCTGTGTATCTTAATTCCCCTTCTCTGACAGAAAAAATAAAAAGACAAAAATGCACATTATCTAATATCTTGGCGACAACAAGACATAGCCAATGCATTGTATTGCCAAATCTATAATGGCGCACATGTGTGTAAGTAAGTGCAGTTGGCTAGGGTATGCACATTTTTAATTACTTTTTAAGTTAAGAGAACAATAAATTGTCAGCAGTGGACTGAAGATCTGGAAAAGTAGGGAGATAACTTACACTGCAATATATATGTTGACTATTTTGGTTTTTTTTTCAATTAAAAATTAAAGTATCACTTTAGCATTCAATGTTGATTTATAAATTATAATATCACTTTTTACTATATAAACTATTGAGATGAAACTTTAATGTTAAAGTTATATATAAAAAATTAATATCACTTAAAATTTGTGAAAAAAACAGTAGTTTCACTGATAATAAAGCCTTGATTCAATTTTGAATTTAGTCCTCAAACTATTGTCACATGATTCAGTGTTGTTGTACATTTTACTTTGTTTAATATTTTTTGAGTGATTTTATTAATTTTTTTTTCAAAAAATAGATATACTCTTGCTGATCTCATGGCCGAATTACATTTAGTCATTGAACCTATTATACTGCCCCTTCCATGTGCACCGATCTGAACCGAATTCAATTTAATAAAATGTGTTGCAAGTTGCAAGCTACCCTTCTCAGCCGTGCAATATATGTAGCCATACTCACTTTTCGTGATTATCTGCTATCAACCTCCACACAATTATCACGTTGAGTTTGTCTTTTGGTTTACATTGATAAAATATTTGTTTGATCATTAGTAGAGAAAAAAATAAAATTTAAATCACGTACAATAAATATGTGGGTAAATTATAGCTTATTCTTGTGTAATTTTATACTTTATTTATTTATTTATTTATTTTTTTTTTATATTTTTATATTACTACTTTTTTAGAGTTATATTAATATGAATCTTAAGATTGAGTTTAACTATATAAAAATAAAAAAGTTTAAAAATAAAACGTTTATTATATTATATTTATAAAAATATAATATTTTTTTAACAATACTTACTATTATTCGTAACTTAAAATAGTCTTAAGAACTCAAATTAACATATTCTATCTCTTTATACTTATTTTTTCATGTCACTTAGCATCTATGCAGTACTACTTTGTCGTATTATTTTATCTTCGACAAATAAGTTTATTAAAAAAATATGTAGAGCAATAAATTGAAAAACATAAAATTGTAAGTGAGTGAAGTGTAATTTAGTCTACATATATTATATTTAATATCTCTTGAAAACAACTCGATTAATAAAATTATGAATATTCTTTAACTTTATTCAGTTGTTTACTCCTGCATGTGAGGCTTAATATGAATCTTCTATTGATAAAAAAGAAAGAAAGAATATGAAATAAAAAGTATGTAACTTCATCTTCATTCTTATCTTTTATCCTCTTCCCTTCAACCACGCACGCATATGTAATTTCAAAATTCTTGAGATAATTCTTATTAGTATGTAATAATATATAAATTCAAGTGTTCTATTATAAAGTTTCATCTTTAAAAAATAATATTTTTAAATTTGAGCCGATTATTGAAGCAGGAAAAAAATTTGAACCAAATATTCATTTGTCTAAATATGCTCGAAAATATAGTATATTAAATGATAGATTATAATTAAACATTTTTAAAAGTTACACCTATTTTAAAAGTTGAAAATCATGAATCTCAACCATATAATTTTTTAATCAATGATTAAATTCATTGTGTGTACCATCTTTCATAAATTTTATGGGCATTAAAGTGGAAAACATTTGTTTTCCAAAAGGAAAACTATATCTTAAGAATCTGTTTGTTTTTGAATTTTTCTACATAATAATTGCTTTTAAAAAAATTTAGTGTGTTTGTTAAAGTTTTTTTTTTAATTAAACTTGAAAACATAAATTTAGTTTTAAAATTTGTTTCAGTAATTTTTAAAAAATTATATACTTAACTTTGAAATAAAAATAGGTTTTTTTTTTATATAACTGCAATAAAAGAAAATTAACATTTGATTATTACAAAACTTCTAAAACATTATTTTTTACATATTTATAAAATAAATTTTTTAGAAAAACTTAAACTAAAACGAGCAACTTTCGTTTGAGAGAGCAACAAAAGCTCGCAGGGACCCGGCCAACTTGTTTATCTTATGATAAGAAAGGTCAAAATAATTACAAAATTTTCAACCTGCATTTAAAAGTACAAGTTAAAAAATATTAAATATATTTTATTAAATACTTTAAATTATTATAAAAATATATTAATTTTTTTTATAATTTTAAGATAATAAAATTTCCATTTTTTGTAAAAATATTTTTTTCTAAGTTTATAAAAATATTTTTAACTTCTTAACATATATCCTTTTAGATATATCTAAAAAAAGTAAAATAATTATTGCAACTGATTGTATTTGAGGCAAGTGTGAAATCGGATTTGTTTTCGTGTTGATAATTTTATTCCTCAAATAGTTAGTACATTTAACAATTTGTTTTGAATGAGGTGCACATTATTAAATAAAGAGTAGATAATATATATCTTTTTACTCACATAATAAAAATTAAATACGAAATAAAATAACGATACCATTCTGATAATAAATTCTGGGTAGAAATCTACGACAGGTAAGTTGCTCACAGTGCACGTGAGTGAAGTGCAAATTACGTAGTTAATTAGTTTCCTTAATTAAACAAATCAAGGATGGTACGATATTATTCTCTTAGAATCCTCTAAGCAGAGTTACATTGACCCTCTGCAATTGCCATCTGTGTCGGCAATCCCGTGGCCTGAATTTGATATAATTCCATGGTACATCAAATCGAAATGTCGATGAGAATTAAGATTCTTTACAATATTATTTATTATTAATTTTATACTATTTTCCTTGTTGGATGCGTATAAATTTGTTAATGTACAAGGTTATAGAAAAGCAGAGCTGGCATTCCCTTTTTAGCTGTCTCTTTCTCTTACCACCCTTCTTTTTTTTCATTTTTCTTTTTCTTGTTTCTAGTACTTCCCTACCATTATATACGATTTCACACGGTTCTCTCTTTCTCTTGTTCTGTTTTTTATGTTCTTCCTTCAACCTCTTGTAAGTCCATGCAACTCTTCCTGCACTGGATTCAGAAGTTTCTTGTTCCATTGCAGTTTCGACTTGTTGCTTCTCAAAGACACATGAAGGGGCTACTAAGTACGTTGTCTTGTTATACCAGAAGAAATTTTCAAGTAAAGTTTGTTCTTTTATTGTTGTTTTATGCTGGGTTAGTTTGTTTTTAATCTCATGTAGCCTGCAAAATCTTTTGTTTGACTCACTTCAACACCTACAATAGGTCTTGATGTTTGTTCCAGTGTTTGGCTTTTACAGTACACTTCCAACTTTATATCATATTGTTATAATGTCTATATAGTAATCATAAATTACGTCGATATCTTGTTAACATCATCTTCTTAATAAAAATTCTGTGGAGACAATTTGAGTGATTAGATATTGGTGACTACGCTAAGGTAGGTTGGTTGAGATATTGTTTTCTTGTCTTTGTAGTTAAATGGTATAGTATGGTACTATGATTTATTAGTCTTGGCCTTTTCATAATATTGTCTAACTGGAAAGTGGAATTTCACTATTAAACCGTTCGCTTGATTGATTTACATGTTCAGTTTGCTTTTTATTCGTCTAGCAATACTGGTATATTATGTTTTAAAAAATTGCATCCAACTGAATAGGCTGTAATTAACTTATAGCGTTTCAGAAGCACTTTCGTATTGTTTCTCCGTCTCAACAGTTATGAAGTTAGAATTGCACTTTAATGCATCTCTTTTTCTATCTTCTTTTTAGGTGGCGGTGCTTTTACTTGTAGCATTAAGCGCTGCTCTGGAAAGCAATGGAGAAGAAAACGGTGGCCCATGTAAACAGAAAGCATTGGATGCTAGGCCTCACAGTGTGTCGATCTTGGAGTTTGGAGCTGTTGGAGATGGGATAACGCTGAACACAGTTGCGTTTCAAAATGCAATATTTTATCTCAAGTCATTTGCGGACAAAGGTGGTGCTCAGCTATATGTTCCATCTGGTAGATGGCTTACTGCAAGTTTTAACCTCACCAGCCACCTCACTCTGTTCCTTGAGAGAGGCGCAACCATCATTGCATCCCAGGTTAAAATCTTCAGCTTGAATTAATGCTCGCTTACCTATTAACTTCTCCATTCCATAATAATAAAAACTCAAATGCATACCAAAAAGATTTGTTTCTGGTATTCTACATCAAAACTAAGTTTAGAAGGAAGTTCAATTAAGGTGAGAAATTCAATTAGTCAGCATATTTAGCAGTGTATTCTATTTTCAAGCAAATATTATTTGTCTCTTCCTTCTTAATAATAAAGAGAACAATATATGTAAAATAGTGGAATCAAATCTTGAATTCCATTTTTGTTTTCTAAACCCTGCCTAGCCATGTTAGTTGTTAAGGATATATTAATGAACAATATTTTGTCAAAGTACTAATTCTGCTTACTCTTGAAAAATTTTATATATCATACCAGGATTATGCTCATTGGGACTTAGTGGATTCCCTCCCTTCTTATGGTAGAGGAATTGATGTTCCAGGTGGGAGATATCGCAGTTTGATCTATGGACAGAATTTAAGTGATGTGGTGATTACAGGTTCTTCCATTACCATCTTGTCTTTTAAATTTTTCTTTCATAGGATAGGTAATATAGTTTTGCCTTACTTAAATTTATGTATTTAATAAATGCACCAGGTGATAATGGAACTATAGATGGGCAAGGCTCTATCTGGTGGGAGCTCTTCAGTTCTCATTCCTTAAATTACAGTCGACCAAATCTTGTAGAATTTGTTGATTCTGTTGATGTCATAATTTCCAATTTGACATTTTTAAACTCTCCTGCTTGGGACATCCATCCGGTATATTGCAGGTACCAGTAGAACATATTGATGCTAATTGATTGATTCCTGAAAGGAATCTGTTTTTTAAATCTTTCTTCTTTTGACAATGCAGTAACATTAAAATTCAGAACATAACTATTCGTACACCAGCTGAATCCCCTTATACAAGCGGTATAGTTCCAGGTAAATTAATAACTCACTTACCTCATTGGGACACAGCACACAAGCTACGCACCTTTGAATCACGAACAGTTTAGTTAGCTAAAACTTTTGTTTTGCAAGCCATAAGAGTTTACTGTTATTTGGTTTCTTCAATTCTTAAAGGTGTTTCTCATTATTCTGATATTTTCAACATGCAATTTAGTTCTATAAACTTGTAATCTTCTTGGGCATTGTGATTCATTAGTCTTTGAAACTTTCAGATTCTTCACAGCATGTTTGCATTGACAACAGCAACATTAGCACTGGTCATGATGCAATTGTGCTGAAGAGTGGTTGGGATCAGTACGGTATTGCCTATGGAAAACCAACCTCGAGTGTCCATATCAGTAATGTTCACCTACAATCATCATCAGGTGCTGGCTTGGCATTTGGGAGTGAGATGTCTGGTGGAATATCTGATATTATTGCTGAGAAGTTTCATGTACTTAACTCACCTATTGGCATTGAACTGAAGACAACTAGGGGTAGAGGTGGCTATATGAAAGACATCTTCATTTCTGATGCAGAATTGGACAATATTTACTTGGGTATCAGCATGACAGGATCCTCCGGTCTCCATCCAGATGACAAGTATGACACAAGTGCACTTCCATTTGTTGGTAGCATTACTTTTAAGAATGTGATTGGTGCAAATATTAATGTTGCCGGGAATTTTTCAGGAATAGATGAATCACCATTCACAACAATCTGTCTTTCAAACGTGACTTTTTCTGTCAGTTCTGAGCCACCCCCTTCATGGTTTTGTTCTAATGTATTGGGTTTCTCTGAGGAGGTTTTTCCTGAGCCTTGTCCTGATCTCCAAAGCTCGTATTCCAAGCTTTCTTTTTCTTGCTTTTCCTCCTTATATATACACTTCAGTAATGTCTCAGGCTTTTTATATCATCATCCCCAAGAATTATAGTCACTCGTTTCATTCACTCTATACATGATATACAAAATTCGATCTCCATCCAGAGCGTCATCAAAATTTTCCAATAAAAGAAGATTCTTGATGCAAATATTTTCCTTCTCTCCATCATTTCAATCGACCTTCCATTGTGGGTGTCAAGTCCATATAGTATATTTATGTACAGCCTCAATTTCTTCATACATGTAAGAAAATTTTTGTTGGTGGTGTACAGCCCAAGACGCTTTTTGCTTTGGATGTGGAGTGCTGCCTTGATTTCTTGTCAATGAATTGACACTGGGGTACAGTGTATTGGTTTTGATAAAGCTGACAGTATTCTCTTTACTTCTCAATATATGATTGTTTATGTTGACTTGCTTGATATAGCAGAAGCAAGCATTGTGATGAAATTTTGTTAGCTTTGAATTCTATGATGTTTTCTTGTCATGGCATGCATAGCCAATCTTAAACTAATTGGTTTAAAATTTGAGGACAGGAATATTAGTAGCTATCTTTTGGTGAGCAAGGTTGAAAAGTTCTTGTCCAAATGTTAGCTTAGTGTGGTCTTGATTCTTGTGCTTTTCCCAGTTGCTAGACAACTATTCTTAACTAGATTAGTCTGGTGTATTGCGAGTGGCCACCAATTCCATCAATGGTTGTTCATTGTCCCACTCCACCTGGAGCTGGGGAACCCCAAGCTGCTACTTACATCACTTCAACTTTCTTACGTACCATCTAATGGAACCACCACTAAGCAGCAATTGGCATGCAAAACATGGTGATCATCGTCATCAAATCTACAAGCGATTCGTTACTTTCCTCATTTACATTAACAAATGTATAGTACTATGATTCTTTTGAAAAGATCTTGTAACTGTAAGGATTTTCTAGGATAAAAAGAGATCCTTATATGCTATGAGTCGAGCAATAACTAATCCCTTGTTACTTTAAACAATTATTAATGTTGATTGCGTTAGTATACAAATAAGCTCTTTTAGAAAAACACAACGGGGCGTTGTTATATAAAGAGACCAACTAATTAATGTATAGTCTATGTATGTGATTTGCTAATGATTCATTCTTAAAAATCTCAACGATGTTGTAAACCCTGCTACTCCTAAGAAAGGTTGATTGAAGCTGACAAAGCCTAAGGCCCCCACAGATTCAAGCCTGCAAACATCAAGCCAATTGATATGATGAATTGTCCTTTCATTTTCACAAGATGCCCATATAAAGTCCCTACAAGATTCATCAGTCTTAATCATGAACACGTATCAGAAGCGTCCAAAACTAGGAAAGGTGCTGATTGATATAATCCACGCGCCATGGAAAGATGATATTTATGAAGTTAAGGCGGTTGTGGCATTAGCTATATGATTAGTTAAATTTAGCACATTTCTCATTCTATTAATTTCAAATTCGCTTATTCTCTCAATTTCTACCTGTCTTTTGGATTCTTCTAGAGTTTCTCAACAAAGAAGAAGCTTTCCATGCATTAAGTCTGCCCCAAACTTACCGGTAACCAAAATAGTTTAAATATAACGAAGGATCAATTTATTTTACAATTGATTGATAGTTTATGGAAAAGCGTCACGTTTGTAAGAAATTAATAACAAGCTCATGTCTATATTTTGAAAATATAATATAGTATGGTAAAAAATATAACTAATTACAACAAACATTTTTATATAAATATAAGTCATATGATAATTTATATAATTTTACTTAAATATATAAATTTTCATAATTATAATCAATTTATTCAATTTAAAGATGAATTTCAATAATAATAAATTTATTAATTTATACTTTAATAACTTAAATATATTTTTCGTTCTTATATCTTAGTAAATTTTTGTTTTTAATCCTTGTTACTAATGTGACCCACTAAAAGCTTATCAAATATTAATTTTTGGTTGACTAAGATAAGTAAAATATAGAAAATAATAAGTTGCTAAAATATAAAATTAAAACAAAAAGTATTTAAAAAACAAAAATAAAAATTCATTAAAATATCGAGGCTAAATAAATATTTAAATTTACTTTAATTAAAAAAAAAAAAACATCCTACTTATTTTATATTACTAAATAACAGGTCATACGATTGCCATTAATAGCCAGCCTCATTTATTTGCTTGCATTAAACTCTAATAGTTGTAAATTTGTCTTCCAGCGGTTACCATATTCATCAAGAAACCGATATTGATATCATAATTGAGCAATGCTTTATAACACGAAATGATCCTTTAAAATGCGACACGAATCTACGTGTTTATAGATTATTGGATAAATATTAAAACAATAATTTTTTTTTTAACAAAATCAACGATAGTCAATTAATAATTTGTTTTCGTATTACACGAGTTCGTGCACTTTTTCCATCATAATTTGATCAGAAAAGAAAAATAAAATTGGTATTATTTATCACACGTTTACGGTTCCGTCCACTTTTAATTTTGTTTTTATTTTTCCAAAGAAGTGGTCTATATAGACACCCCATATATATTCGACGAAATTATGAGATATTGACAATTGGTGTGCGCATGAACGGTGAGAAATTTAACAACGGGAATAATTGTCAATTATGTATAGTGAAGATTGATAAAAGATCATCATCAAAATAATCAATTGAATTGTAACACGGGAATCATAAGATTCGTGTCTTTTTCCGAGAACATTGAGAAGAACCCCAGCTTAACCCAGACTCGTTATTCATCCCTTCATTATCTGCCATCATCATATCAATTAGCAATCCCTGAAGATCCTCCATCATGCCTTTCTCATCCTATAATAATCAATATCCAAAATATATTCATAATTTATAACCGTTATATCCGAAAATGAAATCAACAAGGCAAAACTCTTTTCATGAGTTTATTATTGATATGCAGTACCTTGGGTCTCACTTTCTGCATCATTAAAATCATTTCTTGCATAAAATCAACAAATTCCTACAATTCACAATTCCAAAATTCAGAGACCCAATCTTATGTCATAGTTAATAAATAATTAATACACCAAAACATCAGAGAAACTCACCCCATCGTCGTCCTCTCCAATGAGACCAAAGAAGCCAGCGTCGTATATCCTTCTCTTCCCTTTATTGGACAAAACTACATTTACAAAGTAAAGCAGAGAAAATCAATCCCAACCTCATCATAAACAAATTATATTACACTTACATTAGCTTAATTTGTTCACGTAAAGCACCTGAATAAGCCTCTTGAACGCGTTGAAACCGCTTTTTAGCTTCTAATGCAAGCTTCGGTTCCTTGATCCACCTATCAGGATGCCACTTCTTTGTAATCCAAGAGGAGCAAACACATATTGAAAACTTCAGAACTCAGCTAAATAATAATAATGATAGTAAATTATATTATAGTATATTTTGTTTGAGTCCAAGGAATACGTGGGAATACCAGAGCCATCTTACGATAGGCACATCGGATTTCGTCGTCGGTGGAATGTTTGGCAATCCCAAGAACCGAATAATAACAAACAGCATTTTGGGCGAAAACTGTAATATTTGGGCGAAAAATAGAATTTTGGGCCACAATATTTAAAAATACTAGTACTTTGACCAGTCCCTCTCCTCTTGTCAGTCTGAAAGCCATAAAAAACAGCATTTCATAAACGGATTTAAAACAAAGCTGAAACTACATTAAATTTTTACTGTTTTATTTTCTATATATAATTTCCAGGAAAATAATTTAACAATAGAATACAACAAATCATTCCATTATATTTTTTCTTCGTATGCCAAAGACTGGCCTACTTTGAACATAGTGATAAGGTCAAATAGGAAAGTCGTTCTTTTAATAAAACGTGTCAATTAACGTAGTCGATAAAGTTGATTTTAATTATCTGTAATCGAATTCAACCTTCACCACATCTTTCTCTAGAATGTGAAAAGTTTAAAATTAAGCATCTGCTTTTATTCTATTAAAACTTTTCTTCTTAGGACTTTAGTTCATTATAAAGAAAAGGTATGCATTTTATTTATTTTTCCATGATCCAAAAGAGAGAATAGCATCAATTGATTTAGTGCTACAGAGAAAAATGAGATTTATTAAATAACAAAAAACGCTTAACGAAAGAAATGGAGGGGATTTATTGGAGGAAAGAAAATTTATTTGTGCAAATGAAAAATGATTGCAGTGTTAGGTGTTTCAAATTTTTACATCCCCTAAAATCTAGAGTAAAATAAAAGAATGTCATGATACAAAGCAAGCAACAGGCATTATTGCTCCATTATCTGTGTGATTACAAATTACAAAAATTACAAACCGAAAATAGAAAATTATAACAAACGTTCTCTCTCCTCAATCTAAAAAATTGAAAAAAATAAAAAAATCACTCTTTTTCGTTTTCAATTACACATTTACTTTCTACTCCCAGTTTTACGTTTCACGTCAACGGGAGCTGGATGCCTTCCTGTTCGATTTGAGACACCATTTGATTGTTTCAATGAAGGTGAAGGACCAAGAGAAGAATGAACACCATTCTTGCTGGAAAATTAACGATAAAATTATTAACATCCAATAGAAAGTAGATAAAAAAAATGATATAGACTTTAGTAGAGCATGTATACTATATAAAAGAAACATTTTACTAGAATAACATTCTTTTCATTACCTCAACTCTGGACTTTTTGCTGCCTTTGTGATGGATTTGATAGCCTTTGATCCAATTCCATTGGTGACGCTGGTGAGTTTGGAATGATTAAACTGCCAAAGTAAGTCAGGTTCCGAGGAATCACTGGTTGCAGCATCAAGCTCATCCATGTCATCTGATCCAGCAATGTTAAAGTGGTTGCTTCCCATGAACACATTATAGGATTGTTCTGAGTACATTTTGGAAGAATCTTGGAGGTATTTCTGATAAAATGTCTCAGATAAGTTCCCATTGCTTGCTTGCCAACAGCCCAAGAGATTCTCGGTTTTGTTTACGTCTTGTCTGTTTACCATGACCTTATCAACCCATTCTCCAGAACCAGTTTCTTTGTCATCCTCTCCATAGTTTTGTCCAAGACTATTCACTGGGGGCCATGGTGGTGAATTTGTTGATATCTCATCAAAATCAAAGCTCTCAGTTTTGTGCCTCAATGTGGTATTACTCTGAAGCTGCAACATGTGTAGTTCAAATTCCATGTGTGTTTCAACATGGAATTGTAATAAGTTAATAACCAAACAAAATTTGCATGGCTTGGCACACAACTTTTGATGGTTAAACGTGTTTGTTCCTAACCAAAGTTAGGAGTTGAGTACACAAGACTGTATTTTGAGGATCCCATTGAATTAGCAGTAACCATGTGTTTGCTCAACATCATAACAACGCTTCAGATCAAAATTTTCTAAATAAATTCTCAATACACAAAATTTAAGGGTATTTCTGTTTTAGTATACACCAAATCACTTTAAAAAATTAAAATTCTTTATCAACATAAGAAAACCATGAGGAAATGAAGTATAAATACATACCGCTATGTTGCCAACATCAACCATTGGTCGCCTGCATCCAAGCTGATCACCAGTGTCTGCATCACGCTGGTTTATATGATAAGGTGATAGCTCACTAGCCCTAGTCCTGTATTTTCCGGAGCTGCTGGATAAAGAATGTTCTGATTCTCCTTCCTTTCTTGTTAGAGCTGCCTTAAGGCTAGCAATCTGAAACACAATTCAATAGTTAGATATAATTGAAAAGATAAACAAATTACTAAGATTTAACTATCAACCTGTTCTTTGAGCTCTTTAACATCTGCACCATCTTTGTTTACTCGAGCAGCACCAAGTTCAACTGTAGCAACTCTTTCAGCAAACTTTAAGGTACTAATTGTTTCTCCAATAGCATCACTCTCTGGACTTATGTGAACAAACATCAATGTCTTAGCCTGTCCTCCTGAAACAAACCCAACAAACATTATCAGAATTCAAAAGAATTGTACAACTCAATGAGAGAAAATAATATAGCTGGCAAACCAAGTTCTTAAACCTTACCAAGTGAATCTTGGAGTAACTGTGTGAGTTTACTATTTCTATAAGGAACATGAGAGTTTTTCTGAGCAAGGGAAGCAATGACATCTCCCAAAGCTGAAAGCGATTTGTTAATATGCTGTGCTTCTTTTAGTCTATCACCTGTGGCCTCAGATTTATCTACCCTCTCACTTCCTGCCAAGTCAACCAAATGCATGCATCCACGAAGAATGGTTCCAGATGCCAAATCTCTTCCTTGAACATGAACAGTCAAGCAACTGCCAAATTGATATATGGTTAACTGTGTCCAAGAAATATCATCACATAAACAACATTGGATAAAAGGAAAATGAATATGACATACCTATGAGATCTACTACTGCGGTCATTAAGGGCTGTTGCTCCAACTGCACGGTTCCTTTGGCCAAGGTTCATTAGTTCAATAACATCACAAGTTGATGATACAGGAACTAGGCTTGCATCTGGCACACTGAGCCCTTTGTGAGAACTACTACGAATTTCTAATGTATCAATGTGTTAAGGCAAGCATCATGATTAAATCTTGTTTTCATTTATCAGTGCTATGTATGTTCTATAACTTTTGAGGTTATATAAGACCTAAAATATAGTCTTCTCCAAACGAGAATAAAATAACTGGCAAAAGGATATCTTTTGTTTGTTCCATCAGTGACCAATAGATCCCTGACTTGCTCATTATAAATTTCAATCATTTGAACAGAAACGTCATAGTGGAAAATGTCTTTTCTTTGGTCAGCTATAAGAAACAAGTCGCTTAGAGCCCTGTAATTTACACCTTGGCTTTTCTCTGTGATCTCTTTTGGTCCACTCTGCATATAAAAAACATAAATCAGCAAAATTTCATTTAAAATTTCAAGGATTTTTAACTTTTCCTTTTAAAGAGAATAATTCAAATGTATCCTACCATAGTGTAAGTTTTTCCTGATCCTGTTTGGCCATATGCAAATATGCAAACATTATAACCATCAAGAACAGATCTAATGAGTGGCTGCATATCTAAGAAGACCTCAGCTGCAACACGAGAGAAATTTTTAATCACACTAAAAAATATAAATCCTGGAGATAATTGAAACCAAAAACAAACCAACCTTGTGTTGCAGATGGTCCAAAGACTTTGTTGAAATTAAAGGATCTGTGTCCCTTCCCATTTTTTGAAGGAATACTAACTGTGATAGTGCCATCTTCTATATTTTCCACTGTGCTCAAATGGTTTGACTGTCCAGAAAAGAAGGGTCTTACTCGACAGTACACCCTAATACTTCCTGTTCAAGCAAATTTACCCACCTTAATTCAATTTTGGGATTAAAAAATATATAAAGGCATAAAGGCCTGAACTAAAAGCAACAACCAGATATATTTATTACCCTTAAGATCCTGGACTTGATTGTATAATTTGCGATTTTCTTCAAGAACTCTATGATATCCGGAAGCAGCATGAGCTAAGCCATGAATGTGCACACCTACAAAGAAAAATTAAAAATGTTACATAAGATGCGGCATCTCATCCCCCACAATGAACAGGAGAAGAATAGAGTGAAAAATTAAAATGAATTAACCACAAATTACCAAGATTGGAAAACTCCTCATGAAATTTCACTTGCATGAACTGCATACCAGCTTTTGTGCTGTGAAGAGTATGCTTTAGTTCCTACAATAACATAAGGGAAGGAATTTAACTAACGTGGTAAAAAGTTGCAAAGATGAAACATGGTAAACATTATCTCAGGTTCTCTACTTGAATTTCTCTTTGCTGCTGGTCAAAGAGCATTTGCTTCTTCATAAGTTGGCTTTGTGATTCCTCATCAGCAACTCGATTTTTATGAATGTAATCCTCTTTCTTTGTTACCATATAAATCTTATGCTCCACCTAATCACAAATTAGATGACTATAAGAATTCCTGCATTTTCAAGTATCATCAATGTCCTGAAATATATTAAACACGAGACATGTTACCTTTCTATCTGCAATAGAAATCTTTGATACAGACCCGTTGCTTTGAGAAACAGGATCACCCGAAGTTATTTTTGTCTGGGAAGTTACATGGTAAAGGGAAAAAAAAAATAAGAACAGCTTATGACCAAAATCAACTTAAGTAAGGACAAGTATTCTCTAGGAATGAGGTAAATAGCTCATAATATGACCGGCCAAAATTAATGACATTACTACGACTAGAAGGTGAAAACTTTCATACCTGTTCACCTTGGCTAGCAATTCGATGCTCAAACTCCTCTACAACTTTGTTCAAAACAGATTCAACCAACTGTTCCAATGTAGAAGAAGAAAAATATTTACTTAAGAACAACTAGTACTATCATTATAGTAGTCTTTCATGACAATGTTATAATTTTCAAAAGTTATCATAGTAGAGGCAAAGAATCTCAAGTTATAATCTATAAGGCCTTATTTGATTAATAAAGTTGTGATGATATTCCCATACCGTTGGAACTTCCTCTGGCTTCTTATCTGATAGAATTGCACGAACAAGCATACTCAAAGAATGTGAACCAGACTGCAAGTATAGTAGAAATATAAAATTTCATTAGTTATTCTTTCTGTTCAACTATACAAATCCAGAGCAGGTATAAATGCCAAAAACCAAGCTTACCTACCATTTTATTACATTCAACGTCAGAATTAAGAGCAGTTAGAGATTTTTCATTAGCCGATGAAGTCCTTGACAAGGAATTAGTAAATGGCTCCGAATTTTTTCTCACAAACGACTTTGCAGCGATAGTAGGTTTGAGATTTCCACCAAATTTCCACGCACCATTTGCCCCAGTCATTTTCCATTCACTATAGGATTTCAGAGCCAAGACGCAATTCACAATCCTAGATGATTTTCCTCCCTAAAATTTCGGAGCCAAGTACAATACATTATTAAACTTCCAGACTCCGCAAATTTGAAGTGTCAACAGATTTTCTGGTGTTATTAACAATTGAATCCACCATGATACAAATTCATTAATTAAATAAAAAGTATAATATGTATATAATGCTTTATTTACATACTTGTTCCAGATCAGATGCCTCAAAGGTAGGAAGTCCAATTTCTTGGACAGCCACAAGGAAATTCCTCACGTTTTCGAAATACTGATATGCAGTTAATGGTGCTCCATCAGGGATCAATGCAGAATCAACAGGACTCTCAACCACCTTAAAAGAAGAACACATTGTAAACAACAGCAACAACAACAACAATAATAATAATAACAAAAAACTGAGTAAATTACATTACACTATGATCTAGCCCACCTTGGGTACTGCTCCGGATTGAACTTTGTTAATAACATTACACAGAATAATCCCACTTCTCAAACCAAGCCTAAACTCTTCCTCAGAGGGCTCAGCTGGTAAATCTTTAGCTGCAACTACACCAACCATTTTTCTCAACCACCCTGCAGCTTCATATCTTCTCGATGCTGCATGGTAAAAAATTTTCTAGTTCAGGATGCTGATGCAAAATCCAGACAGCTTTTCTTTGAGAACGAATTGAAACTCATCAAATTTCAGTAAAAGCAACCACCATAGACAAAAAGAGATGATCAATAGAAACTTTCAGTTTCACATAAAAAGATGAATGTTCACATATTAGTATTATTATTATCTGCAATTCAAAAACTGAATTTTGATGGAAACCCAGAAAAAATAATGGGAAAATACCAGCTTCTTCGGCTTTCCTAGATTCCAAATCAAGATCCTTGAGTGGAGGACCGTGCTGTTGAAGCACATCCTCCACCACCGATGCAACAGAAAAGAACAATGCCGCCTCTGCCGCCATAACAGGAGCACCAGAAAGTGACCAAACCAATATTCCTCACCAGAGACCAAGCTCATCGACATTGCACAATCTGATCCATCAGATGAAGGAGGACGAGAAAGCTGAATTTGCAGAGAGAAAAACAAAGAATCTGAGATGAGGAAGACAGAAAATAACAAGATTTTAAAAGCGTGCTATGGTTTTATATGAGATATTACGGGGGATGATGGTATTGAGTGTTGTTGAGATTTCTTTCCTTGTTAGTTGTACGCACACACACATTCTTCATTACCTTTATCTAGCTTTTCTCTTTTTCTCCCTACAACAAATACAAAGTGGTACTCGTACAACAGCACTACAGGTAGTTCATTAGTTCTCTTTCAGTATCAAAACTCACTTTATACTCACCACTCTTTTCTCTTTCCCCCACCTCAACTCCGAACCTAGTCCCACACCTCCCTCTTCCATTCACTAAAATTAAGATTTATGTTTTCCCTTGGGTTTGTCTCCCAAGCCTCACTTCCTTTCAAGGAGCGTGCGCTTCACCCCACTTCTTCTTTTTCTTCTCCTCACCAACCAAGGAAAAAAAACATCTGTTGAATGTGGATTGGTGATTTATGTTGGATACTAGTATGCCTTAAAAAGGGATATTATGGTTGGATTTTAGGATCGTATGCAAATAGAATGGGTTGGATCTTCTAGGCTCAGGCTTGTTTTAGTAACTTTGTACTAGGTCAGTGAAGAAGTAATTTCAAAGCAAAAATATCGTATCTTAATACGAATTTTAATGTAACTCAATATAAAAAATTAGTGTAAAGTACTTAAATAATGCTCTAAAAATATTTATTAATAAGATTTTTAAAAAATGTTAATTTCAGATTATTTTTTACTTGTTTGCACTACGAGTATCGTCCACTAGAGTTAACTATGTTTTAATCAACTAAAATTTTAATGAATGAAAAAAATTCTTTATCTGAATATTTAATTCTAAAAATAATTCAATTTTTATATTATAAGTTAAGTTGAAATAATTTTATAAGTTAATTAACGTGCCCAGTAATTTTAAATTTTAAAACTTAATTTAAATTCTTATTATATTTTTATAATTTTAATATAACATATATACTCTTTAGTAAAAAAAAGAAATGGCTTTTCAATATTAAAAGTTAATGTTACAAAACTTTAACAATAATTTCTCAAAAGGAAATCGAATGATTTATATTTTCGGCTACAAGCGCATGCAATGATTTATCTGAAGCAATCTTTAATGATGTTGTTTAACCAATTAAAGGAATAATCAATTTTAGTTACACTAAAATATCAATAATTTAGATGATGCTTTGATTTTGGTAATTGTCAAGTGGCTAGGCCAACCATTAGCCCGTTAATGATTCTGCTTTTATTTTAGGTCATTATTATTAGTGCTCCGTTTTTACTGTTCCATTAAGACTCATGAACCTGTGTCCTCATTTCCCCCCACCAACTTAGTCACACCAAGACTTGCCATATTATTTTTTTTTCTATTTAATTCCAAGTTTTCAGCCTTAAGAAAAAAGAGAGGAAAATATTTTTGAACATCAATATGAGATAATAAAAAATTATTTCTTTTAATTTTGAGATATATTGTTAAGATATATATGTATAAAAGAAGGTAAAAATAGTTGAAAATATATATATAGATATGTTACATACAGTATTCATTTTCTAATATTAAAGTAATAAAATTGAGGAAAAAAATGTATTACGTACAATTGTTTAGGGGATGATCATGTCTTGATATATTGGTTGTCGACGTAACCTTTTACTAATAAAAAAATTGAAGTGTATAATTTAAGAGTTATGACATGATCACTGTTTCTTAATATATATCACAATCGCTTAGATGATCATTTGCTTATTCTATTCTATGTAATGTGCTACCGTGTGAGAAATAAAGTAAAACAAAATAGAATAATCGAGAAAAAGAAAAATGAAGTGCCGCCGGTTCCTAACTTAACGGAACAAAAACCCTCTTTTGGGGTCAAAAAAGAGAGGTTGGGGTGGTTGGATTTGTCTGCTTCGTCAAGAATCGTAAAAACGCCATATTTACTAAAGAGCGTGTTCGACAAAAATAATTCATAGATTGGTTAAAAGTTTAAAATAATCTTTTTTAATTGAAAATTGAATTATATTAAATAAGTTCATTTATTGAATTAAAAAGTATTTTGACAATATTTGAAAACATCCCTATAAAGAGAGAGAGAGAAATGCATTGAAAAAAAAAGGATTATATGATTGAAAAAACTCACTCATAACACATTTTAACTTAACTGATTGAGTTGACTCGAGAGGATAATTAAGCATGATTTGTCTAGTGTTAAGAATAAGATGATGATGATTTTGTATGGATTAGATGGTGGTGTTGTTAATTAATCTAAAGAACAAATGAACTATAAGCACAAGGCCACGTAGCAACAACAGTGGGTTGAGGAAGTTGAGAAGGTTTATGGTAATGAAATAATCCATAATGTAGCAGTAACTTGAAAACGAATGGGGCATGCAACCACACTATTTGGTAAACGTTCTCTTTCAGTTAGTGCAATGGTTGTTGGAAAACAGTTCTCCCCAGCCTTCAAATGATAATGATGAAATTAAAACCAAGATAGTGAAAACGCAGTGCAACAACTCAGCATCAATTGTTTGTGCCCATCTCATTAAGCCAATTATGTTTCCGCTCAGTTTTAAGTTTCCAGGAAATAACTTTAAGATTAAATTACATATTTTAATTTTACTCACTCTTTTATTACATTTCAATATATGTCGTTCAAACGTCGTTAATCATAAAATGGATAAAAACATAACAAAATATTTATACAATAATTAAAATATAATATTTTAAATATATAGATTCATTTATAAATGTCTGAATATATGAATTAAATGTATATTTTAACTAATTATAATTTTAAAAAATATATGACGTCAAATTTAGTTGAGAAAAAAATTTGTATTATAACTAAATCTTATATATTGTATTATGAATGTAGTATTTATATTTCAAAGAGCTAACAACTAGGATACAACTAGATATATCTAAAACTTTTTTATAATTTGACCAGATAAATAACCGTACCAATCTAATTTTTTACACGTGTCAGTTAAAGTGAAAATTAAAAATTTTAAACATAAATAAATAAGGAGCTAGTGAAATTTCAAAAAATAAAATAAACAAATTAATGATGAAAAATAAAAACAAAAAACGAAAAAAAGTAAACATTATGAAGATTAAAAAAAATGAATACATAACGATATATTTTTAAGATGTTAATAAATATATTATAGAATATATATAAATATCATTAATCACATTGGAGACAAAAATTCTAGATAAGGTTAACGCATCATTTTAATGTAAAAAAAAAGCATAAAAAACATGTATAATTATTATTTTAGGGTGAAAAAAATTTGCATAATTTGTAGCATTTGTGATTTATAGGAAGCAAATAAATTAATAACTATATACATGATTTTTTAAAATTAATAATTTTATGATTAAAAGACAGTCAGTATATTTCAATTGAAATATTATTAAATTTAAAATAAAAGCTGTTAAGTGCATTAAAGGGCGAGGGCATAGTTGTAAATTGGGCAAAGAAAGAGTCAAGAGCATCCCCTTAACGTTCAAAAAATTCAAATTGGTCGTTCGGAACCAAATCGATTAGGTTCGGGAAGGCCCACGAGAGCGTTTCAAAAGGGACCCACTTTACCGACAGTCATAGGTCATTGATGGAGAGAAAGACAAGATCGGACGGCCTTCTAACTGGAGTGAGCCTTGATATTTTTCCACGTGGCGAACTTTCAACCGGCAACGTGCTACTGCGTCAACCAGCGAGTGACCCGCTCAATCGGACCCTTAATACAACCATTTGGCACCTAAGCGCGTGGCGTATGCATTAGCCATGCAGTATAATAATTACTAACCACAAATGTTACATAAATGTTTTAGAAATTTATGATAAAATTATCATAAAAAATAATTTTCAATATTTAAAAGTAAAAACTTACTGAAATTTCGACAAGATTTCTCAAACTTTACAAATGTGGGATTAGGATTTGAAGAATATATAATACTTAAATTTGATGTTGAAAATGGTGCATTCTGAAAAATAAAATAATCTAATTAATTTTCCTTGTCAAGATTCTGAGTAAAATACGAGCATTTAAGTGTTTTAAGTAGAAGAAATTTAATAAAGAGACTAAATTTGTATAATTTAAAAAATAAATATACTTAATTAACTAAACAAAATTAAGATAGCAAGTATTGCAAATATTTCAACTAAAGAGATAAAAATATAACTAAACTGATTAGGGAAGAACTCGTTAACCTTAATGACTATGCTTCAGATGATTGCTACTCATTTTTTTCTTGGGGTGGTGGGGGCAGATCTGTTAAAATTCAAAGCGGAAATACATAATATCTTACGCATATGGGGCCTGTTTAGAATTGTTGCATTATGATCACTCCTAAAGGTAATTGATTTTGGATTATAATTAATCTGAAACACTAATAAATCTAAGAAAACTTGTAGTTACAGTTATTATTGAAAGGGTAAAGTTATGTGCTATTGCTTTTTCTTTATGACTTTCACATGTTAAGTGAGCCCAGTGCTGCCCACAATATATATGATTATATTCGTGAATTCTCTTTGTGAGAGGTTCACATCACATTCTGCTGCAAAAATGTGCTATTTCATGCTGTCAACTCTGAAGTTGGCCAGCCACATCATACATCGGAAGCACATGCACTTTCATTTTTTACAAAGCAATGCTCAATATTCGAATATAATGTACGCCGACCTGTGTTAATCTTTTGCTTTGTTCGGATATTTTTACCTTAAATAAAAACAAGAATGAGATGTTTGAAATCGTATTCTTCTATCTAAAATTGTTGCTAATTCACGACTGTGACTATGATTTTGATGTTTGTTTAAAATTAAAATGATAGAAAGAAGACAAACGTGTCAACATTATTACAATCCGGTTGGTATTTTGTTTAGTTTTTTAAAATAAAGAGAAACTCTCTCAATTTCAATGTCACGACAAACTAACAATGCCAACGAGAAATCATAATAAAACTATAACATTTCCTTTTAATAGAAGAGTCTGAATTCGAATTCAAATTCAAATTACGATATCATCACCAATGAAAGGCTAAGTAAACGAGTTTGCTCAAGATGTGCATAATCCTCTATAATTTTTATGTAATGTACTTGCATCTTAATGAGTCATTATAAGCAACATTATCCACAACCCCAAAATATAAGAAGATTGTCACTTACTGTATTCATCATAGTTGTGACCTTCCGAAGGACAACTTCGGGTTTCGTAAAAAAGGATACCACAAGATAAAAGGATCAACATAGCCCCTTTTCCTGACAAAGTTAAGCCATTCATCAAAGCGATCATAGTTACAAGCATATATAACCCATAAAGAAAATAGTGAAAAAGTTAATGATAGATGGATATATAATAAAAAGACGAATATATAGGGTATTTTATATTTTTAATTAAAATTCAGTTATATTTAAATAAAATGGAAACATTTAATGTTATTATAAATTATCGAAATAAAATTTAATTTAATTAAAAATAATATTAAAAGTACTTGAGAAACTGTGTTTAAATTTTGTTTATAATAATAGATTAAGGAATTTTAATATGATATTATTTTAAACACATTTCTTGTAAAAATTATTAAAAAATGTGTTACTATCATTTTACTCCTAATAATTTTATAAGGAAAAGGGAAGCCAAACCATTACTTTAATTTTTTGTGTGGGCGGTGTAAGGTGTTGATGCGTTACCAAAATGTGCCGGTAGAGTGGGTGGGTTTAAACTCACAAGGGAAAAAAGGGTTGATTGTAGAATTAATTAATGGTCAAAATTGAAATAGAAAAATGGTCCAAAAAAGAAAGTTGCACTTTCTCACCCTCGAATAATTAAAAGATGGAAAGGAATAGGTCTTTGGGACCGACCAAACTACTGTGAAGGTTAAGGTGAAACTCACACTGTTCTCATCCATACCCGCCCATGTTTTCTTGTAATCTCCAATGTACTTGTGATCACATATTGTTTCTCATTTCACGACAGTAGTAACGCCACTCACAGTCAACTAGTACACTCTTTGTCTTCATCTATCTCAACCCGTCTTACTGTTAATAATAAGAAATCTTGTTGATAGGTAAAATTATACAAGTTTAAATTAAAGCAATACATAGTCATTTTTCTTTTGGATGTGACATAATAAAAGTGAACAAACGAATCCAATCCCACGTGTCATGCCTAGCCGTCCAAGGATGTCTTCAACTTTGGATGCCAAGGAGTGGCGCTAATGCTTAGACTTTAATCTTCATTGTAATTAAGTTAGTAACCCGCTTTATATTCACCAATGAGTTCATCATTGCCTCAATTAGCATAAGTTAATTGGCATCCTCATGAATTTTTCTAATTTAGTTCAGGGGAAATTTTCAAAAGTTTTTTTTTTATGGCATGAAAGAAAGAAATAAAAAGTTTTGTGCGATAACACATGTTCTCCTTTAAACAATATAAGATAGCATGCTTATTGCTTCGCAAGGAATTAGGAATCTGATGGAGACGTGTTCTCTCGCTAGAGATAAACATCCCTGCTAATAGGACGCTTTGTTTGGTATTCAAAGTCTCTCTGATTTTGACAACTCAACTTGCATAAAGCTTCAGCACTACGTATTCTTCTTCATGAGCTCTACACTTTCATTCTTGTGTTTGCATCGAGTGCTCTTACTCGTTTAATATAATTTGAGAGAGCAAAGTAGCCCTCCAAAACGTCTCAGAACTCAATTTAAGCATCGCAAAATAAAGCAAAAATTAAAGAGCCTGATTCTCATTATATTTTCCATCTCTATTTTTTCCAATGAGATTTTAAAATTGATTATAGTAACCTGAGAATTTGTATCCTAAAAGACTATGGATTCGTCTGATAACTGCTTCTTTTTTTTAAAAAAAGATTTTTGTTTTTGAAAATGTATTCTTTTTTAAATGCATATATACAAATGCTTGCCATGATAAACTATTTAGACGTATCCACTGTCATTCCTAATTACATGTATCCCTAGTTGCGAGCGTATCGAAAATTTTCTTTAGAAAATTATTATCTACCTTCCTATTTTGCCTTCCAAAGGAAATAATATCCCACTACTCTGAAATAATATATAGGCAAAGTTAGGTTAAGTTTTATGAGGTCCAAACTCCTGTTTCTCAAATTTATGGCCTCCTCTATCTCAGTTCACAGTTGAAGAATTACTTACAACTTGATATTAGTTTAAAAAAACATTTTTTCCCACATGAGTTAGGAAATATAAAAAAAATAAAATATTTGACCAGTAAATTCACATTATTGATGTGGCAAGTACCTGACTTGTGAATCTAAATTCCAGGACCCTATATGCAAGATATTTGAAGCAACACATTGTTCTAAATATGTTTTACAGAATATGATTATTCAACGGCTTCCAAATAAAATAAGCAGCATGAGGATATCCTCGTAGCACTTTATCATCTTTATCGTCATTATCACTCTCGAATCTGTAATTATCCCTCAGTCTCCCTACAAAGACAATGACTTTACACAAGTTTGACGAGGGAAACCGGGTTCAATTGTGGTTGAAATGTGTGAGCTCTACCATACATAAACAACTAAAAATCACAAAGAATGATATCTGCATCGCCAAGAGAAGGATTACTCAGCTAGACTAAATTATGTTTTGGAATCTAATTGCTATAGAAGACAGAAGGTCAATCATCGCAAAATATGACCCTGTGGATCAGAAGGAAAAAGTGAAACAAGAAATCGGTGTATCATTTCGAAGCTCGTGAATGTGATGACAGCAGCTGGTGTTGTCCTTAGAAGGTTGGTGGCACAACCTCGGTAAAAGCCTGATACACCTTCCTGTTGAAAAACCTTTCTAATACAGTCAATCACACCAGAGTACCGTTTCTCTGAATGATGCCCTTGTTCTTGCAGTCTGGAACGTACAACCTGTAAACAAAATACGAAAATATTTTGTAACTTTCTAATTCTTGTCGGCCCAAAGAACAGAAATACCAAAAAAAGAAACAGAATTCGTGAACCCCTCCCCAATTAACAGATATAAGGCTTTGTAGTTTCAAAGTTGGGAATGAATGAAAAAAAAGCGAACTCAAAATATTCATGAAACTGCTAAATACAGTGAAGATAGGATGCTTTGAACACTGAAAATGGATTCTAAATAATTTTCCCATCAAATGATGGGCAAGATAATTCATTAACTAGACTAGCAAACTAGAGGTGTGAGTACCTACCTATTTGCAAAAATATCCAAAACTAAAATAAGTCAATCATTAAGCAGCATACCTCATGAGGATATGTCAATGTGGAAGCAAAAATTTTGGAGACTGATGAGGCAATTGCAACATCACGTGCTCCAAGTTTATCCATTGCTGAGTCATCTGATACAAAAGGGTGAAAACACTAATTAACTGCCAAAACTTTCAAGAGTTCACAAAGAGCTAAGGCATGCATGAAATTACCTTGATTTGCCAAATAAAATTTTATTGTCTCATAAGTTGGAAATTGGATGGCAACATGACTAATACCAGCTAGAGCAGGTACAAGGCCACTGTTAATGGTAAAGAACATCTAAATGTCATTAAATTATTGACTATAATGCTATAGACATTGATCATCTCGTTGCATTTATGTTAGGCAACACCAACCTGTATAACCCCCGAATGCCCTCCTCATGTGCAATTCTTCTTAATGCAGATAGCGTGCTCCTATATGGTACAACACCAGGTCTCATTCCTTGGGTCTGCATTAAAAAGGGCAGCAAACATATAGTGCAGAATACACACATAAGCACTTATAAGTGATAATAAGATAAGAGAAGCCCTCTAATTCTATTGTCTCTGGTTTCAACAAAATATATGCAAGACAAAGTTTGTGCATACTAAAATAAGGCAAGTTTGTATATTTATCAATGCTTCAGCATTCATAAAACCTTGCTCTTAAATGGATAACACAATCTGCCCATAGCAAACATATTTAAATTAGCTGTTCTATGTGTACATTTTTTTCCCCCAATTCACTAGATAAAGGTTGTGCTATCTTGCACGGAGATCAAGCACACAGACAAAACAATGTCAAATTTATTGTGCCTTCATTTCCTTCTTTGATTACCACATCATTCTAGACATGCTAGGGAAGAAACGAAAAGAAAACTAAACTGTAAAATATCAAACTCCATGATACAAATGGTAAATACGACAATCATATGAGCTTTTTACCCTCCACAAAAGTACTGGTTGCATATATAACTAATAATCTAATTGACCCATGCATTATGCCAAATTTAAGTATAGGCCCTTAACATAGTCAAATAGATCAGCATAAATTTAGTATGAACAGGAAAAACACACTTGGAGTCTAGTCTTGACAACCCAAAGGGGATTTGTAAACATTGTAGTTGCAGCTCCAGCACCAGAAGCAGCTATCATGTTAGCTCCAATTGGAAGATGGTGGCTTTCATCTGCACACATAACAAAGCTATTTTAATCTATACATCTACATAATGAGGGGGAAAAACACAGCAAGCTGACAACTTAAAAATAAAAGTCAATCAATAGATTAATGCCATCACAAACAAGATAATGCTTTCAATAATCCCTTATTGGGATCAATAGAAAATAATCATTAATGGACTAACCATCAGAATGAAGAAGGCTCTTGAGCTGCTCATACATTGTAAAATAAACCTACAAGTTCCCAAATCGATTCAGTTAGAATACTAACAGAATATAACAATCCTCTGCTTACAAAAAGAATGTAGACAGGCAAAATATATAGATTTTTACAGCCCAATAAAATAAATTATCCAATATTAAGCTGATAGGCAACAAGAAAACACCAAAGGCATACACTTAAATCAAGCAATCTTACTAATTTGGCATTAAAAGTAATAGAAATGCCTCATAGTAACGCCCATCGCTCTGCTGTGCCGTAACTATCAAGAATTACTAGGTTTAGTAACTGACCACTTAGTTTCACTTAATTTAAGACTAAGTTACTTTATTTCAGAGGTATTTTAGTTAAGCCAGATGATGCTTTAAAGTCCACTATTCAGTCTTCTCCATCTATATGCTATATTTATGGTTCATTTCCTAACTTATTTGAATAAATTGGTTTTGAGCACTTTATTTATTAGCAGCAAGTTTTTTAACATGGACCTTAAGTCATTAAGTTTGGTCCCCAATTTCTGACTGATCCCATTTATGTCCACAACTGTCAAAGTTTCCATTATTCTAACCCAATATTTCTTCCCATTACTCTTCTGCTCAACAAAATCTTAACTCTACCTAGTCCAAATCCTCAAGATTCTAAAGAATATACATGAGACAAAATGATGTATTTTCATGGATGTCAACAATTTGGAGGGATGTAGGGTATGATGTCGTAGAATAATCCACAGTTCAAGATCTTTTTTGTCTTCTACCATTGGAATTTCAGTTTCTTCTCCAATAAAATTCTAATTTTAACACAAACACGTTCCATTTCTCATTTGCATAGAAAGTGTGGCCAAATAACTTATCACTCTGAACCAACCATAAAAATGGAGGTTGGTTGATACGTGATCAAAGGTAGAGTGATGGTGTATTCTACTGTATTTCCAGGGGAAAAAAATTTAATTGAAATCCAATCTTTGTCTAGATATCATGAAACGTTCATATTCTTAACTCAATTCAGCGCATTAATGTTGCTCATAAATGATTTAATCCAGCATTTCAGAGACACAACATCAACCTTTGGTTATGTCAACCTTCCAAAAACGTGAGATAGGCATTAATGATTATAGATATATTTCAAAGCCAAACTGAGAAGATTACAAATCTTGGACAGGAAGGTAACGAATTGGTCAACATTCTACACTTCAGTTTACTCCATCACAAAAATAATAGATGCAAACAGAACACTGACAAGGAGCAACGCCTCACCGCCCAGTTTGGAAGTAAGGCCAGAACAGTGGGAGCAAGGCCACGGTACATGCCACGTAACCCCTCCTTCTGAAATATTTGTTCCAAACTAGCAACAATTATGCTGCCTGTCGACAAAAACACCCAATTCACAAAATTTGTAGCATTCAGTTTCAGTAGTTCTACTAACAAACACTCAAATAGCTAGAATTTTGAATGACCTAAAGGGAAACTCTTAATAATTGTCATTTTGTCTCTATCCAAGTTTTAAAAACAAATAAAAGCAGCAGAAAGTAGGTTATACCTTTAACATTTCCTTTGGCGAGCTGCGGTAGACCATGAACCTGAAACCTAGTTTTGATGACATCTAAAGGACACACAAACGTAGCAGCAATAACTCCTGCATCAAATAAAGCAAAAATTAAAAATAAAATAATTGAGATATGAGAATTGACGGAACGGGGAGTATGAAGTACCGGCGGCTGCACCGGCGGCAGCATTGCAGAGGAGACCTTTGGGATTGATATTAAGAGCGGCGTGGGAATCGGTGGACATGGTGAGCGAAATCGAAGGAGAGAGTGGGGAAAGTGAAAAAGGAGTCCTCTCTGGAGAGGGCGATGGCGGAGGAACAGAGTCGCATGGCCTGAGACTGAGAGAGGAAGGGAGTGAGAGTGTCTCGTTCGAATTCGATCGAGACGATGAGATTAGGGTTTGGATCAGATCCAACAACGCCAGTCAAAACGCCTCATGGCTTCTGCTTTGTCTATTCTTCCATCCATCCATTACCATTCACCAAACCACAAAAACAAGTATCTTCTCTACACCGCTCTGGTCCCGCCTATTATAATTATAATAATATCAATAATAGTTGTAATTAGGATATGTGTCAAAGAAACTATGAAAAGCTTGTAATAAGATTATTTTTTTAATAAATACCATTGTTAAATATATGGTATAAATTATTGTTTAAAAATGTTTTATTAAAAAATCATTTAAATAATTTGTATGTTTAAACTCATTTTTTATTTATTCTAATTTTAAATAATTTCTTTAGCTTGATATGAGTTACTTTTAAAATATTGATGTCAAAACATTTTTTTATCTTATTTATTGTTTTTAAAGTATAATAACTTATTTTTAATTAAATTTCATTAATTGGAAATAGAAATATAATCTCAAAGCAGCACATAAATTTTTAATGATTAAGTTTTATTTAAGGCATAGTATTTATTAAATAAAATTTGAATACACAGTATAAATTTTAAAAAAAACTTACTCAAAGCTATAAGTCACAATTTTCTCAAATATGTAAATTACAAGTCATGTAAAATATAAATAAATTTAGTAAAATAATTTTATATTAGATTTATGAGTAGAGAATTGCACATTTTATATTAGAAATAAAACTGACATTGATTTTTTAATACCATCTTTTTAATTTTTAATAAATAACTTGAATTTAAATTTTCAAATAATTTAATTTAAACTCAAAATAATTATTTTTTTAAATTAAAATTTTTCTATTAAAATTATTTTTTTACCACACTTTGTAATTAAAATTTGTGTTTATTTTATTAAAAGTGAGAGATTTACTTTTCAATGACAAACTAAACAAAGACTATGTCTTAGTTTTTTAAAACTTTATTTTTACCATGAAAAATATCTTAAATTTAATTTCATCTCAATTAATTATTATTATTGTTTTTAAATAACATTATGTATTAAATTGGAGTTATATAACTAATAAAAAGTTAAAAATTTATTCACTTTAAATCTTAATCGTTGATTAGTTTTGTTTTTATAAAACAATCTTTTAAAATGTCAAAAATAACTACAAATTGATTTGGAAAATTAAATGAAGACAATTTGATGTTCATAAACTAATTTAGTACATTTAATGCTTTATTTAATTTAGATAAAGGAAGAAGATGAAAGGTTTTATAAGTATTATTTTATCTAATTAAATTTAAAAATATGCTCTCCTTCAAATCCTTCTGAAGTTAACCGAAGAGACATTTGTAACCTTATCCTCACTTTTCATTATAATATTAAACTAAATATACAAATAAAAACCATTCTACGTTTGGTATAAAAAAATTATTCTGTGTTTTTTTCTTCTTCAACCAAGCGGTATGTAAGTTAGAAATTTAGCTCTAACTTAAAAAAAAATAGAAAGTAAATAAAAAATTAGAGCTAATTATAATGAAATTATATTTTAGAGTAACTACTTATAAAAAAATCAGGATTAAAAATATAAAATTTCAAATTTAATTGAGATTTATTTGTTAGAAATTAAATATTAAGAAATTTTATTTTCTTAAATTGAAAAACATCAACAACTATTCTTGCTATTTTTTTTTCAAAAATTGTTTTTTTTTACTACTGATATCGATCATAAACAAAAACAAAAAAATGCTACTAACTGAAATAAAGTTGCAGCACAAAAAAGCAACTGCACAGTGATGTAAGTTTCTTATTACATTTTTTTTTACCTTTTAAAGAAGGCGCACACAGAAAAGTTATTTATTTATTTATTTATGTGTGACAGTGATCATGTCAAAACGGCTTGGGTCACCAGGTGATGCATGTGTCAACGTTAATTCTTTTAAGGCTTTTTTTAATGGTTTTTTAAGGCTCTTTTTATGAAAAAGGTAAAACGTAATAAAATATAATAATTAAATGAAAATAGACTTGTTTTTTTTTATCTTATTTTATATTTAATATGTATTAAGATAACAAATAAAATAATGATATTATTTTATTTATTTTAATAATTATCTTACAAAATAAATTTTATACTAAGAGAACAAAATAAATATGAATAAAATGTCAATATTATGTTAATTAAACAAATATTAAAAATATAATAAAATAAAATAATGTATCTTATTTTTTTAAACTTCTTGCTGAACGCATCCTCGAAACTCAAGACAGAATCACATATTGACTAGAGAGAGAAACTCATGTTCACAAATTCGTCAACAATATGATGTAGTATTTTGTTTAACATTTTGAATTTAGTTACTAATGGTAAATAAATAAGATAATCTCACCATGTAAGTTACTTTTTTTTATATTATTTAATATTTATTATTAGATAATTCATTTTTAAAGTTAATTATTAAATTTAAGATTCCAATTACATATATTCTATATGAAAACTTTTAAATTAATTTAAAATTATTTGATATATTATTTATGTTCATCAAAATTAACATAATATATATTTAAATATAAAAAATAAATATATTTTAATTAATTTTATAATTATTTAAATTTAATAAAATTTAATATAAACAATAAGTAATATATAATTATAATTTAACAGTTTAATTAAAAATAGTTTTTTATATAAAATTATTTACGATATAGAAGTGAATATAATTTATGTTAACAATTGAAATTTTCATTCTATTATTAATTAATTAATTTCGGTTTTTAGGTTTACCTGTACAATTCAAAAGTGATCAAATCTTATATATTTTGTTATTAAAAATATTTTACACGTTTTCTTTTACTTCTAAAAATATATCTATTAATTAAATAATTATCATTTTAATGAATAATTATTGATCGTTACATGTTTCTTCAACAAATAATACTAATTATTAGCTTAAAAAAATCACACACATATTAAATTTAAAAATAAAAAATAAAACAAACTACAAAATATGTAAAGTGTTAAAAAACAACTGCTTAATTTATAGTTTAAAAATACATATTAAAAAACTATCTATAAATGTTAATTAGATATATTTAAATTTAGAACTAAATTCATTACATGATAACATAAAGATAATTCAATAAAATTTAAAAATGTTATTAGTTTTTAAAATTATTATTTTTATTAATAAAAATTGATTTAAATGACAAATGATTCGATATTATTTAAATAAAATTTTAAATTTAAATCGTTGTGCATGTAAAATAGTATGACTTGAATTAAATTTAGATTTAATTGGATGAAAAATAATATTTTTTAAATTAAAAATTTAATATAAATATAAAGTAAACTTATAATATCAATAAAATTATCAAAATATGATCCATTAAAAATTTAATCAATATTTACGACCATATTCTATCTTCTCAAACATAACTGCTCACTTTATCCGGGTTAAAGGCCTTATTCTTATCAATTTTCAACAAAGGAATTCGTAAAAAAATAAAAGATGGAGAGTTGGACTTGGAGACAAACAGAGCAACAGCGGAGTGAATAAGCGATAAGCCTAATAAGGTTAGGGTACAACCGTATCCCCTCTTCACGAACCACATCAGTCCTTGTCCTGGAAAACGCTATCCCCGCGAAGCAAACCCCTGCCAAGGTCCTTTTTCTATTTATCATTCACTTTTAATTACGATTCTCTTATTTATCAACAATACTTTGTTTGTGTTGAAAGAATTGCGACAGACATTGTTATCTCACTCTTCTTCGGATTCATCATTCATATATATTTTTTTAAATGGGATTAGGATAACCTTTACCCCTTTATATGTGCAACTTTTTCTGTTTTGGAACTTTCACTGAACTGATAAATTATCGTAATTTAATATCAATCTAATTATAAACGCAACTGCACAAGACATATATCTCCACAGGATTACAATTGTTCAACTTCTTTTTATCTTGTTGTGTTCAGTTTTATTGAGTTGGTTGGTACAGACCTTGAACAATATGATTCTAGTGTTCTATTATTCATCAAGCTTGACACTGATATATGCTATCTTGTGCTATATTTTAGCTAAATGGGTTTCCAAAATGGCAGTGAACGCCTCAGAACAATTTGGACACCTGAGATGGATCGGTATTTCATTGATCTTATGTTAGAGCAGGTTGGCCAAGGTAGTAAATTTGATGATCATTTGTTTAGCAAACGAGCTTGGAAGCAAATGTCCTCAATGTTCAATGCCAAGTTCAATTTTCAGTTTGAAAAAGATGTTCTCAAGAATCGCCACAAAACGTTAAGGAATTTGTACAGGGGAGTTAAAAATCTTCTTGCCAAACCGGGGTTTAGCTGGGATAAAAAGCGAAATATGGTCATTGCTGATAATCATGTTTGGGATGAATATCTCAAGGTATCAAAATTTGAAGTTATTCTTAAATCTCGTCAATCATATGAGAGGAGTTCAATAATTTATCTTACGTGTGATATTAGCAGGTAGATGCGAGTGTACGATCATGCAGAGTGAAAAGCATTCCCTATTTTAAAGATTTGTGTGCAATTTATGGACATGCAACGATGGCAGGAAAAAGTAGCTCTTCTTGTTTAAGACTAATTAATGCATGTCATGCTTGCTACTTATGAGGGTCAAAGTTATGCTAATGAGTATGAATTCCCAGGTGATAATGCACAAGAAGGGTCACCTAATTCAGGTGAAAATGGACCAATCATATCCTGCCTATCTAAGGATGTTGGTGAGGATGCTGATGAGGTTCTGCATGATGGAAAGGTTGATGAAGACTGTGGAATCTCTACCATGGAGAATGCAACCGATGATTGTGAGCAGAGGGCATCGAAGGAAACATCAACCTCTTTTTGTACCCGCACTCGGACATATTGGCAGCCACCGATGGATCGTTACTTCATTAACTTAATGCTTGCTCATGTGCACAAAGGGAATCAATCTGATGGTGTCTTCAGCAAACAAGCATGGATAGAGATGATTTCATCATTCAATGAAAAATTTGGTTTTGACTATAGTTTGGAGATTCTTAAAAATAGATACAAAACCATGAGAAGGCAATACAATTTAATTAAAAATCTTCTTCAGTTGGATGGGTTTGCCTGGGATGAAACACGCCTGATGGTTACTGCAGATGATTGTGTCTGGCAAGATTATATTAAGGTGCGTACCTATATAAGAAATCTGCTGGGAAATTGAACCTCTTTGGTCTATTCTTAGAATTATAAAACTGGTTATATCGCCAACCAGAGTTGTCTGTTTGTTTTCATCTGAGTTCCCTTTAATGATGATTTATGGAGTTTGGAGTGAATGGTTCTGGAAAACGATTTGTCAAGGACGTAAGTCTTATTTTTGGTTCTTGGAAGTCATTTATCTTTCCTGAAATAGTTGCATCTACTCATTCCTTTTTTATTTCCATGCTTTTTTGTGATGAATTTAATATTTGGCTAAGCTTTGATCTGCAAGTTGAAATAGAAAAAACTACATTTTTCATAAATGCTGCAAAGCTCAAAGGTGCGTCTGGTAGTAGACCTGTAAAACAGAGAGGGGTAGGAATAGGAAGGTTTTAAATTTCATTTGCTGATCATTGGTTATGGAAGATAAATAATAGGAATGAGAAGGTAGGATTAGGGTCATCTCATGATTATATTGAGTGAAGAGAGAGATAGACAAAATATCCCATGTAGGGGGATCAAATCTCTGTATTTAGTCCCACAATTTTGCATAGAATATTGTGTTTATTTCTCTCTTAACATGTCAAACTCACGGAAGATTTTTGAGATCCTAAAAGGTTTTACAAAAGTACCATATTATCCTTATTGACAATGCTTGAAGCATACCAGGCTAAACAATTTAATCACCAAAATATAGTGTTTGAACTCCTGACATTGCATTTTCATTTTATTTTTCTGGAATAAAAATGGAAGTAAATGTTACTTGCTTCATTTTCCTTTATGGCTGTACATAGGAAGCATGGAATGATTTTATTTTCTTTTTCAACCTTCCCTTTTTCATCCTTATCAAGCTTAGCCCTTGAGGAATTTCAATACCTCTGATGATATCTTAGTCTTCTTATTATACAAAGGTTTGAAACATTTGATATGATCATGCAGGTTCATACTGATGCACGACAATATATGACCCGACCTTTGCCATATTATAAAGATTTGTGTGTCATATGTGATCCAAATTTTGATGAAAAAGAATCTTCTCTGCCTAAAGATAAGCATCAAAATGTAGTTGATTTTAAGACTGGGAGTCCTTGGACATCCAAAACTGGTCAATCTCCAATTACACCCAATTCCAATGAAGACCATTTTAATGGTGTTGAGGAATTAGCTCATATAGGTCAGAAACAAAAGCGTCAATTAGAAAAGTGTTCTGATTCTACCAGTCCTAAGAAATCAAGGAATGATGAACAAGGCATGGCTGTTGCTCTCCATGAGATGGCAGCTGTGGTTTCAACTCTGTCTACGAAAAAGAATGATGATAATTCAATATCAATAGAGAATGTCATAGAAGCAGTACAAGCATTGCCTGATATGGATGAAGATCTGGTTTTGGATGCTTGCGATTTCCTGGAGGATGAAAGGAAGGCCAAAACATTTCTTGCATTGGATGTCAAGTTAAGAAAGAAATGGTTGATTAGGAAACTTCGCACACAGGTGTAGCCTGTGCCCCCTTTCATCAATTTCTATTTTCTTACTGGGTAGTGGTTTTGGTTCATTTTAGGATAGTATTTTGGAAGGCAAAGTAAACTTTATATTCGTCAAGATGTTTAGCTAATGACTGCACAAAGTGTATATATATAACAATACTCAGTTTATGGGAATGAAGTTTTTTTAAAAATCTGCGGCCTGCAATTGATTGATAATCTAATAGGAACTAGGTGGTTATTATAGTGAAATAGGAATAAATCTCAGTTACAAAGATGAGAATCTAGTCCGCACCCTCCTGCTCATAGGCCCCAAAACTCATTCAATGATTGCCCACCTTCCTCCCTTGACCCCTATCTTTCTCTCCCTTCCATCCTTACCTAGTTACTTGACTGTGTTCTTTTCCTTCCTACCCTTCTTGCCCCATAAGCAAGATTTTTCAACCCAAAAGCCTCTGTCATGTCCTTTACTCATATTTCCCACATGGTTTGGCAGCATATGATCTCTGACACAATCTCTCCGTGGACGATTATTATCATTACCATAACTGCTAGTTTGCTAGTCCAGACTTTCAAAGATGTGGAAAGGTCTTACTTTTTGGGGTTTGACGCGCGTTGAAGTTTAAACGCTGCCCCCTGCAACGCTACGCAGTAGTCGATACTAACATTTATTCTGCACATTTAACCGTAATTTTATATTTTTGAATCGAAAATGAAAAATATTAAGTACATTTTCTCACGAAAATTTCGGCAAATAAATCACTGCTGTTGATGAAATATTAATGCTTCGTGTTACATTCAACGTCGATTTGATTGGTTATGCATTATTTTGCTCAAATTAGGGCGCCATAAATTTCGTACTCCATTGCGAAGCTGTTTTTGAATATCGTACTCCATAATGGTGTTTTCTTTAAATAACATAATAGGTGTTATTCCTGCTCAATGAACTCAACAGTACATCTTAATTAGGTGGGACCCACGAGTGTGCAGAACATCCCATCGTTACAAACACGTTTTCTCACGTAATCTCAGTTATAGCCCATAAAGTGTACGCAATTGTTCTGAACTTCATAACTGCATTGCATGAACATACATTACATTAAATTCCTACATATTGCTTAGCTCTCTATACTAGATGTATCTCTTGCATACAATAGAAATAGGAATTCTATGGCCATGAATCAGTTTCAAGATTGGAAGTAAAAACTACAATAATTTTTTACCTATCAAATTGAAACTAGCAACTGTTGTTCTTAATTGTCACAATCAGAAGTCAGCATCAAGGATAGTAGACAACAAAAGTCCCTGTACAAATTCACTGTTCCGTGCTTTCTCTATTTGGTCTTTGTCAGATAATGAAGGCTGAACATCTCTGCAATAATTGAAATATTAGGTAAATTTCTAAGAGAAAGATGAAAGTAGTTGCGTAAATTAAATATCTTAATAAATAATACAATGCCAAACGAACGTAAGTCAACGGGGAGATGATGAAGGTCATGTTAAAAGCTACAAGTATCAATTTACCCTAACCTTTAAAAGGAGTTGGTTCCTTTAACATATGAGGATATGTAAAGTGAACCTTTATTTACCTTTGATTTAAAACTTAGTTAAACATAATAAATGTTTAAATTCAAAACAGTGATAGGTAATCTGTTCTTCTCTTCACTTTAGACGAGCAAAATTCCCTTAAAAAAATGCGAGAAAGGAACAAAAAGCCCAATGCTTTTTAGGGACTTGCATTTGCAACTAAGTTGGTGGCTCAAATCATCGTTGCCTCAATGCACTGATACTAGATGTAGAAGGATGTGGTAAAAAAGAAGACTACACTTAAATTGCCTCCTCATTAGCATACTAACCATCACTACTGTAGAGACTGCAAGTCAATTGCATTAATAATTCTAAAAATTACTTAAAAAACCAATCAAATCCAATTGTATTAGAGGGATGCTTCTAGTGATTTCAGGCAAAGTGCCAGTTTCAAATATTTATATAGCTTATTGCTTCACCAAGTGAAAGGATCAAGCATAAGTTGTGTGGTTTCTTAGTTGATGTTTGGCAATACATTAGGAATGTGTTATGACACATTTGACAGGGTTATACTTTATCATACCTTTTTAACACTTTGTCATCTGAGTGTATTTCTTCAATGCCTACTTCACTTGAAGAATATGGCTGCCCACATTCTTGTTCATCGACAGCACATGCACCATCTAAAAATGACAGCCATGGATCACAAACTGTTTTGGAGGTAGATGTCACAGGAGATAACCCAGCAGAAAAGGACTGCCAGTGTCCAGCACGTTGACACTTTCTTGAAAAGGAAAGAGCTGGGTAGGATTCATGTTTGTAGCATTTTGATTTCAGCTGACTGTAGTCTCCAGTAAAGGAAGTACATAGTTGAATGAAGCACAAAGAACAACACGACATGTAAACAGTAAAAGATTTTGATAAAAGAGACTAAAGGGAAACCTAAGAGTATTTATTTTTAATATATAAAGGCATTTCTATCATGAAGGTCAGAAAGGATATCTTGAACATGTTTCCATGTTGTGCTGCTATATGATCAACCATATTTGTCCCTATCCACATAGCACAAACAGGACAAATCTGCACGTACAAACAAAGTTAGATATATCTGAGTGTAATTCAACAAGCACAAGAATAGATAGTACTCCAAATTATAGGTTAATAGATACACACATCAATTGTATAAGAAAAAGTACACACACGTCTGAATTTTAGGGCTATTGCAAGCAGCCATCATCAACTTCTAAATCCGCCAACTGAACCCCCAAATTAGGAGAAATATCACAATCAATCATCCTATCCCTCTTTCTAACAAGTTTTGTAAATTATGTGATAATCATGCAATGTCTGTCTAATACACTTGTAAGTTGTAACACTTTTCATAGTCCACTTGAAATAAAAAAAATTAATAAAGCATGTAAACGTTTTAATATTTTAAAGTATGAAAGTCAACGAAGATTAGCAATGACAAGCATATTAGCAATCACATGATTAACAGAAATTGTTAGACGGATCTGGATTATCTCTCATAGTTTGAGGGTCTAATTATGATTTTTTTTTGGTGGAGGGGGTTACAATCGATGGATTTGTAAATTCATGGGTTCTACTTGCAATCTCGCTAAAGTTCAACTGATATGTGTGCATTGTGTCTGATCATATTTAAAATCCAACGACAAAAAAGTACAACATCAACATTACATGGGAGCTCATTCTAGACGTGACAAAGGTCTAAATTAGATTCATATTGCAGTAACCACTTCAGGTTCTACAAGCTAATATCCTGTCAGGAACCACATCTTTAAGGGCTTCAGCATAGATGCAAGATATATAAAAAATCCAATAAGAAAATCATAGCAAGGTTTCACTTTGTAAAATCACATAAATGGTGAATCTCAAGTTAAGATAAACAAAATATTAATCGAGAGATAAAAATAATAATGAACGTTTCATATAGGCAATAGGATGCAGAATTGCAAGGGTCAATTAGAAAAGCTGTCTCAATTGATTTAACGGTGTTAAAAGAAAATTAGATTTCTCGTCTGCACTGATGATTAGGAACAAAGGCAGATATTGACTCAAATTACAAGGCATAAAAAGTTTAGCCAATGATTATTTACAAGATATTTTTAAAAAAATTATAAAATAGATTATATTTATTAGATACATTAAATCTCAACAGCAATCACTAGCACCTGCTTCTTTGTGAATTTGCTGATTAAAGATAAACACATGGTTTACCCCTTCTGCATTTTGTTTTAAGGGGGAACATAAAATCAACAGATCATTCACAAAGTTAATAACTATGAAAGAACTTCTTCGCCAAAGAGAAAAACAACCCACTAGGAGATCTCAATACGTTAACTTCACAACTATAAGGCTCGCTAAGGAAGTGAAATATGGATTTATCTCTATAAAAACACCACCAAATTTGATAGAGTATAGCCAGGAAACAATAAAGAATCAACAGCAAGGTATATCGTATAGAAAAAAAAATCCTATGCAAATATAAAAATTAATATGAAGAAAGGGAAAGGAAACAAATTAAGCTGAAAGATAAAAAAAAGTACCCCAGACTTGGCGTCTATTGGATGGTCCAAGTCAATATGGCAACATAGCTCAAGAAGATCAAAATCCTCAGCGCAAAAAGGGCATGGATAAACCGTCCTCAACTCATCATCCCCATTGATCTCGTCAAAATCGATAAAGAGCTCTGCTTCAACGACCAAACAAAAAAGGTTAAACATTTCGCTAAGACAAGACACCCCATAAAATCCAAACAGTTTCCACAATACTAAAAGATGTTTGAAAATAAGGAATCACCGAAGTGTGACTTAAGACTCGATTGGTAGCTTCTGGAAGCAGTAGAGAGGCCAAAACTCAGTGTCTCGCCTTCCATTGACTTCTGCTAAAGTACAAGCAAAACGAAAAACAAAGGGGTTTCGGAATTACACAGTAGAGTTGTTTCGGGAATTGTTGTTCTTCTTCTTGTGGGTGGTAGTGGTTTTATGCTATATATATTGTTACTTCCAAAGGAAAGAGGACGAGGAAAATACCAAGGACTTTCGATTTCGGACTGTGCGTGGTTGTTGCGTTGGGGTGGTGGGGATCCTTAGCTTACACGAATTCTAGTTATTTTTCTTTACCAATAAACCCTCGAGGACCATCCACCACAATTATCAATCTAAGCCTATGCCCATTCAAATAATCCAGGCTTCAATAGGCCTCGTTGGTCATTTGCTAATTCATAAAGAAATCCTCATTTGAGCATTATCCAAATCCAACTAAAAATTCAGCACATCATACGTTTACTAGATTTTGTACCTTATGATGCATTATTTTATATAAAAAGTAGTGAAAATAATTATTTCTATTATAAATAAAATGTTTACTTCCTTGTAAGTGGACTTCTCTAGTTCGAACAGAATTATAGTGTAAATTAAAATGAGACGTTTGTTTCAATTTATTTTAAAAATAAATATTTCTTTTTCTTTTTCAAAATTAATCCGTTTTATAACAACATGTAGTAAACCCGTAAGTATATTTGTAAAATAGGTTTAAGCTTACTTAAAGGGCTTTATTGTAAAATATGCGCTCAAGCTAACAATATAATTTATACCTGGAATGTACCATGATATTCCTTTTTTCTTTTGACGAAAATAATTTTCAATCTTTGTTAAATATTTTTTATTTTTTATATTTTAAGATAATTTATATATATATAATAGTTATTTTATAAAAGTAAAAAAAATAATATTATAACAATATTCTAGAAAACATGGGAAGAAATGGTGATGCTGCTTGGAGGCAGGACACAATTTCTTCTTGAGTAAGGTATGGCTGAGATTAATTTACAAATATGACCCTTACATGATTTCTAAACCCACAAACATCTACGATTCTTCTGGTTGGTGGTTTTCCAGTTCTGCAAAAGTTCAGAGACAGAGAAACTCATCACTTTGGAAACCTGAAATTGATTTCAATGGCGACGAGGAATCGAACTCTACAGTTCAGAAAGCACAGAGACGCCGTGAAGAGCGTGCGTGCTCCTCTCTCTTCTTCCGCATCTGCTTCCACCGGTCCCGTCATTGAAATGGTTAGCACTTCGCTTCTTCGTTCAAATCGCTCCTCTTATGCCCCTTTAAGCACCGAAGATCCAGGTCCAGCCACCTCTAGGTTTTTCTGTTCTCCTTCCCGCTATTTCCCCTTTTATCGAAACACTATTTCTATATGTTTTTCCCCTTTATTTCTATATGGTTTGGCGCACCCAATTACCTTTTTGTGTGTTGGTGCGTTAGGGATGCATTTACTGTGGGATTGCCTCCATCTTGGGTGGATGATTCTGAGGAAATTGCTACAACTATACAACGTGCTCGTGTTAAAATTTCTGAGTTAACCAAAGCTCATGCTAAGGCTTTAATGCCCTCGTTTGGTGATGGCAAAGAGGATCAGCGTCATATTGAGACTCTCACCCAAGAAATTACGTCTCTCCTCAGAAAGTCTGAAATGCGGCTTAAAAGATTTTCTGCTGCTGGTGGATCTTCTGAGGATTCAAATGTCAGAAAAAATGTGCAGGTAATGTTGTTGTAAAGGTATCATATAACATCAAATATAGTGCTGCATCTTAATTTGTTCTAACTTTAGCTTTTTCTTCAGTTAGGTTCACTGTTATTGTTTAATATCGGATCTTGTTACTTAATTGTAAAGAAAGATATAGGTAGGTTAGTAATGGATAATCTAAGTTCTGTTTGCTGTTAGTCAGGACTCTGGTGATTGTCCAAGAGATATATAAGCTATTGTAGAAAGTTTATCTTCAATTTAACTGTGATTAACAGGCCTTATTGTTGAACTATAGCTTCAGGCTCCCCCATCCTTGAAAAGCTCACTTGGCCCCTTTTCTTGTTTCTCCTTGTTTTTTATGTATTATATTGTACATAAATTTATAACTTATTATATTCATTTAGAATTTGTTGTTTAAGGATGTGCTTGTGTTTGTGAGTTATGAGGGAAAGGGAAGGAAGGGAAATTTAAGGGTAAACCCTTACTCTTGTTTGGATGTTACCAATTCACAAGGAGAAGGAAATGGAGGATTAGTTAAATTAAAAGGATTAACAATAACAAATTTGTGATCTTCCACATATTTTTTTATTAAACTAATATAACCAACTTAATATACTTTTCCCTGCTAAAACTCCCCTCATTTGAGGAAAACCAAAATAGCAACAAGGGAGGGTTTATGAAAATTCTCCTTCCCTTCCCCTCTTTTTAGATTACTCCCACATAAGAGAATGGCTAACCATAAGCCTTTCCCTTCCCTCTCTTTTCATCTAATTCCTCATCCAAATATACCCTTAGTATCACTATACTGATTTTACATCATATCTTTTGAAAATAGTTCCTTGGTGAAAGAGGGTTTGTAAATAGACAAGAATTTACTTCTATCTTGGTTACCTACTTTAAATTTTTGGCAATTTATGATATGCAAATTTTTGCTTATATCTTGAGATTGGTATGACTGGTTTTTTTTTTTATCTATTTTTGGCAGCGTTCCCTTGCTACAGACCTTCAGAACCTGTCAATGGATCTCCGGCGAAAACAGTCAGCATACTTGAAACGTTTGCAGCAGCAAAAAGAGGTTGCAACTTTTCATGGGTAGCTAAATTTTCGATACAAATTTCTTCCATATTGTCTGCCACCATTTTTTTTGGTCCTGTGTCTCTTTGCTAATTCATCAATCTACTTTCCTGGACGCATTGCTTCTTGACTTTTTTCTTTCTTTCTATATTTAACTCACGGTATTCAAATGGTTGAATTTATGGTCATTGGTCACTACTATCCTAATGTCCTACTTGCAAGCCTGGTGTGCCTGGAGCTACACCTGCGTTAGCATTTATGTTACTTCACTAATGTCTACATCGGGTGTAATCGTGCAGGGTTATGATGGGGTTGACTTGGAGATGAACTTCAATGGGAGTAAATATGGATCACATAATGATGGATTTGATGATGTGGTATGCTTCTTTTTTTTTTTTTTTGTTATTACTAATTTCTCTTTCAGAGCCATATTATTTTAAGAAACCTTATGTTGTGTTGAAATTATGGAGATGTAAGGAGATGATAAAAACTATTTGCAGTGTGTATTCATGTAATGGTTATGTTACAAAAGGCTTTAGGCTGAACACTAATCCCTATTTATATATGTAATAAACGCTTAACTCTGGTTTAATAAGGTAAAAAAATCTTGAGATAATAAAGAAATATAGAAACCAATCATTATAGATAATAAGATACTACTCTAAGATACAGTCAATATATCATTGGATGTATTCTAACACTGCTATTTAAGGTAGGATGCCTTTCTTTTTCCTTATCAAGTGACTATTCATGATTTCCTTTCTTCCCTAGAAATTGTTAACGCAAAACTGTAATGGTAAAACTGCAAAACTTCTGTCCAACTATGCACTGACCTTTTTGAATCCCTTACAATCTAGGAAGCATAAATATGACATGTGACATGAATATGATATATCACGGAAATAGAGATACAATTAATTTTAAAAATCATAGGACACGAAATGGCTATAATATAACATTAATATTATTCTAAAATTAACATAAAATTGCTATATTTTCAGAATGAGACCCATTTTGTAATGGTATAAAAATTTTAAAAATAAAAGTGAAGAACTTATAAAAATGCAACTAAAAGTATTTGAAATGTCCATGCAATGCCTGACATGATTGTGTTCAACACACAACACGTTTATTATTTATAACTGTTTATACTTCTTGGCTTATAGTCCTACTCCTTTAGTTGCAAAACATTCTCGGTGTGGTGTGGAGGACTGTAACGTACATATCTTGCCTTCTGTGACACAAATTTTTCTTGCTTTGTTGTGGGTTTTAGCTTATAGATTTAAAGATTCTGCAATATGGACTGGATTTTGTAAATAAAACCAACCATTTACTTTTTTCACTAAAAAAAATAGAAAAACAAATCCCTTATTCTTATTTACAACACTATATTTTCTTGAACTTATGATAATATAGGATTTGTTTACCATTCTTCTGAATCTGACAAGGTTCTTTTAGAGGGAGCAGTGTGATTCATTAGGATTGTTGTGCTTGCCATGGAATTAGTCTCTTAGGCCTAATGTTTCTATCCTCACCATGAATCTGACAGTTTAAAAGGAGCATTAAATGCTATGAAATACTTACTTACATTCTGTTTCATCCTGGATGAAGTTTTATCTGAAGAATTATATGTGGTATTTGATCAACTCCAGGGTTTTAGTGAAGAGCAAATGACAAAGCTAAAGAAAAGTGAGCAGTTCTCAGAGGAAAGGGAAAGAGAGATTGAACAGGCAATTTGAAGGCATTTGGTGTATTGCTTGAAGACAAATTCTCTTTATGTACCTTGTCTGACTATTTGAACTTTGCTGTAGGTTGCTAAATCAGTCCATGAACTTGCTCAAATCATGAAGGATCTCTCGGTCCTTGTGATAGATCAGGTGAATGTCCCACCCTTGTATAAGATGGATTTATAGAATGAAAGTTGGCTCAGGAAGCTTATATTCCTGCAGGGAACTATTGTGGATAGAATTGACTACAACATTCAGAGCGTTGCAACATCCGTTGAGGAGGGCTTCAAGCAGTTACAAAAGGTTTTGTTTTCTCTTGTGCTCTTGCTTACATGCATAGAGACATTGTTTGGTCTTTACATATGCAAATTTGAGCACCTTTCTTTTGAAGTTTTTATCTGACGTTTGTCTGTTATCATCGTCTTAGACATGAACTTGTGTACTTGCAGGCAGAGAGAACGCAGAAAAAAGGAGGAATGGTTATGTGTGCAACAGTGCTTGTTATAATGTGCGTTGTCATGATAGTTCTCTTGATATTCAAGGAGATCATCTTTTAGTTGTGTTACTGATAGATTTACCGTCCAGCATCTTGTTAATTCCCATTCCTCCTTTCAATGTGAATCAAATTGCTTTCTGTTTGAAGACAGTATCATCGGGCACTATTATAATGCATTTCACGTTGTGGGAATTTTTTTTTTGAAAGTGCCTTGAGTTTACATGATTGGCTTCTTATTGGGAGGCAATTGGGGGATGGCATTGTACAGCATTGCTTCCTGCAAATATCTTCCTATGATTGTTGCTGGTGCTTCAGATTTGCAAAGAAAATTTGTACATGTTAGTAGTTTTATCAAATAATGTATAGAGGGGTTTTCATCAATTTCATCTTTTGACCATTTTTTTAGAAAAATTAGAAAAGGTAGTGCTAGATAGAAAATTTCATTATTCAAAGATAGATCCTGGATAAGACAAAGTGGAAGGGCAAATTATATCCATCCGAGAGTCACACATAGATGCTTCTTTTCAGTCTTTATCTATTTGTATCCCACTTAGGGGGAATTTTTTTTTCAAAATTGAGTGATTTGGCTTTATTTTGAGCTCGCGATGGTAAGGTTTGCTGGGTTTTGATTTGATTTCTATTCATGGCATAATTTCGGCCCTTCTCAATCCTTTCACCATCCTTGGTCCCACATGTGCCTTGCAATATATATTTTTCTCATAATTGATTTAGTCTTTATTAAATGTTGGTAAATTTCAAATTTTATTAATTTACTGCAAATTAATATTTAATGCATTACATAACTTATTTGTATATAATTTAAATTATAATTGATTCATAATTATTAAAATTCATAAAGATAACTGAAAATTTAATTACAATTGATTGGATTTAATTCTTACAAATTATTTAATGAATATGAAATGTTATAAATAAATAAAATATTGGTGATAAATTGCATTTAATAAAATTTATTCATATTAATTATATCAAAAAATGAATATATAATATAATGTAAAAGAAAGAAGAAAAATGTATTAATTGCCTTAATTATCTTTATTTAAATAATTTTACTAATTATTTTAATATATTTGTACATTTAATGCATTACATAACTTATTTGTATATAAATTTAAATTATAATTGATTCATAATTATTAAAATTCATAAAGATAATTGAAAATTCAATTACAATTGATTGGATTTAATTCCTATTGATTATTTAATGAATATGAAATGTTATAAATAATAAAATTTATTTATATTGATCATATATAAAAAAAATTAACTAAATAATGTTAAAAAATATATTAATTACCTTAATTACTTTATTTCAATAAATTTACTAAATATTTTAATATATTTGTATATTAAGTTTGGTTTGACTTGCATATTTGTTTGTATTTTTTATTAGTTAATAAATAAATAAGATTGATGTATTGAATGTAATCTTATTTTTATTGTCTTTGATAGTTACAATTTAGATATATGAATGAGATATTATCACCATACGAAATATGACAACTTTTATCTTGTAATGTAATTGATCTATAAATATTAAGACGAATAAATTAAATTAAATCTGTATATAGTAAATTAATTAGGCCAAATTTAGAATTCAAGTATTATGAGAAACATTCAAAGAAATAATATATATTATTAAACAACTCTTTATCTTCACTTATATAATTAATTTTTACATAACTCTTCAATTTGCATATAAATTGATGAAAAAAATAATATTTACATTTTATTTTCTATTTATAATTTTTAAATTTTGTCAAACCAAGTTATTTGAAACCAACAAATATATATTATATTTTAATATTTAAATGTATATTTATAATTATATTTTTATTTTTTACAAAATTATTTTGAACAAGTAATCTATCTATATTTATATATCTTTGTCTAATTCACTAAAATCATCCTTTACTGTTTTACATATTTATATTGAAATAACATTATTTTGTATAAAGCTAAATTATAATTAATTTATAATTATTAAAATCCATTAAAAAATATTAATCAATTGAATTTAATTCTTTCATACTATTTGATGATTGTGAAACTTTAAAAATAAAAAAAATTACATATGTATTGTATTGTATTTATATAAATGATAGTTTTTTAAATTAATTTTTTTCAAACTCATAAAAATATTAAAAAAATATTTTTTATTTTTCTTTAAAATATATTAATTTATATTTAAGATTATCTGAAAATAAAATATTTAAAAAATATGAACAAACTCGTTCTATTTCAATAAATTACTTAACATATTTTATTTTATTTTCAGGGTTTTATTATGACTAATAATTTTGTTAAACTATCAAAAAATATAAAATATTTTTTAAAAATTTGAAATTTCAAAATAATAATAAAATTATAATTTTTCTTTAAAATACAATTTCTAATATTTTAAGATATATTTTTTTAAAATAAAATATTTTAATAAAAAATATAAACGTGCGGGTATCTTTATCAGTATATCACTAAAACAAGTATCTTCAAAATCTGAGGATGAATTTTGAATTGGTTCTTTAGCAATTAGGATGCATCAGTCATGAGGGAAACTCAACTTTGAGAGGTGGTGGCAGCTGTGTTTGTGGAGCCATTGTTTGATTCAAATTGATTCACACATTATACGTCAATAACTCCATTAAACAAACAAAAACAAAAGACAGAATAAACAAAAAGCAGACCAGTTTTTCTTTTTTTTACGCAGGGGACGAGGTTGCAACAAGTTATTGGACCGTTTGAACTTCAAAGTTTGAAACTCCTTTAGTTGACTGTCAGAAACGGACCGTTTACATTAGAAAGCGAATAAACGAAAGCATCTCAGAAATTGAAGCAAATCGGCGGTTCAGATCTATTCGACCGTTGCATTTAAATCCCAATGCGAACCTTTTAGTTCATATTCAAATTCGACCGTTGCTCCTACCCATTCTTCTTCTTCCTACCCCTTTAACAATATCATTACCATCCTTCACTTCACACTCTCATGGGCCGTTGAAAAAACTTCCCTTTTCCTTCTCATTCTTTATTCTTTTGTAATAACAACAAAATGGTTAAAACGACGTCGTCCCCTTCTTCCTGCTCTCCTGTGACCATTACAGTGTCCTCCGGAGGCAAAACAGGAGGAAGCAGAAGCATGGGACTAACGAGTCCCATTCCTCGTGCTTCAGTCTCCAACAACCAAAATTCTCCTCTGAGTTCTAGATCAAACAGAGCTTCCCTCGGTGTAAGGAGGCTCTCAGGTGGAGGAGATGGCATGGAAGAAATGAACTCAGAATACGTAACATACACTGTTCACATTCCTCCAACCCCTGATCGCCAACCCCTCTCAACATCACAAACAAGCATCCCCGAAGATAATAACAGCAAGAACAACAACACCAGCTACATCTCTGGCACAATCTTCACTGGGGGTTTCAACTCTGTCACACGTGGCCACGTCATAGAATGCTCAATGGAACGCGATGAGACCCTTAAATCTGGGTTGGTTTGTGGAATGAAAGGTTGTGATGAGGAAGCAGTAGCAAGGGCTAATGGTCCATGCGAGTGTGGGTTTAAGATTTGCAGGGACTGTTACTTGGAGTGTGGTGGAAATGGAGGAGGAGGAGGAGGTACTGCTGGCAAGTGTCCTGGTTGCAAAGAGCCTTATAAGTATATGAGCGATGATGATGATGAACAAGAAGAAGAAGAGGAAGCTGAAGACCAGGCACTGCCTTTGCCTTCCATGGCAGAGTTCAAATTGGACAAAAGGCTTTCTCTTGTGAAATCCTTCAAGGCACAGAACCACCCTCCTGATTTTGACCACACTCGCTGGCTCTTTGAAACTAAAGGAACCTATGGCTATGGAAATGCTGTGTGGCCTAAAGATGGGTATGGTGCTAATGGATTCGAACCTCCTCCGGAGTTTGGAGAGAAAGCAAGAAGACCCTTGACCCGTAAGGTTGGAGTTTCAGCTGCTATTCTCAGTCCTTATAGGTCAGTGAATCCAAATCCAAACCTTCACTTTTTTTCAAATAATGACATTCTATAATTGATTATAAGATCCATTAATTATTTTTTTACAAAAATTGTCTTCTTTTTTTTTTATGTGACATGACCTTATCATTTTATTGACAAAAGTATACAAATTCATGAACATAAACACATTGTTTGGTGTGAATTTCTAGTAATTTCAATGTCTTTGTTCAGGTTGCTTATTCTGCTACGTCTTGCTGCTTTGTGCTTGTTTCTTACATGGAGGATTAGACACCCCAACCATGAAGCACTTTGGCTGTGGGCAATGTCCATAACTTGTGAGCTTTGGTTTGCATTTTCGTGGCTTCTTGATCAGCTCCCTAAACTCTGCCCTGTGAACAGAGTCACTGATCTCTCTGTGCTCAAAGAGAGGTTTGAGTCACCGAACCTTCGCAACCCAAAAGGGAGGTCTGATTTACCCGGCATTGACGTGTTCGTTTCCACGGCAGACCCAGAGAAGGAGCCTCCTCTTGTCACTGCCAATACCATTCTATCTATCCTTGCAGTTGATTATCCAGTGGAGAAGGTTGCGTGTTACTTATCTGATGATGGTGGTGCTTTGTTGACTTTTGAAGCTCTTGCTGAGACAGCTAGCTTTGCTAGAATATGGGTTCCTTTCTGTAGAAAACACCAGATAGAGCCCCGAAATCCCGAAGCATACTTTGGGCAGAAGCGTGATTTTCTCAAGAACAAGGTTCGGTTGGACTTTGTGAGAGAGAGGAGAAGAGTGAAGAGGGAATATGATGAATTCAAAGTGAGGATAAATTCATTACCTGAATCCATAAGGAGAAGATCCGATGCTTACAATGCTCATGAGGAGTTACGAGCCAAGAAGAAACAGATGGAAGCAGGTTCTAATGTGTCTGAACCAATTAAGGTTCCTAAAGCTACATGGATGTCTGATGGTTCTCATTGGCCAGGAACTTGGGCATCAGCAGAACAAGACCACTCAAGAGGGGACCATGCTGGTATAATTCAGGTAACTTCTTCAGCTACATTGGCTAGCTTTTGTGGTGTGCCTTCTAAGATTCTTATCATATTGTGTTTGTGTGTGTATGTAACAAGCATATGTATTATGATGTCGTGGTTAACTAACAATGATTTGTTGATCTGTTTCTGCAGGCAATGTTGGCTCCACCAAATGCAGAACCTGAATTTGGTGCAGAAGCTGATGGGGAGAACTTGATTGACACGACAGATGTTGATATCAGGTTGCCAATGCTTGTTTATGTGTCGCGTGAGAAGAGGCCGGGATACGATCACAACAAGAAAGCAGGAGCCATGAACGCTCTTGTTCGGACCAGTGCCATAATGTCCAATGGACCATTCATTCTGAATCTTGATTGTGATCATTATATATACAATTCCTTGGCTCTCAGAGAAGGAATGTGCTTTATGCTTGACAGGGGTGGTGATAGGATATGCTACGTTCAGTTCCCTCAAAGGTTTGAGGGCATTGACCCCAGTGATCGATATGCAAACCACAACACAGTGTTCTTTGATGTGAGCATGAGAGCTCTTGATGGCTTACAGGGTCCAATGTACGTGGGAACAGGCTGCATATTCAGAAGAACAGCTCTTTATGGGTTTAGTCCTCCTAGAGCTACAGAACATCATGGTTGGCTTGGAAGGAGGAAAATTAAGCTGTTTTTGAGAAAGCCTAAGGTGTCAAAGAAGGAAGAAGATGAAGTGGCTCTGCCAATAAATGGTGATCCTAATGATGATGATGCAGATATTGAGTCCTTGCTTCTTCCTAAAAGGTTTGGGAATTCTACTTCACTTGCTGCATCCATTCCTGTGGCAGAATACCAGGGAAGGTTGCTTCAAGACTTGCAAGGAAAGGGAACACATGGAAGGCCGGCAGGTTCTCTTGCTGTGCCTAGAGAACCATTAGATGCAGCCACTGTTGCTGAGGCAATTAGTGTCATATCTTGTTTCTACGAGGACAAGACTGAATGGGGCAAAAGAGTTGGGTGGATATATGGTTCAGTTACAGAAGATGTGGTGACTGGTTACAGAATGCACAATAGAGGGTGGAGATCTGTGTACTGTGTGACCAAGAGGGATGCTTTTAGAGGAACAGCTCCAATCAATTTGACAGACAGGCTCCACCAAGTGCTTAGATGGGCAACAGGATCTGTTGAGATCTTCTTCTCGAGGAACAATGCGTTATTGGCTAGTCCTAGAATGAAATTCTTGCAGAGGGTGGCATATTTCAATGTGGGAATGTACCCTTTCACGTCAATGTTTTTGATTGTCTATTGCTTTCTACCTGCAGTGTCACTTTTTTCAGGGCAGTTTATAGTTCAATCCCTGAGTGCAACTTTTCTAGTGTTCTTGTTGGGCATCACAATCACACTGTGCTTGCTTGCACTGCTTGAGATCAAGTGGTCAGGAATCACTCTGCATGATTGGTGGCGAAATGAACAGTTTTGGTTGATTGGTGGCACAAGTGCACATCCTGTTGCTGTTTTACAAGGGTTGTTGAAGGTCATAGCAGGAGTAGACATATCATTCACCTTGACGTCAAAGTCAGCCACTTCAGAAGATGGAGATGATGAGTTTGCTGATCTTTATGTGGTAAAGTGGAGCTTTCTAATGATCCCTCCAATTACAATTATGATGGTGAACACCATTGCTATTGCTGTAGGAGTAGCCAGGACTATGTACAGCCCATTTCCACAATGGAGCAAACTAGTAGGAGGGGTGTTTTTCAGCTTCTGGGTCTTATGCCATCTTTACCCGTTTGCGAAGGGTTTAATGGGAAGGAGAGGGAAGGTTCCAACCATAGTTTATGTTTGGTCTGGATTGCTCTCCATTATTATCTCTTTGCTTTGGGTGTACATAAACCCTCCTTCTGGAAGACAACAAGATTACATGAATTTCCAGTTTCCTTAGTTAGAGGAAGATGAAGTTCCTCTACTTCATCTTGTACTGTGCCAATCACATGGCTATTATGTTGTACTAATTAAATTTAATTTGTGATTATATCTCACTTTCTGTTGTTTTGAATTATTTTATATTGAAGTTGCGAACTTCATGCTGTAGCTACCAGAATTTTGTTGTTTAACATCTCAAGTGACTGAGATAATATCTCCCACTTCTCCTCGTCTAAATTTTAGTGCTCGAGCAATCATTTGTGTCAATCAAGAATTCTACCTGAAACGTGCCTTTTTTTTTGTGCTCTGATGGAAATGGGACTGATTAAATGGAAATCAATCTCTTCTTCCTTTGCTTCTCTTGTTTTTGAATTCTGTTAAATCCGGTTTTTTCCCTTCTTTAAAATAATTTACTGCCTTTTTAAAAATAAAGGAAAATTAACATACTCTAATTTTTTTTTATAAAAGAAAGCAAACATAATTTATTTATCTATTTTTACTCATACAACTTGTGCACAAGGTGGAATCATTATTTTCTCAACATCTTATTGGGGTGGTGTGAGTACGATATCATCAACATCAAATGTTTTAACTAGAAAAGGCTCATAGTAATATATCTTCTGCATTTTCTGCTTCTGACCATATCCATTAAGAAATCATAATAAATGAAACTTGAGCCCAAATATTGTGGTTTGTCTAGAGAGAGGGGACGAAGGACGGAGTACATGTTTTCTGGTTTCTTTGGGTTTGCAAACCAAATCGCCAAGTAACAAAAAATACAACATTGTACGGTTTCGTAGCTGGATCTAAAAAATCCAACTGATTAAATCTTCGTTATCGGTAAAGTTTAATTTGTCGTAGTCTGTTGAGTTCGAAATGCAAAACATAATCTTTTCATCTTGCGTCAAAATTTAATTGAAAAAAAAAATGGACAATAAAGATGAAATTCTAAACCCACATATTCTTCCAACGAAAAACTAAATCTGACACACCTATCATAATATCATATTATAAATGGTTTTATATATAAGTCCCTGACCAATTGCTAAATACTGAGGCCATTGATCGGATGAAGCCAAAAGAAAAAATTAAAGATAATTACAAACAAAAAGATAAATGGTTTAGTAACTTCCTTTTTGTGATTTTTTTAGTGTTAAAAATATCTTCTAATTAATAGCAGTAGACTAATCTTTTGAGATCCGGAAAAAACGAACCTATTATTCCTTTTTGTGATTTAATTATCAGACTGTTAATTCTCATACAGTTCAGGAAAGTCGTTTGTTAATTTTCATCAAGAAATTTGATCATAGCCACAAAAAGAGAAAAGACATTGATAATGTTTTGTATAAATTTATTTTTCGAGAAAGCCAGCCCGCATAAAAACAAAATTCCACCGACAGATTATCAAACTACAATTTGTATACGTAATAATCTTTCATTTTGTGTTTAGTATGCAATGATTGGTGTGGTCTTGTTGACGCCTAATTGAATTGGGACAAAGACCTATTTGTCACTGGCCAAGACAAAATGTTAATCTCAAGGGTCGAAACTGTGTTGGCATTTTGCCATTTAAATATCGCCCTATTATATGACTCCTGAACAAGGGTGAAGGTCAGGGCCGTATACATCCCAGGGAGATTGCGACCAATTGATCAAAATTATAGGGATCAATCTCTTGTTTCACCCTCCACCCAGAGTGAAAATTCTTGCAATTTCCCGTGGTGGGCTAGTTTTATTTACCTATAACCCGTATACTAAAAACCCACGAAAATACCTGCATATCGACTGACATGAAGAATAATAATAATAATTGCAATTCCATCCACATGAATGAACTACCTTTTACCCACTGAAAATTTGGTGAGAAACTATTTTCAGAGCATATAAACACTTATTTTCATGCAGATGAAACCAATGCAAAGTGCCAAGAGTCGAGAAGTGTGAATAAAACTTGAAAATAAGTCCTTCAAATAAAGTCATTTAGAGATCCATATTTGGTAGATGGTCAATTAATGGAATAAAGTGTTACGATCAGAGTGGCCAGCCAGCTGCCCTGTGTTCGGCCCCGTCTAGTGTCCCCCTCTTATGTCTATCTCCACATTCTAGATCCGTCCAAAACATGTCGATATCAAACCGATATTAACTTGTGATTATGATAACCATGTCTAGAAAGATGTCAATGTCATGAAAAATAATAAAAACTGATCTTTCACGTTTGCCTATATACCATTAGGTCGCCCAACAGACACGTCCTAGCCCTATACTATTAGTACATTATCCGAACGCAACACCAGAGACTTTATTCCCTACTTCAATTTACTACCAAAGTAATTAAAGTAATATATAGCAACAGTTAGCAGGCTAGTAACGACGTAGCTAACAGATGCACACATTTGGAACATTAATCACAAAGTTCTTTTTCTTTTTTTGTCTTTTTTATATGATAATCACAAAGCATGTCGGACTAGAATTTATGATAAATCTAAGGATAGAAGCAGACTAACTTGAAATTCAGTCTAATTCTCACCGCCAAAATTATTTCGTAATAGACAATTTATAAATGCCATTGTTGTAAAAAAAATTTAAATGACTCAATTCTCACTTATCACATGTATTTTGAACGATGGCTGCTTCGTCGTTTACACAATCATATATTTTGAAGAAAAGAAGATATAAAAATTGTACCCAAAACTAAAAAAAAACGCAGGAGGTGGAGACGAAGGGCAAAGAGAATTGGAGTCCGTAACACTTCAGTGAGTAAACCCTTAAAAGCAACAACGACATCTGGACCCTCATCCAACGACATCAGAAATAAGAATTGAACTTGATTTGTTCCAACTCATAGCCATCACCATCTTTTATATTATTTAAAAAATATAAAGTATCGAACGTTGTCGTGTTAAGATTCAGGATGATGGAAGAGAAAACAGAACAGAGAGAATTGCCAGCTGTGCGAGCGGTGCAAAGGACAAAGCGAGAGCGACACGCGAAATTAAGAGAGAGCTGAAAGTGAAAATATTCCGCCGCGGCCACCGAAGCCAACTTAGATTAGCTGCCAACGCAATCCACGCCCTCGTTCGATTGTTCTCATCACTCATCCCTCGTTTGGCATCATGCATCTCATTCTCAACCTTCAAACCCTCTTTCTCGACGTGTATTCCACTTTCCGCATATGTTTATTACTATGCAATAAATATAAAAGCTAAAAGGCTCACTTTCTTTTCCTTTTTCCCCTTTCGCAAGTACCACTACCAACCCCTCTTTCCAACACGTTCATTTTAACAGGATGGATATATTCCAAACTAAAAAGCTCCAATCAGGCCAGAACACTAATAAATCACGTTAAAGCAAAAAATAAAATAAAATCATCGCAGTTATTGAATTTAACGAGTTTATATTGGTTAGATTAGTAGGGAGTGGAGTTGAGTTGAGTTGAGTTGAGTTCTTAGTTCAAACCTAAATGCCACCGTATACTGATAATAATACGTCACTTATATACAGGAAGAAATCAGAAGTTCGACCTCTTTTTTCCTTCATCAAATTTTAAAATCAGTAATGACAGAAAATAATAGAATACAAATGACAGACAACTTGGCGGAGAAAAGGGTCTAAAGAAGAAATATATGACGAATAACTAACGGATGAAAAATGAGAGATAAGAAAAATAAAGGAAAAAGAAAAATAATGGAACGAAGGAAAGAGAGAGAAGAATGAATGTAGGATGCAGAGAGCGATTAGTCAAGAGGAAGAGTGAGCGTACAGGTCAAAAGGAGCCCATAAAGCATCGAGAGGACACGGCCGTTTGGATTGTAGACGGAGCCACGGCTTACCGCTACCGGACCAATGCAACAAACTGACGGGGCCAGGGTACAAGTCACGGCAACTTCCCCTGACGTTATCGCCACCTAAACCGTGCTGGTTCCAGCGATGCTCAATGGGCGCCACGTGTCCCGCGAAAACCAGCAGAAACGGCGGCAACGACCCTAACTCGTAGATCCGATCGCTCTTCTGAATCTCCATCCACCTCTCTATCCTCTTCGTGTACCCTTCCTTCCTCCACTTCCCCAGATCCATCACCATCACTCCCGTGTTGAAGTAACACGCCTTCCGCTGCGCGAACGTCCCGGAAAATCTTTGCTCCGACCAAAACCCCGCCGTGAAATACTTCGTGAAGTTCGCGTGGCAGTATTCCGGCGCCCCGATTGCGCGCGAACCAAGACTCGCGCCCCACAGTTTGGCCACGTCATCCACCACTACCAGATCGGAATCCAGGTATATCACTCTGCGCACGCAACTCTCCAGAAGATCCGCGAGGTAGTTTCTGGCGTAATTGAGTGGCTGCTCCAGCGCTTGCCTCACGGAGGTCGAGATCAGATGAGTCACGAGGCTGGGATCGAAGTAATACACCTTGAACTTCAACTTAGGGAACGTCGATTCAATTAGGGATTCTAGTAGATTGCTTTCGGAGACGAGAAAGTGGAAGAAGATGTTCTCCGGACAGAGGGAATGTTGGAGGATGGAGTTAACGGCGGCAACGGAACCGCGCAGGTATTGAACGTCGAGGGTTATGGCAACGTGTACCAAGGAAGGGTCGCAGACGGTTATTTCCCCTGAAGTTGAAGCACATTGATCGGCATTGCGGAAGGAAGGGGCTTTGCGGAAGGAAAATGGGTGAGAGGATCGAATGGCTTCGGCCGGGTGGAAGGATTGGAGGGAGGGGGAGAGAATAACGATGAACATTGCGGCGGAGAAACTCAAAATCCATAACATTTTATTGACTTCGGCGCCGCCCCCTCCTCCTCCGTTAGGGTTCCTTTCCCTTCTTAGTGTTAGGGAAAGGAAAGTGCTTGGAATGGGTGTTTTTCAGTGTCGCTGCTGCGTTTGAGTTGAGTGGGCGGCGTTAACATACGCACCCTCGCGCTTTCTAATCTTCTTCTTCTTCCTCCTCTGGCCTCTGCAGTGGTTCCCTGCTTTTACTCTCCGGTGCCTCTTCCTATTCTCTGTTCTTCTGAAACAAAACGAGGCCTTCTCTTTGTCTTTGCACCTTCGCGATTGCGGTTTCCACCACTGAACTGCTGGCAGTGCACGGTTCCAAACCAAAACAATTATTATTCGCCAGTGCCGAATTTATAATCATAACTACTGTAAATTAGTATTCATTTATTCATTCATAAATAGGGAGTGAAACATAAAATTAATATGCCTTTAAAAAAATAGTATTAGTCAGTGTTCCACAATTTTAACGCAGTTTTATTCAAAATTTTTATTTTAAAATTTTTATCTAACACCATGACAAGACCTTTTTTTGAGAGGTTGCAACTTACAAACAACATTTGGGGGGTGTCTTCCTCTTAAATTACTATACTAGCCCTCATTTGTTTCATATTATATTTTCAACCCCCGTGCCTTTTCCTCGGCGGATTTAACAACAGTACCTGAGGTGAATGGTTAATTCAGATTTTAGTCTAAAAAAAATTGTTTCTTAAGATTTTAAATTTTAAATGTGTTAGTTATTTTAATCCTAACATTAATCGGCATCAAGTAACATTAATAGAGGTGCTATTACAATTTACAAGGTATTAAGTGTCACGTAAAATACACTTGTAACGTTGCTTTAGCCCTCAAACGCTTTGTTTGTTAGAGTAAAAAAATTGGAAGAGAAAAAAATATTTTGAATTGAGTTTTCAATAAAAATAAATCTTAATATTTGCAAAGCCCCTTAACAATAGTACTTTTAACCAAGCTGTAGATGAATAGTTTAATTATTAAGATAGTTCTCACGAGTCCAAAAACAATTAAATGAATGAAATTGGCTTTAAAAAATGATTTTTAAATTGTATGATACATTCTTACGACGCCTACCAAACTAATTTTGTAACTAAGATAATTCAGGTATCAAGAACCTTATCAACCAGTATTTATCAAAGAATAAAAAAATCATTAACAGTATATTAAAAATCATGATAGGTGTATAACAATAATTTTAATAACACTGATTAATACTATCAAATGCGAATCATACAACAATTCAACAATAGCAAACTAAAGAAGGAAAACGAATAGAAATTGAATTAAATAAGTTCAACCAATCGACTCAACAGCAAAATTGCGTGAATAACTAGTCTGATACCACATAATAGCCATTATGAGAAACTAATATTCCACTTTCAAATAAGCCTCAAACTCTACGAACATTCTATGCGCCACAACTCCTGCAAGCTATAAAAATGCTTTGCTTGCAACCTCTATTTCCCCTCTCCCAAACACTTCACAAGTTGGACTTTACCACAATGAACACAATTTTAGATCCAACAAAACAAATACCTTAAAGCAAAATGGACAATACAAATAACAACTTAAGAACCAACCAAGTTTGACTTGAACTTATCAAAAGTAAAAATAGTAGCAAGTAACTCTTTCTCAGTCGTATTCATAACAACGAATCAATATCTAGGTAGTTCAATTCACTCCTAAGAAAAATAATAATAATAACTAGCAAGTAAACCAGTCAAGAATCATTTAAAATCCATCTTGGATTCTTCCTCTTTGAGCTTTACAAGATTCTCATTCTTTCCCCAATTACTAAACGTCTCAACAAGTGTCAACAATGGCCATCTTCTGTTGACATTTTTAAAATTATCTCTAGAGATTAGAACACGAGTGCTAGGATCAGGCAATTAGAAAGTTTAGAGAATTTAAAATTACTTCATTTAAATTTTTATCACCACATGCATTTTAGTTTACATGCTACTAGTTATAGTCTTAATAACAACACAATTAATAAAAATATACATACATACAAATAATAACACAAATATCAGAGAATCAAATCTCTATGTTCATGAATATTTTAGTTGCCAAATTAGAATAAAAAAAGCTGACATAAGCAAAGTGAGAATGGAAAGAAATTTAATTGAAAGCTCAATTCCAAAAGATCCAGAAAAGACCATAGCATTGAAGAGAAGCTTGTGCGACAGAGAAAGAATAAAAAGAAGAAAGAAGTTTGTGAGGAGAGTCTCTTAATCTCACCTTCCATATGATATTCGAACTCTCATTGTTTTACCTTTTTAAAAAATCTTTATAAAATTCCAATCAATTTTAAAATCAGTTAAAATTTAATATTTGTAATTATAGATTTTCTTTAAAATTACTTTCTCCCGTATAAAATCCAGTGTCCATTAATTTATTTTCATTGAAAATAAAAATATATTTGTTAAAATATTTGCATTTTCAATTTTAGAAAATGAATCTAGTATTTTCAAAAACAATTACAATATATTTAATATATTTTCACTGCGTGATGACATTTTTCAAAACCTTCTCACTTGAGTCTTTGTTTCAGCTTTTCTATCATTCTCTTGTTTGCAAGTCAAGTAATACATCTATACATTAATAAGCTTCAAAATTGGTAATCAAATAAATGGACAAGATCTGAACTTTATAAAACATATTTAAACATCTTAAAACTAAATAATTTATACAAATCCATGAAAAGAAAAAAAAAATATAAATTCTAATAAAGTAACTAAAAATGAAATTAAAAGAAACATAATGGTGACTATAAAATTACTCTTAATATAGTCAACATATTTTTTGTCAAATATGCTTGATGGACGATAAAAGCCACGTATAAAAAGCCTGTTAGTCCATCATACACCACATATCACCTAAAGCTGAACCAGAAGTGCCATAACTAATCTTGAATTCCATCCACCCATGAGTCCATGACTAGGTTATGAACAATAATACCATTGCCACATAAACACTATTGGTTGTTGACCATTGTTCAAACAGTGCGTCAACATGGAGGGTTTATACCTGCTGACTTTCGATTACACTTGGTTGAGTTTCGTTATACTCCCTCAATCACAATCAATGTCAGATTGTCACTGTACAAAGAAGTTAAGTGCCCTTTAATTTAAATTTTATTAAATCAATTTTAATAAAACCAATATTAATTTTTTAAATATGATTAAAATATATGTAATTTAATTGTTTTAAACTTTTTATAAAAAATTGAAATTTATTTTTTTATTCGCAAAACAAATAAAGCCCATAAAGTATCTGTCAACCCATTTATTATTATTATTATTTCTTTGAAAGTCTTTGTGCTAGATATTTTACATTATTTTAACTTCAATTCCAACAACTTTGTTATTTATTTGTTTATTTATTTATAATATTTTGTTTAATTACACACATGTTTAAGGCCAAATGTTTGTTTGAGGTGAAAGCAAGAAAGTTGTGACCCAATAATAAACAATAAAACACTCGTTTTAATTAATTATTATTATTATTATTATAAACACATACAAAAATTCATTTTAAAGCTTGCTTTTAAGCTTAAATTAATTAATTATTATTATTATTATTATTATTATAAACACATACATATGAAAAATTACTCATTTAATGCATGAATGTGATGTGAATTGTAAAGTCACTGTGAGGGGGTACACTGCGTGTGTACGGTGGTCTTGAATCTTGATTCATGCTTTGCTCTGTGCTGAAGCACGACGGCCAACACTGTGCTCTCACTCTATTTCTTTCCGACCGTATGCTACCCCTCCCAGCCTGTCATCCACTCCCTACCCATTATTTGGTTCGTTCGGGTATAAGCCACGTTCCATCTTACAGGTCACAGGTGCGTACCACAATTGCTGACTTTATGCCTTTGCAGGAAAATATTATTTCATCATTCTCGACTACTATATTTCTGATCAATTAAAATATGATATTTATATATGACTGCTTCTTAAAACCCAATCTTTTTTCAAGGGGTTTGGGTAAGGAATGTGCATCAAGATTGAGCAGCGTAAATGAATTTAACTCTGAAGCAAGGAAAGACTTTTCTTTGTGTTTCAAATAATATTTATATTAATTAATAATATTTAAAAAACTATATTTATTTATTAAGAATAATCAAATGTTTTTTTTTAATAAAGCCCTTCATTTTATTATGACCCTCCCACCGAGGCATATACAGTACCATATAAACCCACCCAAGCATGTAGATTACGCATATCTAATGGACTTAATCATGTTGACGATGGGGTGGTTGCTGGTGATGACATGGAGAAGTTTTTTTTTGCTTTTTTCGGTAAGCATAATTTAAACACAAACTAATTCATAAAAATTAATAAAAATAGTGGCATACTATAAATATTAATGTTATTCTAAAAATGTCAATCATATTAAATAACTAAGTTAGTAGTTTGCATAAAAAAATAAGTGAGTGCTTAGTTAATATAACTTTATAATGAATTAGATAAAAAAAATTCAATAATTAATACATTTAAAAATAAGTATTTATTTGTTATAATTAAAAAATTGACAATTATTTTTTATAAATAGAGTCGGACGCTGTACTTGCACACTAAATTTCGTATCAAAACAGGGGACCATTCTCATGGTCAAGCTTATGAAGTTTTCATTGAGGCCTGTTTTTGTTGGGGCTTCTAAACAAAAAGGCCCAAAGTCACATCATAACCATCATGGTCATCTTAATTAATTCGGTAATCTGAATCGTGGAAGTGACACCTTTGAATCCTATTATCAGCATCGAATGTCAATGGACTCTTCATAGGGATAAATGCGAAAAAGTAGGATTTCAAATGACTTCAAGAAAATGTGAATTGTCTGCTGAACTCTCACGGAGAGTTTGAGTTTAGTATTTTTGTCTTTAAAATATTTAAAATATTATGTTAGTTTTTAATTTTTTTATTTATTATTTATTTTAATTTTTGATGTCAGACTTCGTTAGTTAAGAATTCATGATAAAAGACTGAATTGTCACATTTAATTGTTCCTTTTCTATTTGTTCGTAGTTATGTTTAGAGGTAAAATATTTAAAGATAAAAGTTTATTGTAATAGAAAAAAGGCTAATAGATGGAGAATTCGGTGAATTTTTTTTTTTTAATTCATTGAGTCATTTTTTTGTTTTGGGAATAAAGAACCCTAAGTAATATTTTAGGGACGAATAAGATAAAGAAATTAGATCTGTAACTTTTAATTGTGCATGATTTTTATTTTCTATTGGTTTGATGAAGATTTTTTATTGATAAATTTGTGTCTCAGCCCCTAGTAATGTTTTACTTTTTTTGATTTTGGATATTTCGTAGGACTGTGAGGACTTCAGATTGTTCTGATTATGATATGTGTATTAGACCCTTGATGATATGTATGTCCCATAGAGAACAATCAGTGATGAGAGCATTCATGCTTCACCTTCTCGTGTTGAGGTGAAGCCTAAGTATAGGCTGGGAAGGAGTTCATTAGGCAGGCAAGTAGCTCTAATATCTCAGATTTCTGTTGCAGCATTTCACATGGCGATGAATCCTCAGAGTTTATGAGGTATTAAGGAATAGGGAAGTTCTAGTAGTAGTGGTGGTAGTAGTTATCCAAATGTATGGTCAATATTTGACAAATGGGTCCTTAGACCAGAAAGACACCATTTTGCATTTAAAAATGCCACTCTAACTTTCAAAAATGAATTTTATTTCTGCCAAGTAGGATTATGACGTAGTACTTAAATAGACAACTCAATTTTCTATCATAGTTTTTTAACGGAGTCTGACGTAAATGACTAAAATGAATAACAAAGAAAAAAGTTAGGAACTAACGTGATATTTTAAATATTTTAGAAGCTAAAATGCTAGACTTAAACTCTCTCAAGGACTAAAGTGAGAGTTTAGTCAATTCCCTAAAAGGGTAAAAAAATTTCTTAATTCTTGATCATCTATCTTTACTTGAATTAACATCAGTTGATTAATTAAATTAAGAGATAATGCATGTTATCAACCTATTATTCAAGGGATTGGTGAATCAATAACTTAAACATAAATAAAAATATTTTTGATAAATTTTGAAAACATATTATTGATTCTTAAAAATATGAATATTTATTTTAAATTTTATTCTTATTAATATTTAAATACAAGGGGATTTTAAAAAAATGATATTTATAACTCAAATATTATGACATCTGTGGTCTAAATTTTTTATAGCAAAATTGGAAATTTAATATTTTTGTTAATGAAAGTAAACAGAAAGATGATGACTTGATTCCAACCATATCAAGCAAGGTGCAATAGCATGTTCTGTTGAAGAGAATTGTCATAAGCCTAAAATACTTATAGCAAAAAAGTAGTTTTACTTTTTTTTAATATAAAAATAAATTATTAAACCCTTTATCTTTTAAAGGATACATAATCACTACTACTACTACTATTATTATTATTATTATTATTATTATTATCACAACTATTGTAATTTTCATTATCACTGTCAACTAATTTTTATTATCATGTATAAATTGTCTTTATCATTATTATTACTTTTAATCCTTTTACCTTATTATAAAATTAAATTGAAATATAAAAAAAAATTATATAATTTAAATTTTAGGATTTAAATTTTAAGACTAAAAAGCAATAAACAAGTATAAAAGTTTTTTTAAAATTTTTTAAAACTTTACAATTTAAAATTGCGAACATGACTTAAACTAATATATTTATTTTGTCTCGAATTAAGTCAAGCTTAGTCGGATTCTGTCCGACTCATCAACATTCCTAATTAGACTACACCAAACAATAGTATGATTCAACAATTAATCGGACTTTGAATTATGATATCGAGTCTGCTGTAATTAAAAGCCACAGCGTATAACAGGTAACATCACGATGAAGCCGACGTCTTTAATTAGAGATTAGATATAATCTGAAGCGAAGAACTTTGTAGTTCGTTGATGCAACTTATCCAGAACATTACAAGCAAAACCCAAGAGCATAATAAGATAATTGAAACGGACAGAAGGGTTGGGGGTGGAGAAGTTAAGGATTGCTTCATTTAATAATTCTTTTTTGTTTTTTTAAGTTTTCATTTTAATTATAAAAACACAATCATATTTCTATTATGAAAAAAATATATAAAAACAATGATAATGAAAACATTATTTTCACTGTTTTTATATAATTTAAAAAAAAATAAAAACTGAAACAAACATAAGATAATGTTTTTATAATTAAAAAAAAGTAAAAATAAAAAAATAGCCTAAGATTTCCACTTTTGAAGAAGTAGAGAAGAAAGGTTTGGCCTTAATAGGTGGAAGAGGTAGCAAATGTTTGCATGGAATGGCAGCATAGGGCAGGTACTAAATCTACTTAACTCAAAACGTGGTAACAATTGCGGTGCCACCGTTGGGGTCTCGTGCCATAATCAATGACTTATAAATATGTACGATCATCTTCTCGTCGTACTCCTTCGGTGGTGGGGCCCTCCCGAACCCACTCACGGCGATGGAAGTGGTGTTCCCGCCGTAGCCGGTGGCAGAGACACTCATGGAGTTAGCAAAGCCCAACATCATTCTCATATAAGCGTCTCTGACCCACAACACTAATTTCTTAGGGGAAGAGATTTTTGGGATCTTGATCTTTTTGCCTATCTTTATTCGCCACCTCCTCTTACTTTGGCTGCCTCCTACCTCCACCCTTTTCATCCTTCTTCGATCCGATCCATGTAATCTTTGGTACCCCATAACCCTTCTTCTCATCCAGTACTTCTTCAAACTCCCCGAGATACCTTTCAATTCCATTGCTCCGATTGAAACACAGAAAGTGAAAACGAAAGGGAGCAAAACACAAGCACAAGAAGAGGAGGTAGGGTCGGTAAGAAAGTGAGAAGGGACGCAATTGAGTTTGGTACACGTTGATGGTCTCTTATATACGTGTAATATATATGCTTCTTTGAACAATATTCCATTTTATGAAGGCCTAATTAACGTTATTCGGTAGGATGCTGATGTTTTGTTTTATGTTTTTAATGTTACTTTTGGTCATATTACCAAAGAGAAAGATGCAAAATAACCACAATAGAATTTGTCCTTATTCATCTAGGATTGACTGATTTTAAGTTTATATATTTTTTTTCTTAACATAACATTGTTAATTATGTTACTTCTAACATGAAAAAAATTGAAATTCTTATATGATAAACATGTTGATTTATTAAATAGATTAAGATTTGGTTTTTATTTCATAATTAATTAAAATGGAATTTTTATCCCTGTTCACTTCAAAATAGTGATAGAGAAATTCCCATTAAAAGTTTGAGTGTATCCGTATTCCTTGACACTTAATTTTTGTCACGCATGTCCACTTTCCATAACGAAAGAGTGTAGGCTTAAGCCACAGAAGGACTCCGCTGGATTAATATATTTCCTTTATGGGGTTAGCATCATAAATCCGTGATATTGCAGCCAAACTATCCATCCGTTTATAGTTTAGTATCAGTTTTGTTTCGTGGGAAAAGCTTATCTACCAAGTGGATGCTTCAAGTAAATAAGCTTTAAACTTATGTATAAAATATATTTGACAATTTTATAATATAATTATTTTTTATTTTTTATTTATATTTAAATTAATGTGATAAATTATAAATTTTGCGTTCAATTAAAAAAAATCATGCTAAATTTTATCATAAATTTTTTAAGAGAAAATTTTTAAACAAACACGCCACTTTAAATTTATTTTTAAATAAAATTAATTTTATAAATAAACTTCATTCAACTTATGATTATAAACTTCACTCAAATGTACTATAAAATGTTAACGGCATGTAACAATGTATTATTATTTTTATTATAATTTCTTCCTCTTCCTATTCTTGTCAGCAATTCACATTGTCCAAATATAAATTAAGTGAGTTTCATAATAAATGTGTTTATCATTAAATATTCACATGCCAATTAACAAGTTAAATGAAAGTGGAAATGAATAAGCACGCAAAAAAATGACAGATCAAGACTAGTCTCTTGAAGTTTACCTATACTTGGTTTTTTTGGGATAGTTTGGAAGAATTAATGGGAAAATAATGTAGTATTCTTATAATTTTTTTAATAAAATATTTAGTATAATTTATTAATTTATTTTAATAAGTTTATTCACAATTTTATTACATAAATTTTTATATAAAAATATTATTTACCAAAACACATCCCAAGTATTATTTTAAAAAATAACAATATTTAGATATTATACATCAATTAAAAATATAGAAAAAATATTCCTTATAAGATTTAAACAATTCTCTTCCTTTAAATGTCCAAGTTCAATCTTACAAGTTTTATATAGCAAAATTTCTAATTCTTATCAAAATATTTTTGTAAGAGTCAGTCTTGAATTAGGCTTGACTTATTCTTATTAAATAGTTTCAACCAAGCATTAATATAAAAGGAAAAAAAATAAAAGACTAGATAATTTATCAGAATGTGTTAAAATAAGTTTAAAAATTATTATCTTAGTTTTTAATAAACATGATAAAGTATTTGAAATGAATTAAAATACAAAGGTAATAATTAAAGTTATTAAACTTTAACCTACCTCACTTAGTGGAATAAAATTTTAAGCTAAAGTAAAGGTCCTTTTAAAGAGGATAGAAATTATGTAATCAGCATTTAACACATTTATTAAATATTTTATTTATAGTTAAACTCTCGTTCGTTCGCAAATTCTTGACTGCAAACATTCATGCATTTCCTGATAAAAAGAAACCAAAAACACCGACCCTGCAATGGAGGCCAGCACTGGTGGGGTAGCTTAAAATTGACTTTTTTGAAGGGTAATATAAGCTGTCATCAATGAAGTCAACGAGGAAGTGTTGCGTCCTCCCTCTTTCGGCTGGTAGTTGATGAGATCTCAATTGCATATTTTCCCCCATATACCTTGTGTTAAGGTGCACTTCCATTTCCACAAATTTTTAGAATAATGTTTATAATAATTTTTTTATGTAGTTTATATTACATTTAAAAAGCCCCATTCTTTCTTTATTTAGCAAAATTAAATAATTTTATTTGGAAAAAAGTTCCATTGTCATAATTTAATATTAAATAAACCTTGAAAAAAAAAAAGAGCACAAACCAACTCTCCATCATTTAATGTCAGCCACCATATGTAGGTATATGTTATGACTGCATAAATGAGGTCGGCATTTATGCGGAGAGATCAATTAAACAGCCAAGTTGCGTTTCAAATGGGTAACTGCGTATAAGGGATTTTTCTTTCTGGCAAACTCTTATTTGTTTAGAAGCAATTTTATTTTTGTTTCTCATTAAATTCCGGATTTGTAATTTTTTTCGTTCAGAAATTTTACTATTTTTTAAAATTAATATTTGTAAAATTCATTATATGGAACATATAGTAATTTAGTACTTCCTAAAAGAGTAAGCAATACTTTTCAATTCTTATTATTACTCATTTATTTATTTTACGAACGAATTTTGCAAAGATATGTGGGTTTTTAGCTTATGTTACTAAATTTATTAGACACACTTCCAGCATTAGCGGCCATTTATTGAGATTGATCGAGACTCTCCTCAGCATACTAATAGCAATATACTACACTAACCCAAAAAAAAAAAAAAAACCAAGTACTAGGACGCAGTCGTTTTATTTTTGTTAACGTAGACTTTGATTATGACTAGACTTGGTGTGTTTATATAATAAAATAAAAATAGTCGGATATGAGAATTAGATAAAAGGAGAATAATTTTTGTATTCTACCAATAATATATATTAAAATGATATATTAATTATATTATATTATCTTAGCTTATTTATTTTTTAACTCAAACCTTTTATATAATGAAATTTATAGTAAAAAATAAGATAAAATAAATTTATCATATTATATTAGTTAAATAAATAATAAAAATATAATAGAATAAAAAAATATTATCCTACCCTGCTTTTGTTAGTAAATCGGTTAAAAGTTAGATGACTCTTGAACATATACTTTTAGCATGATGTAATTTATTCATCCAGTTCTATTTACCACTCAATAATAAAGATTTAATCTTTTTAATTTCTCGTTGTTTATCCTTCAATTCTTTTGTACTTAAATGATATATTGTTCTTGTTTGACTTTTCTTTAAAATTTTATATTTGCCACAAAACTTACCAAGTCACTTCAATGTAAATTCACGCTTCTAGTTAATTCGTGTGTGATTTAGGACATCAACACCTCAAAGATGACTGGATCAACCGGAACCAAAGAGAAACTTTATGTATTTTAGGACCTTGGACCCTTGCACTTTCAGAAAAATTGTTCCTGGACTAGTTGTTTTTTTCACCTGAATTTTCCTTTAACTTCCAAGTCATTTCAATGTAAGCTCACCTTCTTGATACTTTGTTTTTTGTTTTATTATTATTATTATTATTTAAAACATCAGTACTTCAAACAAGATTGGGTCAATTTAAGGTCAAAGCTGAACTTTCTGTGCTTCATGCTAATTTAGACCTAACATTGTCGAGTAGGATATTTGTCTCTTAAAAAATTACATGTAATGCATAGATAATTTTCTTAATTTTTCTCTAAAATAAAGATAGCAATTGTAAAGTTTACCCTCTTGCTAAACATAAGAGACTCCCTTAACAATTGAGTAATTCTAAATCAAATTAATCATGAGATTTTCAACTTGTTCCATCGACACGTGTCCTCTTTTTTTCGTTACATATATATGTTCTTGGTTGTCTCACCATAGTTATTGACTACTCTACGCATATCACGAAAAAAAAAAATGTTTGAAATAGCAAAAACATATCTATTCATTCATGGCATCGATTGAAACTTAATTAACTCTAAACTAAAATGCATAAGAATAGTTCCAGATTTCTTTCTCACAAAACTCTACAAGCAAAGGGGAATCATCTATATATATAAAAAAAAGTGTCGAAAACCTACAACAAAAATGGGATATATAGTTTAAATGAAGGACCAACACATTTTTAATGTGACTAGGTGATCTTAAATCAGTAAAATATTTTAAAACTTTGTTGTTTCTCATGCAATTTTTCTTATTAATAGAACCCCTAGTTCTTGTTTGAACAACAAAACGCCACGTGAAAGTCGGTCGGCATTCTTCTTAATTCTTACCCCAACTTTTCTAATTTTAAAATTTTTAAATCCTATTATATTTTTCCTTCACTTTGATTGTACATAAAAAAAGTCTAATCCTTAGGCTAAAAAGTGTTTTTCCTCAATCATAAACCTAACACTGAAAATTTTCTACTGTATTATCTTCGTTCTAGAGAAACTTTTCCCTAAAGGACTTTAACATTTTATGAGAATGTTTTTTCTTTGATTCCCTGACTGTTGAGCCTCCCAATTCTATAGATTCATAATCATATTAATAAATGACAGTTTAACAAAAAAAATTCATCGTAGTTATGTCTTTTATAATTTTCATAAGACGTGTACATTCCTTTAAAAGAATGGACACACACATCACCTAAAAAGTCTAGTATTGAATGGCTTGTTTTTAAGGTAAGAAATATTTTTTTAATAATTTTTTTTTTCTCGATCTAATGACCTTAAGACATTGGTAAGATTTTGTCAGTTATATTATTTTGAGATAATTTATTAATTCTTGAGAATAATAATTAAAAATAAAAGTTAAAAAATGAATATAGAATATAATATGTAATACTATCAATCCATCTATAGTAATTTTAATCCTTTTATTTTCTGATTCACAATTATACTACAATTCATTACTTAATAAAATGTAGTCTAGTGAAAAATTACTTTATGCTTCCTTTGTTTTATATCATTTGTCTTTAAAAGAATATTTTTTAAGAAAAGATGAAACAATAAAAATTATTATAATATAAATTTATCTCATTAAAAAAATTTAAAATATAGTTAGAAATTTATTTAAATATATATTAATAATAAATGTGATATATAAAAAAGTATTTTTTTAGTTTTAAATGGAATTTTTTTTAATATATTACCTAAAGAAACATACAATATGTATATATATATATATGAAACGAATAGAATACAAATCACCTGAACGATTACCTTTAAAATTATAGTTAGCAAAACCGTGTCCTGAAAGCAAGCAATGCAACAGCTAATGTTTTTGCAAGATATAATTATAACGTAGGCGTGCACAAACTAAAGTTGATCAATAAACAACGTTTCATAATTATTTCAACCTTCAACACTGATAAATGACAAAAACAAAAAACAGCCTCTAACACATATATAATACGGATAGCAGAAGGTACCGTGCTCTAGCCACGTTTTATTTTTTCTTTCTTCTCTTCCGCTCAAGTGTTGTGCCTTCACCTACACCATGATGAGTACATTTCTTTTTATCTTTTAGCATTCATTTTCGCAATGCAAATCTTTTGAGTTCAGTAGAGTTAATCCAATAAAAACACTTAGACAGGGACAAATAATCACTAAAAAAATTCACCTAAATAAACAAGTAATATGAAAGGCAGAGAAAGGCCACATATATGAAGGACCGCATAATGAAGTGGAGTGAGTAAGAACTCGGGTTCGCGAACAACAGCGCCTGAAGTGGCTTCATCTTTCCACCGCTATTATTCACGTTATACGGTGCATAGAATGCATATGGCGTTCCTGGTGGAAAGTACGATGCTGGTGAGGATGGTGGTCCTTGTGGCACTTCACAGTTATATGTACATGGTGTCTTTGGTGGTGGTGGACATTCAACGACAGCTGGTGATGGCGGTGGAGGTGATGGTTGCGGTGGTGGCGGTGACGGTGACGGCGACGGCGACGGCGGTGGTGGACAGTCTATCACTGGCGGAGGTGGAGGTGGCAACGGTTGGCATGGGTTCTCGCACTCAACGCACATTGTGCATGGAACTATGTCTTTTGCCACCGTTGAAGTGGCTTGGGTGACGGCTGAAACAGTAGCGCATAGTGTTGATACAAGCAAGAGAATCAACGAGGAAGACATCAAAGGCAATGAATAAACCATGATTTTTAGTCGGGAACTGTTTGATCTGAGCAAGAGAAAATGCAAGGTGCAACTAAAGAGCAAGTCTACGAAAGAAATAGATGTGAAAGGCGTTTATACCTGTGGAAGTGTCTACCCGGAGACAAAAATAAATAAATGAAAAATGTAATAAGTGATATAATATGATAAACAATATTAAATAATTGTTTATATTGTAAGTGCTTATAAAATATGCATAGTTATTTGGTTAAATATTACATGAGCGAGAGTCATATGCATGTGGATAATGTATTGGTAACCGCACCATTGTCGGTGTTTTATCTTATCTTCTACGGCATCGTCTTATCATCAAATCTTGCAACCAAAGCATATAAAAACACAATTCCACAGATACAGAGTCGGTAAGACTTTATCATTCATCAATCATTAGTTATTTAATTTGATAGAATATAAACTACGTATAAACTTCAGTTTTTAAAGTATGTTTTTTGGTGTTTTGTATTTCTACAATCTCTTTCCTATAGTATTCAAACGGATTAAAATCTAAGTAGTAAAATTTGGTGGCATTACTAATTTATTCATATTTTGTTGTCACTGCAGCCCCTATTACTGTCTGCGTTACGTATGCTAAATGCTAGTGCGGACTGAGACGATACACAAATTTGAAGCGGCAGATTCTATCAAGTCGTAGCATATATGCCGATAGATATATTGGCTGCATTCACATATTTCGCTTTCCTAGTCACGTGAATGACGAGAGAATCGAAATAAGAATGAAATATATGAATGAATAATGCTACCTTTCTAACTATGTGTCATAAATGTCGCTGATACATTTACATAATTAAATACATTCCTTAGAAAAAGCGCAAAGAACTTTAGAAGTATTTTTACCTTTCTGTTCATTTGTCGTGTAGCGGATCTTCAATTTTAGCCCAGAGGCTGGGATAGATGGGACTTCTGCTACTACCCAGTAGTGGGGTTGGGTGAGCTTATACGTTGTTGTGTATGAGTTTAACTTTGAAAATATATTATGCATGTAATTAATATAATAAAGTTAACTGCGCCAATTTATTGTTGACTGCTGAAAATAATCAAAATACACTGGGTATTTCTTAATCCTGTTTATTTTAATATTAAAAAATAATATTATACGCTTTTAATAAAAATATATTTTAAGATAAATATATAATTCTAATACTTATTTTATATAATAATTTAAAATTAATTTTTTCAAAATCGAATTTATTAATTTTTAAAAAATATTAAACAAAAGAAAACTTCATTCATTTTAATTGAACAATTATCGTAAGTTCAATTCAATTTATTTTTAAAATATTTTTGCTCTCCTTTTAAAATAATTATAATCTTTAATTGAATAATTTGTGTATATTCAACATAATTGTTTTTTCTAAGATGGTATAATCAAAATCCTATGTTCACATATCAAGAACAACATTAGTCACAAATTAATTAGGTTTAGGATCCATTGATAATTCAAAACTTGAGATCCCGAAGAAGGCTACTGAGTACAAGCTGTGTGAATTGTTCAACATTTTGGTTTCTGAATATTTACAAAGTCAATTTATTTTAATAAAACACTGTAATCATTATCGATTAAAATCACAAGTGGTACATTTTTTTCATTCAACGATTCTCAAAAGTCTTCGCCACGAAGAGCTCTGAGAACCCTTGAATGAGGCGCATCAGGGTCACCACGCATGGCTTTTTGCCGCCACATCTCAGCAGCCCTCAACAAAGTTTCCTCCGCCGTCTCGAGTTGCTCCGGCAGCCACCCAATGACATCCCCACCTCTTCCAGAATCCGCCGTCTTATCCGAAGCTCGAGAAATGGGCTTTCGGGAATCCACAAACTCTAACTCCGACAACGGCGACGCTTTGTGATGTTTATAATAATCTCTATCGTCTTCTCTCCGTTTATCCTCTGGCAATGGAGTTCCATCAAAACCAGCACAACTCGCCGCTTCAAAAGCTTTTGACCCATTTCTCCGCTTTTGCTGAATGCTTGGGTCCAATCGCTGATTCACCCCCGCGCTCTTCAGTTTCAGGGAAGGGTCACATGCAGATTTTGAAGACGTAAAAACCCCGTTTTCTTTACTGGGTACATGATCGGTTTCGTCAAACTTGCCACTATCATTTGTACTCGTACCCTGCATTATTCATACACATGAGGCTCTAGCATAACACATCTTGTGACTAATTATTATATAATTATATAATAAATAACAAAGTTCTAATATATTTTTATTAATTAATAATTTCTGAAGTTGAGAGGATGAATTATTCCAAGTTATTAACTTATTACTTACTTGGGGTTGTCCTTTGTGAACGGCGGGACCAGCTTCTAGTTCTCCAGAATGGATGGCAGGATCTGCGGTGCGGCTACGAGTGGCAGAGCAAAACCTTCGTTTGTGGGAAAAGCGACAGGCTGAAGATAAGCCCCAAAATGACCTTCTCACTGCGTCTGCTGCTCTTGCTTGCATCTTTACGTACGTTGTTGCTTTCTGATTCTAATTCTATGGGTTTTGTCTGTGTTGGATTTGAGAGAGTAATACTCGGCACGAGATGAGATGAGTTTAATTCCTCTAAGATTGATGCTCAGAAAAATAACCACAAGAGCATTCTCGAATTTCCTCGACACGTGTTTATTTTTGACGTGGCAATATGGTCCTTCGCCACGTGGATATTGCGTGTTAGAAAGATCATTAACATATTCTGCTACAAAGAAAAGCCACTCTAGAACTAAACACTGCTTTCTCGAATGCTCCAGAAATGAAAAAGAACTAGTCTACCCAATAATTCATCTGACATCCTACACTTGATCTTAACCAATTTAGTATATACAGTATTTCTCTTCTATTTTCAAATATGATACATGAAAAAGAAGCGTAACACGGATATGAAAAAAATAATTTATTAGAAATTTGAGTTATGTAAAACAGAAATCGAATTTCATTAATTTTTCATAAATTGGAAAAACATAGTAATAATTTAATCATGAGATGAAATATACTAACATACAACTTTTAGAGATTTTCTTTCTTGAAGGGTTGGAATGTACTTTGAAACTTAAATATAATAACAATTATTAGTTAAATAATCGAAGTTTATATATATATATATATATATATATTACAAAATAATTAAAATTTAATTACTGATTTTTAATCAGTGTTTATATTATACTTTATTGTTTAGAAATATATTCTCACAATTTGGATATAGGAAAAAATAGGGACATAAATAGAAATAAGATAGGTTTTAAGATATTTGAATTGAGAATAATAGAAAAGAGATAGAAATAGATTTTACTTGTTTGATTAGATAAAACAGTGAGAAAAATCTTTGATATAAAGATATATTTATATATAATATTAATAAATTGTTTTATTCTTTATTTGCGCAGGATAAATTTGACATTTAAAGACTTGTGTCGATTTTCTTCACATTCTCCCTTCTTCGAAACAAGTAAAATCTATCTCTTTTCTCGCATTTTTCTTCTCTCTTTCATTTCTTCCCATATTCCCTTTTGAAAAAACATGGAAACTAACAGAGGATAAACGACCCCAATCTTGTTTATGTGGATTAGATTTATGACAAAAAGCATAATAATTCTTTTTATAGGTTTGTTCAAGTGCAATGGAAAAATGCAAATTACAAAACATGTAAACAAAAGAAGGCTTGTTAGGAGTGGGCAACGGTCAAGTTTAAATGAGTTTGAATTCAAAAACTTAGAACTAAAGCAATCTGATTCCTTACTAATCTAAGCCGCTTTCGTCTAAATAGTGTTTCAAGTTGAGCGGGTAGTGGGTTAAACAGATGGCAAGTTAGACAAGTGAATTAAACCGAGTACAAAAGATGAAAATGAAATACTGTCACAGGAGATGAAGCAATCAAAGACCCTTATTGCATTGCTCTGATCTATAAGGTCATAACTCATACATATAAACTAGTGGTTTGAAATTGCATTCCAAATAAAATAATGATGTAGATATCGATAGCTTACATATAAAAGGATCTAACGATGAAACGACTTTCGAGTAACCGAGCAATCTCGTGTGCTTTGGTTTAAAGTATGCATTTACTTTGACCATCCATGTCACAACACAATCACTATAGCAACACACGTTGCTCTCAAAATTTTAATGCTTGGAATCAGAAATGGCTTCTTTAACTTTCTCAAAGGTGTCTTGCGATTTCTCTTTGCCTTGAATCATCACAAAAAATTAGATTTTGCGTGCTTATTTTTTTTTACAAAGGAGTGCTACGAAACAATCAATAAAATTTATATTATGAACCTCTTGAGGTCGTCTTTCTATTTCTTTAGTCAGTTTTCATGTTTGAGCTGATTGCTTCTACGTGATGAAAAAGAAAACATATAGAATATTACTTATTCATAAATGAAAAATACAAGAAAAATATTGTAGAAACAAAATGGAACTTGAACGATAGCATGCATGTAGAAATCACTCATTTATGATAAAGTAAAAAAAAAAACCTCATATATACTTGGATTGACTATTGATTTTTTAAGATTTACATCTTTCATAGCTAGAAAATAGGGACAAATGAATCTTGTTTCGAATTAATATGTAAAATAAGGACATGTTAACTAAAATGGGCTTTTTCAACTATCCCCACCCCGCAAAGCCGTGAGATCAAAGTAGTTTCTTCCCCCTGTTGATATATATGATGGTGCATGCTTCTGTGAAATTAGCTTTTGTTCCTCTTTTCTCCTGCTGCACCAAAATATGAAATGCCTGTTTACTTGAGAACCGTGTTTTTTTTTTTCAAGGTTCATAGATGAAAAATATGCAACAGCACTTATAAGGAAAGAATGTTAAAAAAGAGTATTATAGCATTGCACAATAAGTAAATGAAGAAAGGCTGATACTTAAACAAATGTAGCAAATTTGAAATTTGAAGCATAACTAAAGAAAAATAAAATAAAATTCTAAAATCACATATTTTCTTAACAAAGAGTCCATTTAGTATAAAACACTTCTATTTTTTTCTCATATTTTTTTTCTTTTGAATTAGCACAAAACTTAATTACCATTAAGCCAAACAAAAAAAATTGAAAGCATAAGTTAAATCATCATTTTTCAACAAATAAAAGTACTATAATTGACTTGTCATGATAGTGAATGAAACAATTTTGACAGTACTGTTGTTGGGGCAAAAAAAACAAGTTGGTTTGGGCAGTGGCTTAAGTAACAATGAAATTTTTGGTCAAGTCTGCACTGTGGTTGAAGTCTTCTTACACAAAGGAAAAGCAACAAAGCCCGAAGGCAAATAAGAAAGGCAGCCCAAACTCCGACCAATATAGCAATACACACGAATTACTAAGCATCGTTGCTAAAAACACATAAAGACATAATAGGGAACCTTATGTACGCCTAGTCTGTCAAGAAAAAAATAATAAACCTTAAGATTTGCTTCATTTGACCTTTTTTTTTTGCTTCATCTAGGTAAAAGATTAAGTTAATCAGTTAATATTCGACTAATGGTAAGTTTAGATCACTTCCCAGTCTTATTGGAGAAGAAGAAGAAAAGTTTTAGATCTTAAAAAAGTTGATTCGCATAAGTTGATTTTAATTTATAATAAAATTATAATATTTTTTTCACTTATAAATATTCATTAAAAAATTATACAAATATTTGAGCCTAAATATACCATGACGACATAAATGGGGTTTCCACTTTTTTGCACGTATTCCTTATATTGCATGTCCTTTTCTAAAAATACCACGTCATTTCTTAAAACATTCTCTGTCACATTGGTTATTGTCTTTATTTTTCCTGCTTGTTATTTCTCTCAAAGGATGTATACATAATCTAAAGACTAAAAAATACCATGGGAAAAAAAATTCCGAGCTTTCCTCTTCCCCAGTAGAAGCAGTGTTATGAAGTTGATTTATGGGTGTGGTAGCAGTGCAGGTCCCCTATTGTCGGGGATGGCGTGGATCCATTGAAGATTGGCAGACTTAAGACCCATCTAAATTCCTAACCCTTTTGCTTGACCTTTCAGAAAGGAACTAGCTAATAGGACACGAACTTTTTACTTTTCTTTCTCAGCTCAACACAAAGCTTTGATCCTAAAATTATTAATCTGAAAGTTGAAGGCAGAGATAGACAAGGGACCTATGTTTCTTAAGTTATACGATACAAATCACATGAATTGCGGTTTGGGTTTGACTACAAGTGGTACAGCAACCATGCTCCCACTTCCAACTGTAAACCACTGCCAAGCTAATCTTGTCTTGGGCTTGTCACTTGTGAACCTTCGGCCCCTCCTCCCAGCACACATGCAGCCACTTGAGATGAACTATTTCTAAAAGCTATCTCAAAATAATTATTACTTGAGCATGTGTCAGATTTAATAATATGTTTCTTTAACTTGCTCCATTTTCACCCCTATTGAGTTCACCTCTAGTTTTTAACCGTTTTAATAGCATATATATTGTTTCCTCACGTGGAATTATTTAATTAATTAGATCTAGGCCTTGGAATATATGCATCATCCAATCATTATAGTGCAGAAATGTGGACATATCACTGTGTCTAACAATGCAACTAGATGGAAGTATATAAAGTGGCCAATAGCATGCACAGTTGACCTAAAAATTGAAATCTTATCTGTTTATTAAAAGGTCGTCTTGCTTCATCATTTTTGTGTCCATGACGGCCATTTCTTCCCTTCTTAGAACTTAAAAAGGAACTGGGGTGACTTGGGCTGTGGGCCATCTTCAGGATTTTGTAATCTTAATGATGCATGTGCTCCATTAAATAATTCCATTTTGTGTTTGATCCCAACATCACGCAGCAGTACTGTTTTGGACACATCCAGAAATAACCCCAGAATAAAAAAAATAAAAGATGTTGTCTTCACAAGTTTTCCCCATATATTGATTTGATCACACTTTTTCTTATTGATGTGATCCGAATTTATTTTGATCTACTCAAATCCAACTACATTAGCAGCCACATGTTTATATACGCTAGCATTTCTCTGTTCGAAACAGACTTTGATGTAGAACCAAAGAACTGTTTAGAATATTTTTAAGCCAAAAAATATAAAAATATAATGGGTAGATATCTCAACCCTTAAAGAATACATAATTAGTCTAACCTGACAGATGAAGCTCAACGCCGAAGCATCAGCCAAGCACGTTTAATCTCGCAGTAGATCGATCACCGTGTTGAATGTTCTTGAAAAGTAGATCCACCACTTTGAAACCAAACCAAGCATAGAAAGCATATTAAACCATTGATAATTAGTTGTTTAGATGCTAAAAACAAGTGAACCAAAAATTGTTGATACTGCTGACATTAGCAGCACAAAATCTGATTAGATGCATCAATAATTTTTCTCTTAAGAAGATTGCACATTGTAGGAATTATTAAAAATATTGGAAGTGGAGTTTATTATCTTTCTTCTTTGAACAAGTGATGAATGTCTTCTAGAAGGCCAGATGAAATT